TCCGCCATCAAGGACGAGATCGCGGTCATTTGGTCCCAAGTCCAGGCCCGTGTCATCCAGTTGGCAGGGGGAGACGCCAATCAGATCCGCCAGAATCTCACCATCGAGAATGTCCTTGCCCATCTCGACCAGGTGCTGGAAGACTCCTCGCCGAAGGAAAGCGCTATCCGCTCCACCGTCGATAATACCTTGAAGTTTATCGACACTGTTGGGGGTGTGGTCGCGGGCGGTGCGTCCGAAGTGAGTCTTCCTGCTTCTTCCCCGAATTTCCGACCGTATCGAGGTTTAAACCAGCCTATGAGCACGTAATGGTCTAAAAAGGACACCGCTGATTGCGACGTTTGTGTGCGAGTTGAGGTCTTTGGCCCTGCCGAGCTATGTTTCAACGCCGTGAGCCTTGTCATCCATGCATGGCAGGGCTACCGAGACGTGTTCGAGAGCTTGGCAGGCCTGCTCGACAAATGCAGCCAATATCTGAGCCGGCTAGAGTACTACATCCGCGGTGGCATGGATGCCCGACTGGCCAAGGTTGCCTGTCAACATCTACAACTATTCGTAGAAATATGTGATCGCACCATCAAGCTACGACACTCCAAGCGGAGAAAATTGATGGTCTTTTCAAAATTCTTCTTTCTCAATGACAATTATATCCAGGACTTGCTGGACAAGATGGATAGCCTGGTCGATCGCGAAGGGCGCCTGGTCACGGCGCAAACCTTCAGTTTCGCATCCCAAGCCGCCGTGGGCACCAAGGAGAACCTAGCCATCAGCAAGGCCGTGAATAGTAAAATTGACATGCTCATCGCAAATCGCTCGGACCAAATGAAGGAGAACGATACCCAGCGCAGGCGGGACCTCATCCTGAAAAAGTTGGCGTTCGACGAGAATAAACTCGACCGTGAGAGACACGAACCTGACCCGTTCTGGCAGCGAGCATATCAGAACTTTCGAAAGCTGGTTGTGCCGGACACAGGACAGTGGTGCTTTTCCGAGCCTTTGTTCGTGGCTTGGGAACGGAATCAGGATACGAGCCCGCCCATTCTTGGGATTGAAGGGGTCGAGGGTACCGGCAAGAGCTACCTGGCCTCCACGATAATACGAAGACTCCGGAATCGAAGCTCGGTGGATAGTTGTGGCTCGCGTACTTTACTGGCCTTTTACTTTCTCGAGGGCGATTCAAAGGAGGAGCTAAAGAGGACTAACCACCTGGATCTTATTATCAAGTCTCTGGTCTGGCAATTCACCCAGGCCGATGCATCGTATTTGAGATTAGCAGCCGGTGTATGCGAAGAAACGAACGATCTGGATCCTCATGAAATCCCGGATCAGTTTTTGTTCAACAAAGACCTGGCACAAATTATTGATGCAACTTTCTTTATCGTCATCGATGGGATAGGTGACATTATTGGCGACGCGTTGGTCAAGTTCCTTCGTAGAGTCTCGACACTCACGCCTGATCATCAGCGCGTCCGCGTTTTCCTGACTGGTCGACCGAGGGCTTTCGAACAACTCGGAGCCGTCAAAGGCATGTCCTTTGAGAAGATATCAATCAGCACAAGGAACCGGTCAGACGTGGAAAAGTACACGCAGTCCAGGATGGACCACATTGAAGCGCTCGAAGATACGAGCCGCATGGGGATCCCAGAGCTCAGACAGAAGATCTGTGAGAGTCTATGTGAGAAGACAGCAGGTGACTACTTCAGGATCAACACGATTCTGAAGCATATCAGCACGCTAGATTATGTTCATGATATTGATCAAGTGCTAAAGGATGCTGGAAAGGAGCGTTCCGAGCAAATTCTGGGTGAGATCGAGAAACTAAACCAAACGCTTAGCCCTAAAGAGATTGCGGGGGTAAATGAGATCATTCTTTGGATCCTTTACGGCAGGGAGTGGTTCAAGCCGCGCCAAATGGCGGCCGTGCTCTATGAAAAGAGTGGCGACCTCTCGCTTCTACCCCTACAGACAAAGCTACAAATAAAGTATTCGTTGTTTGAGGTGGATAGTGACGGTGATATTGACTTTCGGTCTTATGAAATCACAGAATTGATACCTGAGAGACGCCAATCTCTTGATGGCGATGGAGAAGACTCTGCCCCCGGCGCCACCAAGAAAGTCAAATCTTCGGAGGTTACGATTGTGCGCCACTTTCTGAGCACAGTCTGTCCACCGGAACTTTATGACCGATTCGAATTCGAGTCGTTCTTCGAACAGAAGCTCCGTGGAAGAGGTGGCCACATATACCGAGACGATAAAGATACGGCTGAGGTGAAGCTTGCGGTTACCTGCTTGCGCGTTCTGACAGAGCAAAGAGATGGACGGCGCGAGATCCTTCGTCCTTACGCAGTGAGCTACGTTCTACAGCATCTATCTTCGGTGGATCTAGCTTTTGTGGATCGAGAATGGAAAGCTGCCGTCGGGCCTCGTCTGTTGAAGCTATTTACCGACGCATCATCGACAGACGCATTGCTATGGACGAACGATCTGGAAACGGCAGCCACATTTGCGTGGCATGCACGCTCTGCATGGCTCGATAGTAACGATGGTGTGACGGAAGTCCTTCGATGGTTTAGAGACTCGGCCGTAGTGTCGAGTATCTCTGACCACAAGCGAAGAGGTTGGGTTACCAACCTTGTTGCCAGCTCGTCACCACAGATAGGTCTCCTTGAATCATTTGTGAAAAGGATGGCGGTCCACTGGCTGCGAGAGACTTCTCCTCAGCCTCTAGCCTGCAACGCTTTTTCGTTTCTGTTCGACTCTATGCGCAAGGTTTGCCATTCTTAACATTCACTCGTTAGACGACATGGTTCTGATCAGATCAACTTCCCAGATGAAGCACGGTGACAAGTGTGAAGAGCATCCAGCACCAGAATACCAGTCCGATCCTACCGTTGAAGGCATTTACAGAGTAGAGAATTGGTGCCGCACATTACTAGAAACCAAAGAGGCGGATTCTTTATGGGAAGTACAGGTAGCTATAGTTCTACAAAACTTCTCATTCGAGGTCGAAGCCCAAAAGCGATGTCGGAACGCCTTGGAGCTTGATGCAGCCAATTGGCGTGCTTCTTTCTACCTAGCTCGCGCAGTTGCATCCGACGAGGAGGCCATCAAGATACTGGAAGATATGTCAGCCCGCCTCCAACAGGACAGCGAATGGATGCAGGAAGGCTTTCACAGAAAAGCGCTTGCCGAAATGCTCTTCGACTTAGGGCAGAGATACTGGTCCCTCGAAAAGTTCGATCTTGCCACTCAGTCCTACAACAGATCGATCGAAACCAACTACACTGGCTACGATCGTGCTTTGGTGATTCTTGAACAGTATCAGGGTCAACATCGATGGACGGATATTGTGGCCTTGCTGGGAAAGATCCAAGACACCTCCGGAGATACGCAGGCTCTTTCCGACATGCTTGTCAATCTTGCCACCAAGGAGAGTATACACGATATCATGTTACAGACAGCCATGGAGACGGAGCAGTTCAGTCGCCTGGAACAGATGTACGATGGCGCTATTAAACTGGCTTCTGAGCTACAGGCCTATACGAGCCTGTACTACGTTCGATATCACTTCGCCAACGCTCTCTCACAGGAAGTAGAAAATGAAGAACGCGCAGTCGCACTCTGGGAAATTGCTCTCAAGGACGATCTCCCTCGGTCATTCCTGGATGTCGAGGACATTCTCCCGAGCCTCACGATCAAGCTAGCCCCAGTATACTTGCGTCGAGCAAGAGCTGCCGAGCACGACTCAGAAATGGCCCACGAATACCTCCGCCGAATTTCAGAGATTCTACCAGACGAAGTCGCCGAGAACAAGATCCTGTTCCCCGCAAAGCTTTACGTATCTCGATACTACCAGGTGAAGGGGGACAAAGCCAAGGCGAAACAAATCGCTCGTAGCGTCGTCAAGATATCGCTGGAGATCCTGTCTGACGACGATAAACACAACGACTACCTAGCGTACTGGAGACTCCTCCTCGTTTTCTTACCCCTAGACGACGACCGGAACGCATCCGCAGCGGTCATAATGGCCGCACTCGCAAGCCAGTCATCCCTAGATACGAACACCGGCCGCGAAGAAGCTCTTCTCGAGAGTCTACAAGACACCGCTCCCGAAACCCCAAACCAAGACATTCCCGACAAGACAGAGAAGTCGCAAACCAAAGCCACTCCCCCGGTCGACACCACCGTGAACAAATCACCAAGACAAGGAGAAGAACCTCCTGCCAAGCCAGAGCCTAGTCCTATCTCTACTAGTCCCACAACTGCATACTTCACCCCTGACTCTTCCTCCTCACCCATCGCCGACCTATCTCTCTCCCTTCCCCAGATCTTCGCAGTCTGTGACGGCGAATGCGGTCATTACTGGGAAACCGCCAGCGAAATGTGGTGGTGCAAGGACTGCATCAACCTGACCTTCGACCGGGACTGTTTCGAAAAGCTCCAGAAGGGCACGTTGCCGCTGAATATCTGCGACAAGAATCATGAGTTTTTGGTGATCCCTAAGTGGGATCATGACAAGATGCGGAAGATTCCAAGGGGGTATGTGCCGTATGGCGAACGGGCTATTTCCTTGGAGGAGTGGAAGGGGGTTATTAGGAAGATGTATGTTGAGTTGGATGGGTAAATTTGTTCTCTTTTATTGGGTGCGTGGTGTTTGTTGGGGTTGGGTGTTGGTAATGCTTTTGCGATATATATCCGTTCTCAAGTGGAAACTACGCATGCAACAACTTGTCTCTCTTCCGATCCCCTTACTCAGCGATGAACTCATAACAAAGATAAACGCCTCTGAATAGACAGAGATAAGTAAATAAAGATCGCAAGACGCGACAATTTGATGTGGTTTAGTTAACCACCGCAAGTCCGAAAAAAAAAACCAGCACCCGAAAACTAGAAACGCTTGCCATTCCCTTCAGAACCAATAACCGAAAGCCCTCCCTCCCCATGTCCCTAGAATTAAACCCGCTAAAAGTTCATTCAAGCAAAGAGACAAACCTCAACCCTTAGGCCGAGCCCGTGGAAACAACCTCCACCCCACCCCCAGCGGACAACTCCCCATCCTCCCCATCAAACTCCACCACCTCATATGCCGACTCACAGAACTCCGGTTCCCGATAAGTCTTATCAAGCCACGCCAGCATGGCATCGCAGGCACGCGGAAAGATACACTCGACGTTCAACGCCTCGCCGGACGAGAAGCAGTTGCAGCCGTGTTCGGCGGCGCCAGGGACGGGCAGGCCGAGTGGTTCTTCGGACAGGACGTAGGCGCGGCAACGGGTAGCGATGAAGGTTGCGAAGGAGGAAGAAGCAGGGAAAGAAGAGGTAGGAGAGGTGGGTGCGGCAGTGGCGGAGTCGACATCGACATTGACATCGATATCTGTGTTGGTGCTGAGCTCTAGGTGAGTGAGGTGGAGAGGGTTGGTTAGGCAGATGGAGTTGATGCGTGTGTGCCAAGTTTCCCCTGTTCGGGTCTTGGTTAGTTGGGGTTGAAGGTGAGAGAGCATAGTAGTAAAGCGGGATGGCAATGTAGTCGAGAGAAGGAGGAGTGAGAAGGGACATACAACGATCAGCCAAATACCTAATCGCGCCCAGTCCACCGTCCGCGATACCCACGATCTGAATCTGCGCATTTACGCGAACAATACGACTCCCGGGGGCCAGAATTTCGTCAAACACGCAGTTGATATGTTCCTGCCAATCGCCATTCTTGGGTATCTTGTTCCGGTGTGTCATGGTTAACGGTGTGTCCACGGCCGATGCACGAGGCAGAGCCAGCCATGACTGTAGCGTCATTGCGCTCTGCGAGCCGCAGTGCCAGATCAATTGGCCGGTGTTCGCTAGGACAAGCGCCGTATCGGAGTGGTTGGGGACTGTCTGGGTAGAAGCGGTTTTGTCCGTGCCAGTTTTTGGACGTGAAGAATGGCCTGAATGAAGAACGGCACGGGCAAAGCGCACTGCGGAGCCGATGTCGATGCCCTCTGTGCCGACGCTGCGGTATGCCCAGATGGCCAAGTCCTGCACAGGCTCACCGAGCACGACGATAACTCTGGACGCGGTCGACAGGTTCGAGGAGACCAGGACTGGGACATGGGGATCACCAGGCGTAGAAAGAAGCGGGAGTTTCAAGGTTGTTAGGCCGAGAGCACGTAGACGAGACAGGACAACTTGGCGGATGCAAACTACAAGCTTCGTCATCAGTATCGAATCATGTGCTTTGTGCTTTTGGGGTCTCCGACATACCGTTCATCACTTCCCTCTGCCGCTCGTTCCATCTTGGATTTTTGTTGATTTTGAACTGGAATTCCTGCTCGGGGTCAGAGATCTTGCGGATCTGGTCCTTGTCATTGATGAAGTATCTAAGACCGCGGGGTAAGTTTTTATTTGTTCGCCAGATGTTTGAGTGATTGTTCTGTCTTACCCCAGTTTGTCCAGCTGGGCTGGAAATTCAGGGTCTGCTGGGAGGTCATCCCGACGGAAGACGAACATTGTGAGGATTCTAGCAGATTGTATTGAAGAGATACGTGAGTGAAAGTAACCGGTGGAACAATTGATAGAAGATATAAGGCAGAGGAGATGGAGATGGGGGTAGAGAAGGAAAAGTATATGGGAGCTGCAGGTTCCCGAAAAGACGCGAAGAAACGAAGCTCGTTTGCCAAAGTGAATTGTACCAGTAGAAAAAACAGTTCAATGAACTGAATAGCTAACGGTGAAGGTGGGAGTTAATATCCTCGAGTATTGGTTTGCTTCCTCACTGATACCAGATACTCGAAGCACTCAGATTCATATCACCCAAAGGCAGGTAAGTAGTTCAACTCGACCCAGAAATACATTCCTCGTCGAGATACAATTCAGCATATAATACATATTTTCAAATAAGGACGGAGAACAAACGCCATTCGTGCAAACCAAACCCAACCAGGTGGCCGAAGTTGCCACTAAAAGAGATCGATGGATATCGCTGCGATATCCCGGCAGTGTACAACATTCTATATTTCCAACATTTTCTCCCCCTTCTATATTTTCATCTTCCCTCTACCAGCTTGCCTTCTTCACACCCGGTAGATCACCTGCCAGCGCCTGTTCTCGGAATTGGTACTAGATAGCAACTGCATTAGCCGAGTTCGTATCGGAGATACCGCCACCATCTTGAGCACTTACTCTGGCAATTCTGAAGTCACGGATGATACCACGTGCAATACCACCAGCGACACAGCGGTTCTTGATCTGCGTGGGACGAGTGTAGGCGTGCATCTGGGTGAGCTGCAATTGAGCCTGCGCGCGGGTACGCTGAGGGAGGGAGGTGTTGCGGATGATGTAGCGCAGAGCTTGGCTATAGAAATCCTCGCATTAGCTATACACCTCCTCTAATTTCTCATATAACCAGGGTCCTGAAGACCCAGCCATGCGATAACAGCCTTTCTCGAGATCGGTGCTAGGTAGATCGTACCGTTCGGGCTCGTACTGCTCGAAAGCCTTCCGCTTGGTGTGGTCGCGAATTGCGCGGATGTTGACGAAACCGCCGAGGTCTAGCTTCTTCGACCGGAAGAACGACATGGTGACTGGATGTCTGAGTTGAGGGACAAGGCGCAATGAGGTCTGTCGGTTTGGCCGCAGTTTGGATGGATTTCGACGGCTTCTCCGCGGGTCTTGGCGCCGGTCACGGGGTTGCCATATGGGGGTTAGCGTAGACGGTCCTCTGCACTTTTTATCTGGAGTATTCGCCTCAACTTTGTAGAGTATAAGGACGGATATGAGTTACGTTCGAATAGAGAATGTAGTGCGCAATAATTCGAGGCAGACAGAGTCTTGCTTCCTCAGCACCAATGTTTGTTGACCCGGTGGCGGCCGAGTCTGGGAACATAATTTGATGCTGGGTCTGGTTATGGGAATCCACCGGCAATTAGAATGATTTTAGACGGTTTATGAATTTTTCCACTAGGTCCTGGGCAGAAGGCGTTGTCTGCTAGGCCTTGGAAAGTTCAACGCCTGTTTGCTCCTGGCCAGGCTCACGCTGCGAGCTACAGCCAGTCCCAAGACTATGAGGTACACGCCAAAACCCAGTTCAAGATTGCACTTTGTAGCGGCCGCTAATTATGATTAATTAGTATCGTGCGTACTCCTTACAAAGCCCTGCCCTTATACTAGATACTAGCAGAGTCACTGCTCCTGGCACATAAGGCCCCTAGCACGGTCGTCGTGTCGCTGGTCTTGAAGTTGAAAGAAAGAATTGAAGACACACGGGTTACAATCCTCAAGGTAGTGATACAACTTGTCAATTCGTCAATATGTGCGATGACGGTGTATTCTATATGCTAGTACAGAGCATCTGCCCGCAGAGCGGAACCAAAAGCGAAACAGATATCCGGGCCCATCAAGCCACCCTTGAACCTCCCGCGTTTGCCATAACAACGTTCTTCGAGATAATTGGGATTGATTTAGTGCTTAACGTTCTTGGCGTTAGGGTTGCGGGGGTCGTTCTTGAACTCGGCGGCTGGTAGGAAAGAAGCGCGGTTAGTGTTGACACTCTTGACGTTCCCAGTAAGGCGTTTGCGTCGGAGCTGTATGCTTCATCCCAAGCAGAGTGGACTCCAGAGGATGTGACCAGGGGACTCACTGTTCATCATGGCGTTGGCGGCCGAGTTGATGCCGTAGAGGATAACGGCGCCTAGGAATCGCTGTTAGTTTCGGAACCACCAGTACCGACACAGGTACAGCCGATGGATATCCAGGACGCGACACGAGCCATTCATTCGCAATAAGACGAGACTGCCGAACATCCGAAGATCCATATGGAAGAATATGGAAGATTTAACTCGACATACCGGCAGCAAAGAAGGGAGCCATAGGCCGGGCTGTAAAAGACGTTAGTTGATATTCGCGCTCCGATCCGACGGAACAGAGAGGATATGGTGGCATAGACTTACCAACGGGGGTGGGGAACTTCTTTCCAAGGAGAGACATGGTGGCAAGTGGTTTTCTTGACGAGGTGGTCTTGACTTGGAGGAGGAGATGGAGATGATGCAGAGAAGACGAGGAGAAGCGGGTACAACGAGGTTTGTCCGGAGGTCCGATGCCTGGCCGCTTTAAGCCTGAGGTCTTGGCAGGTGGCCGCTTTTGCCGGATCATCGCCCCGCCTGGAAACAACCATAACAAACATTGCATACATCGCATACTGCTGTCACTCAGTCTTGAACAATCCAGCATCCTGCGCACTTGATTCAACCCTCTTACACATTCCACACAATGGCTGCCTCTCTCGCCGCATCAGTCGACTCCCTCCAATCCTCCCTCAACCTCCTCGACTCTTCCATCGACACTCTCGACGCCGGAATTAGCGACTTCCCCCGCCTCTCCAAAGTCCTCCAAACCACCCGAGTAAGCATCTGCGCCCCCTTTAACCCCCGAGCAATTATTGTGGTTATCTAACTATTCAAACCAATACTAGCACTTCGAACTCCTCCCCGAACCCACCCTCCGCGAAGCCCAACAATCCCTCCTGGACGAAATCACCCCCAGCATCGCCCATCTCCTCTCCCTAGCGTCGAACCACGTCGAGAAGCTCTCCCGGCGCGAACAAGGTCTCCGTGCAAAATGCGAGCTGCAGGAGGGAAGACTGTATTCGGGCGAGAGCCGCCAAGCCCCGAGCCGTCCGCAACGGAGCAGCGCATTCGGCGATCGGTCCAAGGCCGCCTCCGCGGCGAAAGCGGCCGAGTATCGACGGCTGGTTCAGAAGAAGGAACGGCTTCAGTATGCGGTCGAGAGGCTGGAGTTACAGGGTAAACAGCGGGAGCGGCAGTTGAGGAAGAGTATGGCTTTTCAGTAGGGTGATGGTGCTGAATCGCAGGGCCAATTTACCGCACACACTCTGTTCGTCTTGGACAAAGACGCAAATCTAAGAGGCATATGGCATATACTGGGAGGGTATGCGAGCCTAGCTTGATCCTCGTTGTTCTGAAATGAACGGGAAATGAAAGTGCTCGTCGTGCTCATTGCTTGCCTCGGGAGTTCTTGCACCACGAAGAAAGACTCGATTATCACGGCCTCCCAGAAGACCAAAGGAAGACAAGACGACGACGGCCTCCTTGGTTGGTAACAGGGAGAAGGTCTGACTATGCCACCTCTACAACGCCACCTTTTGTCAGTGTTCCCTTTTTGGGGTATGATAACAGAAGATGATACTCTGGGGCTTGAAACAGGCTAGTCGATCGGCTTCGAAGCTGTGAATCGGATGCTCGGCAGCACTGAATTGTACATAGAATCATTGATAACGAAGAGATGAGAAATGGAGATGCTAATTTGAGTGAGGAGCTCAATTAGATACATTATTTATACACAATTTTCAAACGCAGCCATTTATCGTACACATATGATACAAGTCAGACTAGGTCATATCTAGATCAAGTCTGCTTTTCACCCAAAGAACCCCCCCCCCCCCCATAAACAATACTCTAACGCCTGCGTGCTTGGGAGTAAATGCCTCCAAGAAATCCAGATTTCAAGACTATTCTTCACCACTGAATTTAGAAGCGGTATACTGCTTCGTCGCCTGTCGCAGTTTCTTCTTATCTGCAGCCTTCTTCCAGCTAGGAATGGTTTGACCCTTCTTCCTTGGCGGGATGGCTAGTTCCGGCCAGCTCGATGAGCTCATCTCTCTTTGGTGTTCAAGCTCGTCCTTTTCGGCATCACTGAGCTCTTCTTTGGCGGCGGCACGTCTCTGCAGTCTTTCTTTCTTGCCCTCGCCATGTTTATCTCCAAGTCTCAGGTTTCGGTGAATGCGAGTCTTGGCACCAAGGGCCCATAGATCTCCCCAGCGTGCTTTGCGGGCATCCTTGTACGCCCTGCGACTGAAAGAACGAGGAACGGTCCAGCGTTCGATGTTCCCCGCGGGCGTGCACGAGTCAAAGATGATGTGTCCGCGACGCTTGATAGGGGGATAGACAATTCGAGGGAGCGATAAGGTGTGGAAATTCTGGCCGCTGCTGGAAGCACCGTCCTGGCTCGCTGGTGGCGCTTCATCCACCTGCGCCTCGTCGGCGGGGGCATCATCAACGTGCTCATAACCTGCAAAGGCAGCCTCAGTGGCTTCAGGACCCTGGACGATGCCTTGTGTCTCACGAAGATCAGCGCCACGCTGCACAGCGACATAACTAAACCTGACGTCCTCGTGGTTCCGATCCTTAGCCCCTACAATGCGTTGCAAAAACTGGGGCCTGATGTATCTTTGCTCGAAATGACAGTAATCCCTGCGGCCCTTCGAATGCCCATCCATATGATACATGGGGCATTTGCCATGGTTGGTGCAAGGAGCCACGATCATGCCGGCTTCTTTCTGAACGTGCGTGTCTTCGCTTGGCGACTCAGTCAGGTTTTCGTACTGCGTAGAGCCGGGGCTTGCGATATGGCGCTTGAGCAGCATTTCACGAGCTCCAGCAACCGCCTCGAATCCCCTCTGGTGTCCCTTTTCAAGCAGAATCAAAACACCGCCATTCGGGTTGAGCAGGTTCCACAGATTCTCGACATGCTCCTTGCGCATGTATTCCTCCTCAATGCCCAGCAAAGAATGCGGGGCGATAATGACGTCGTATTGTTTGCGCCGCGGGGGAGCTCTTGAGTCATCCAGCGTCGGTTTCTCACGAACATGGACATAATCCGGAAGCCGGGGAAGAAAAGACGTGTTTTCAAGCATCGCACTGGCGCGGAGCTGGAGGCTTTCTGATCCCGCAACCACCGTAGATCTGCCCACCGGGTATGGGCTGCCTTCGGGTTGGTCTGGTACCATAAGCTCCCATTCTGCACGAAGAACGTCTCTCCATGCGAGAACACCAGCTCCTCCTGCGCTAGCATCCAGAACGTGCGGACCCTCCTCCTGAGACATCAGTCCACGGATCCATTCGGGACCCAAGCGCTTTCGAACTTCTGTCAGAACGCTCAATGCAGAGGCGTACAGTCCCGGATATAGAGCAGCGATGTACGCATTGGCTTCCATTTCGGTCATGTGCCGTTGCGACGCCGACAACGGTATCGGGGTCTGGGGCGTTTGAGCGCGCGGGATTGGAGTATAAGTGGAATGAGGAAGTCTTGAGCCGCCGAATGTGCGACGAGCAGCCTCTGAGATGTGTTTGTTCGAGAAGTCCGACAGGATCGCAGAGATAGGGCCTGTCACGGTATCCTTGGGCAGGTATATGGTACTGGGATCGGTGGCGAACTTTCCCTCGACCGTTCGGGGATGAAGCCGTGGTGCATCGTCATGGATTGTGTCATCCCCAAATTGTTCGAGCATGATGTCTCCCCCGAGCTGTTCGGCGATTTCTCGTGTTCGTTGCATAGCAGCGGTTTCGTCCTCTTGGGGACCCGTCTCCATATCGTACGCCACCGTAACCTCTTCTTCTTCCTCTTCAGACACAGCCTCTTCAACATCCACCTCTTGCCAACCTCCCTCGCCATCTTCACGGTATAATGTGTTCAGATCCTCCTCATCCTGAACTTCAAGCTCCTCCGTGTGTTCTTGTACGAAAATAGGTTCGCCATATAGCTGGGTATATAATTCGATCTCCGTTGCGTTCAGGTGATCTTCCGGGAGCGTGTCTCCGAATTCTTGTCTCGCCGATCGCACGCGCGCTTCCAACGTTTGGGCGTCTCGATGACCGATTGTTTGACTGAATACATCATCTAACTCGGGTCCGTCGAAGTTAAGGGCCTCAAAGTAGTCGTCCAAAAGGTTTAAATCATCCATAAGAACGGCCAATTTCATTTCATTCTCGTTGATCTCGTCGATCAAGGCGTAGATAGCATCTTTCCGTTCGGTATTAGACTCTGCCTCCGCAGGTGGCGTCGTAGATGCATGTCGCGCCCCAAGGGTCCTAACTCCATGATTCAATACCGGCAGCGAGACTCGCACGGCAGAATTAGGCGATAAGCTTTTCGGCGTGATGGCGCTGCTGCGTTGTCGAGTTGGTAGGAAGCTGGCAGCTCCGCGGAGCTGTTGCAAGCCGGTTTGCGGCGGTCGATTCGCGATCGGTCGTAAAAGTCTGTGGGAACATGGCCGACTTGCCCGCGCTGCCGAAGTTCTCGACAGCATCCTCAGACCTTCTGCCGCTCTGCAAACAAACGAATAATTCGAGGTTGGAAGAGAGGAAGAAACAGCAACGCCACTGGAGAGCAGCGACAGGGAAAACCTGCGCCAAGACCTGCGCGTATCAAAAATGGCTGCGCTATGATTGGTCGGAAGGATCTTCAGTGGATGACATAATCTGTCGCCTCCCAATGCGGTAATCCGGCCAGGAACCGGGCATCATCTGGGAATTTCTATAGTTCATGACGCACGGATGAGGCACAAATCGATTAGTATCCATTTACAAGTAAACTGATTCTATGCACAATTATCTAAGACTGGGTATCACTCTCTGAATCCTCACTGCCCATCAGAACCTTCAAGGCTGAGATCCACTTCATCACCTCATGTTGTAAGGCAGTCAGTTTAGCCATGACGGCCATCAGGCTGGGGTCCTGGCTCTCCACTCGCACCTTCTCCTTCACTTTGACCTCTTCGCCTTTCCAGGTAAAAACATCACCAGCCTCGTCATGCGGGCGATGGCGAGTACCGAAGATCCGATCCCGCAAATTGAACCCGGTCAACGAGATATCAGTCGCAAAGGCAGTTGGAGTGTGATTGGGGGTAATGGGCTCGAGGGTCCTCAGATACAGCACGAGAGCTGAATCTGCAATCGAGAGGTGGAATGAAAGTGATGAGGGAAGGGGAGGATCGAACATCTTTACAGCATCGAGTTAGTGGCCACCAGAGCATAGAGCGAGATGAACGTGCAGTCCCGGCACGGCATCTGGTAAGACTTACCTCCTCAGCTGCACTAGTTTCCCACCATTTGCCTCTGACTTTATCACTCTCGCCCTTCAGCATTTGCCGAGCCTCGGAGATGGTCTCATGCAAAAGGTGTAATTGACCGAATATAAAACTCGCATTGAGCGGGTCCCCGGTCCATGTGCTAACGTCCACAACATCGAGGCTCTGACTGACCAAGTTTCTCACCGAGGCCAGTTGGTTTAACATGAGCTCTGGAGCATCTGGGCCGGTTGACAGGCACAATCGAGTTGTGGGCGAGCCACGCACCGATGCAAGGGAGCTAAGGCGTAGCTGGATATCCTGTTGCATTGACGTAATTCAGCGCCTTTGTGCGTGCAATTGGGCAGAAAATAGAGCACTTTCAAAGTGCCGGAAGGGCAAAAGTTTAAACAAACATACGCCTTTCACAATTTTGGTACCAACTCTTGTGACGAACCCTTTTACATTCTCGGATCGCAGAGACGATAGGACCAATGTGCTACCAGGCTCCTTGGGAGCCAAAAGCGCTTCACATTCATGGAGACCTTCCCTCAAGGATGCTAGCGAGTCTTGCAAATTGCGCAGTAGCCATTCCAGCTCTTTCGCCTGTATAGAATGTCAGAAAATCCAATCGAGTTCTACCAGTGCTGGAGCAATGATTCGGTAAGCAAAGCGTGGGATGGGCAAAAGCACCTACCAATGCGCTGTCGGCTTCCTGCTCCAATCGCTCCGGAGGCAGGGGAGGGTATGCCCAGGTAGCCATCTTGCAGATCGGGCCAAAGAACAGAGCAGTCGGCTTCTTTAGCCCTGAGTTTCGGGCAGTCGGATGTGCCTAGTGTCCCTTAGGCCTTCGCAACGTTGGATAAGGAGCTCTGGGCCCTAGTGATGCAGTTCACCGCAAACCGCCAAAGAAAAAGACGGTCGCATTAACTCCTACGATGATCCACCGCGACCCAGTCGGACCAGAAAGTGTCAGCCTAATGGAGTCAGGAGCGGACGAAATCAAGGCTCGTGGATGGTGCAACGTCAAATAGAGCAGCGATGGGATTCTGCGACAACGTCATGGACCCCGTGCTGCGCTAACCCGGTCGGGGCTAGTAGGAACATAGAGTTCGGTCTAGCCGAGGACAGCTAGCGGGGTTGCAATAACGATGACGTCGAGATCTCCCGGCGCTGCTCTGGACATGGACGACCCGGCGATGATGAACGCTGCAGAACCTTCGATCGAGGGTGCAGAACCGCATGATGCGTTCTCATTATTATATCACTACTCTGCTCCCCTGCCGACTCGAGAGGACGTCACCGGTACCTCCGGAGATCCGTCTTATTAGTTGAAAGTCCTACCAGTGCCATCTGGGTCTGCAACCCTCCAGATTTTTTTTGTCGCTCCTTGCGCCTTGACTTCTAAGTACTTTTTTTGCTCTTTCATTCTACTGAGCGCACTATTATTGTCGCGATCGCCATCTCACTTGACGGTCGAGTGGTCTATACAAGCAACTTCCAAACCGAAAGCGAAGGAAGCGAGCCCTAGCAACCATGCCTTTGAGCAGTACGTTCCCACCGAACGAACCCTTAGTGTCCTACATTTCGAGCACACACATTGACATGAAGACTGTATAGGAGCGGCGCTGGGCTTTCTCGGCCTATTCTTCACAGCCTCAGCTCTACTGCTGATGTTCCTCACCATTCTCGGTGGAGCAAAGAACTCGAACCCTTTGAACCAGATCTATCTGCTTCAGGTCGACACGAGCAATATCCCCGGTGCCCCCGATCTATCTCGATGGACCTTCTGGAATCTCTGTCGTGTCGATGCAGATGGGAAGAGTCAGTGTGGAAAGTCGTACCCCGATTTCCCCTTTGACCCGCCAAGTCACCGAAACTTCGACACTACGACCAACATTCCGCCAGAGTTCGTTGGGTAAGGCGACTTCCGAACAATCCTGCCGTGCTTGTACGTGGGCTGATAATGCGATTGCAGATCGAAGCACTACTTCCTGACTTCTCGGTTCATCTTCCCCTTCCTGATCATCGCCCTGTTCTTCGCCGTGGTGTCCCTCTTCACCGGATTCCTGGCCATGTGCACCCGCATTGGAAGCTACCTCTCGTCCCTCATGGCGTGGGTTGCTCTGTTCTTCCAGATCATCGCTACCTCTCTAATGACGTGAGTGGATTTTCCTTCTGCGACTGAACGCCACGCACGAAGCGTTAGATCGTTTGCTAACATTACAACCAGCGCCGTCTTCGTCCAGGGCCGTAACAGATTCAGCTCTAACGGCCAGGTCGCCAAGCTCGGTGTCAAATCGTTCGCCTTCATGTGGACCGCGGTGGCTTGTCTTCTCTTGTCTTGCGTCCTGTACTGCATGGGCGGCGCTGTCGGCAAGCAAGAGAAAGGATACAGTGGGCGCGAGCACCGACGTCGTGGCTTCTTCTCCACCCAGCGATCTCGCAGCGTTCGGAGCAACAAGGAGGCGAACCCATAATCGACTCGTTGCGCATCGCATGCCTGAGCTATCGCCGCTGTTCGCACGACAAGTATGGATCGGCTGTGGTCATTTCTCGCATACCCGCAAGCCAACCAGGTCCAGTTGTATGTTCCAAGGATATCCATCCTACCACGCTTGAATTTCTTCGCTGGCAAAAGCAAAATTTCCAAATCTCACCCGAGTCTGCTGAACATGCTTTTAGTATGACTCAAAAGAGATACCCCACGCTTTTCGTTGTTTGTTCAGTCCCGCGTACTAATTACGTTTCCCTGCTATGCTTTGACAGTTTGAGCAGGGCAATCTTGTTGCCCTGCGCTCGCCCTTAATAATTTTTCCCCCTGAGTTATGCTGATGGTCTACGTGTGATTGCCGATTGAATGACTTATGTCACGAGTGTTGTTTTGATGTCCAGTATCTAGTAATTGTAATATAATGGGAAGCTATTTTATACTTGATGGTTTTAGTGGAACTCCGGATTCAGTAAGATCTACAATAGGTACAATGGTGTTTACTTCGAAATCTATAAATTTCTATAGAAAGCAACCTGTATATATACTTTTGAAGAACCTTCATCGATACATTCGTCATCAAGAAATCATTGCAAAGACAGCGTACTCCGTAGGGCATAATTCTGTTGACCTCGGTGTTTTCAGCTGACTCAAACCATCGGTCCAGTTTGTCTAGCGAAGGAATATGCAACACAGAAAACAGAGCGATGGGGCAACAGGAGGCACAGAGCTTAATCAGAAAAAAGAAATTTGATATTCTAAATGGTTCATAAACAAAAGGTGCAGGACATAAAGCATGAAAGCGCGGGTCCAAGGATATGAGAGGGAAGTTTCATCAAAAGGAGAAGAGAAGATACTGTGCAATCACTTAGATGAAACAGTCTAAGGAGCCTGGACGGCACCGCGGACAGCACTCTGGCCTCCAACCTCACGGGCAGTGATCTGCAGACCCAGGTCGGCGTTGACGTGAACCATCAACTCAACCTTGTTGCCAGCCTTGACGCCCTTGACGGCAAGCTCGGCAACGGGCTTCTCGGTCTTCCAGACGATCTCGCGGGTCTCCTCCTCCTCCTCGTCGTCGGAGTCGAAGTCAGAGTCGTCGTCTTCTTCGGTCTTGGTGGGCTTCTCCTCCTTGGCCTTGGGCTCGGGCTTGGTGACCTTGATGTCACGGACACCCTCAACGACGCGGATGAGGACGTCACCACCCTCCTTGGGGGCGGAGTACTGCGCAATGCGACGAGCGGGGAGAGCAGTCTCGGCGTGCAGGAGAGCCTTGAACTCGGTGGCATCGCCCAAAGCGAACTCAACACCAACGGCGTTCTTGAGGTGAGCGGTGGCAGTGACCATAGGGTGGATGGACTGCTCGATGTCGTCCTTCTCGAATTCCTGGATCAAAGAAGCCTGGATGGCGGCACCACGGGCGGACAACTCGGAGGGGTTGATGGCGCTAGTGAGCGTCGAGGGGGCAAGGATCTTGGTCTTCTCGTCGAAGATGTTGCGAGCCAGCTGGGCAATCTTGGGGGTGTGCGAGGTACCGCCCGAGAAGATAACCTAAGTGGGTGGTCAGAAAGACAGTCCTTGTTTGCTAAACAAATAATGGCAGTAAAAACATACCTCATCGATGTCCAGAACATCAAGGCCGGCCTTCTGGACAGCCTGCTCGATCAGGCCGGTGAACTGAGCGAACACCTTGCCCGACAGCAGCTCGTACCGCGTGCGGTTGACGGTGGAGCCGTAGTCAACACCATCGGCAAGAGACTCAATGCTCAGGGTAGCGTTGGTACCCAAGCTGAGGGCCTTCTTGGTGGCCTCACCCTCCAGCTTCAGCTTGGCAAGACCGCGGGCGTTCTCCCGGGGGTCAGTCTTGTGCTTCTTCATGAACTCCTTGGCGAAGTGGTCGATGACGATCTTGTCCAGAGTGGCACCTCCGAGCTCGTAGTCGTGGGCAGTGGCGAGGATGGTGTACATTCCGCCGCGGCAAGCGAGCACAGCAGCGTCGGAGCGGGTACCACCAAGGTCGGCCACAACGACAAGCTTGTCGGTCACGGTGGCCTCGGGGCGGGCATCGTAGGCCAGGGCAGCAGCGACGGGCTCGTGGATCAGCTGCAGGACTTCAAGACCAGCGTCCTTGGCGGCCGCGGTCAGGGCTGTCCGCTGAGCGTCGGTGAAGTCGGTGGGCACAGTGATAACGGTGGCGTTGACTTCCTTACCCAGGAAATCGGTGGCAGACTGTTTAAGGCGACGGAGGTGACGGGTGGCGATCTCGGAGACGGTGACAGTGTTAGGAGTCTCGCTTTCGGTATCACGGATCGAAAAAGCCACGGTAGAGTCGCTCTGCTGGGGGTGGGCCGAGTTGTGGCACGGCGTGGGGTCTATCGACTTGAAGCTGTGTATTCTGTCAGCGATGCTCGTTCCTCCATGAAACCAGATGAGGTTTAATTACTCCTTGCCAAGGTAGTCGCGGAAGTAGGCGACGGTGTTCTGGGAGTTGCGGATGAGCTGGGCCTTGGCCTGGGTACCGTGGTATTCTTCGCCATCGATGTACGAGAGAACGGTAGGGATCTGACGGTCTATATCGAACAATTAGAATTTCGCTCTTTCAACAGCGATAAGAACGTGTGGGCAACATACCTCCTTCTTCGTTGGCAATAACCTCAGCCTTGCCCTCCTGTGCACAAATCTCCGTTAGTTGATGCCATTCTCTTTCGTTGAACTAATTCGCAGAAGATCGAAAATTTGGAGGACCGCGGACCGCCGAAATTTCTCACGTACAGGGTTAATGCGGGCAATGGAACTAGAGGAGTTGCCAAAGGAGATACCGATGGCGAATCGCTCCGCGGCGCCGTTGACTCCGTCACTCATTTCGAAATATAGATAGGAGAAAAATGGGAGGAAGAAAAAAAAGGAAAAGAGGGAGTTTGAAGAGGAGGGGGAACAGGAGAGTTGAAAATGGGGGAGGGAAACGAGTAGAATCGGCCGTCGGACTGATCGTCTCCCAAAAGGAACGAAGAAAAAAAATTTTGGATTGTTTGACGGAGCGGCGGGCGGTGGCTGGTGCTTATCGATAGGGTTCAGTGGCGGTGCCGGGATGGTCAAGCCACACTTGCTGGCCCGGACACAAAGCGGATCTAGAGAGAGTGCAGCCTGTCTTTCCTTTTTTCCATTAAGACTATTCTGTTGAAATTTCCCTCATTGACCCAACTCCCCCTATTGTGTAGTCACTACATAGCTACAAGTACACACTGTGCAAACCACCTTGAGATCTGTGTATCACGTGCTGATAACGCGATAAGCGGCTGCTTCTTGCAAAAAGCCGTCGACCGCAGAACAACCAAATCCACCCACTTGAACAAACATTTGAACGCAGCGCCCATCATGGCCTCTCCATTGATACTTCTCCCGGGTGACGATGTCCCTTCGGAACATCTCCCCTCCAACGATTCGGCGCCGCTGAGACTGGGCCCCGGTCTTCGCCTGCTTTCGCAACCATCCACATCGCCCGCGCCCACCGACGCATCAACGCATGTTCTCTCCGCGACCCAGGCCGGAATCCTTTCCACAGATCCCCGACGGAACGCAGTCTCTATCCTCTCGTTCCCCAATCGCCGCTACACCCCGACTACGAATGACCTAGTAATTGCGCAAATCCACCACTCCAGCCCGGACTATTTCCACTGCATGATCACGCCCCAGACCCCGCAGGCAGTGCTGGGACAGCTATCGTTTGAAGGAGCCACAAAGAAAACGCGACCGATGCTGAAACAGGGAGATTTAGTTTATGCGCGTGTATTGTCAACGGGTCTGGGTGCCGGAGCTGAAGTCGAACTCACTTGCGTCAACCCTGCTACTGGAAAGGCCGAACCCGGGGGTCTGGGCCCGTTGACCGGCGGAATGGTCTTCGATCTCTCCGTTGGTATGGCGGCTCGATTGATGCGAGCCAGTTCGTCTACGTCAGATAACGAAGATGGTGTTGAAGGGTTGGTGGTGCTGGACGAACTGGGCAAGAAGCTGGAGAAAATCGGCGGCTTCGAGATCGCAGTCGGGCGGAATGGCAAGGTGTGGGTGGACTGTGCAAATGGAGGAGAGTCGGCTGTCAAGGCGACGGTGGCCATCGGACGGTGCCTCGACGCGATTGACGCACAGAATCTGCAACCAGCAGAGCAGAGGAAGTTGGTTTCGAGGCTATTGCGAGAAATGAAGGTCGATACTTGAAGCGTCCCTAGCGGATACTGTTTCTTCGAGCGGTTTTCACGTCTATTTATTTGTGGTATCTCCTTTTTCTTATTCATTATATGTAAATACGAATGTATACGACAGACCGATTCTATAATAAACCAATGGTCACTCCACTGCACGTCCTGTAGCGTTTGTTTAAAAAAGAAAAGGGAAAAAAAAAAGAGTGCGGAAAAGGCCGCGCCGCCCGGGCCATGCCATACCCAAGTAGCTTCAACTGGCGACGGACTTTTTTCTCTTTCTTTTTTGCGCTCTGCCGATGTCACCCCCATAAGAACCACCTTTTGCCCGCCACTTTGCCCACCAATCTTTCGGTTTCCCTCCTGCTGAATTATCGCTCTAAAATCGCCCATTCCAGATGGGTCAAGGGGCGTCTCAGCCTGTAGATGAGGGGGAACTCTCTATCCAGTCTTCCGACGATCACAGTACGTTGTTTACCCCGAAGATGAAACCAGAAACTCCTCTCGGAACTACACTGACAACATTCTATCGCACATAGAACCCAAGGAAAAGAAATCGCATAAGAAATCTTCAAAAGCTTCAAAAAAATCAAAGTCACATGCGAAATCGACCGACGAGTCAGCAACGAAGCGGAAACGGAAATCTCACGACCATGACAAGGATTCTGTCGCGCCGGTGCCGACTGCTTCTCCCGTTTGCGATGATCAAAGCTCTCGTCCTGTGAAGCGCAAAAAGATGCGCGAGGAGGACAATACGGAAATAGAAGTGCCTGATTCCGATGATCGCAAGCCGGACATGACGGCCCTGAAGACGAACGAGCAGCCAGCTACCAGGTCCCCTCCCACTGTCCGATCCCCCACTGAAGGAAAACAACACCACGGCTCCTCGAAACGTGCTAGCAAGCCTGAAGTGACACCCAATCCTAAGGATGAGGAGGTATCAAATCCCGAGTCTGAGCAGAGCTCAGAGGATGAAAAGCAAGAACACGAAGAACACTCTTCAATGCCTAGCGCACGACGTCAAAGAGTTATGGGACGAGGGGACAAACGTTATTCTGAAAACGGTCGGGTAGTGGGACACTTTCACCCGGAAGAGATCCAGCAGATCGAAAAGTTCAAGATAGAATTCTGCAACTCCTTTGCCATCACTGGAAACGATTTCGACGAAATGGTTCAGCACGCGGTACGGGACAAGGAAGCTCCATTCCCTGGGGCTCATATCATGCCGAAAATAGAATTTTGGCAGTCTATCTACGATGTCATCCCAAATCGGGACCGTCGCTCGGTTTACCGCTTCATGAGACGGCATTTCCAGTCTTCGGAGCAGAAACCCCATGTCTGGACGCATGAACAGGACGAAGAACTGGTCGAACTCTATGAGGAACACGGCCCCAAATTCGCCTACATAGCAAACCTTTTGGGAAGAAACGATGACGATGTAGTACAGAGATGGAAGAACAGGCTGCAGCATCGGGGAACCATGAACCGGGGACCTTGGACAGATGATGAAACCGAGGCTCTACGCAATGCTATACAAGAAGCGTGGAACAAGTTGAAGGAAAACAACAACAACGTTGGCGCGGACATCTATGAGATGGACGAGAAACTGGTCGCTTGGGGTGCTGTCAGTGACAAGCTTCAGAATCGTCGCTCGAGGCAGCAATGTGGGGATAAATGGCGCAAACTCAGACGCAAAATTTTAATGGCACGCGGACAGGAGAGTGGAGGTTCTTTTGGAGCTGCCAAAGAGCTCCAGCGGCATAGTTTGGGCAAAATGTTGACAGGACAACAAGATGACAAGAATGCTGGAAAATATCTAAGCAATCCATATGTCTTCGATTCCGACGATTCCGACGATGATGATATGAATGAGGGCTCCGAAGACGGAAAGGTTACAACCGCTCAGTCAGAAAGCGATGAACGCCAATCTCCTGTTCAGAAGGAAGAGACGAAGTCTCCCGCAGCTTCTTCTATCCCCAAATCAGTGCCCAAGGCCGATTCGGATGCAAATTTTGGCTCGGAAACTGGTGAATCAAGTTCTGAATCCGAACCGGAAAACAACAATCCAGGTTCGGACTCAGACGAGGATGAGGAGAGCCATACAAGCATGGAGCCCAACGCAGTGCAGCCTACGAAGCATAAGCAATCGAGCGGGCAAGAAATGAAGGAATCTATCAAGCCTTCGGTAGCGAACAAATCCAAAATGGATAGCGATGATTCGCAGGGAAACAGCAAAAAGCGGAAACCTGCAGAGAAGACTAACAATGCTGCAACCACTCCCAATAAGAACAAGTCTGTGCAGGAGAGAGAGACCTCGCCTGAATCTTCTTCTGAAAGCGAGGACAATGACAGTGAAGATGATAAGTCCAAGACTTCCGCTCACAGCCAAGGTTCATCTCAAGATCAAGCACAGAGCGTGGAGCCCCAGACTCAGCTGTTTAATGTCAAGACCGAGGCAAGGTCAACTGCTGGCGAAAGGTCGAATGGTGCATCCGGTGACGACAGTGAGAGCGAAAGCCCAAGTGGAAGTGGAAGTGGAAGTGGAAGTGAAAGTGAAAAGGAAAGTGAAAGCGATGACGAAAGTGATATGGATTTGGACGTCCCGCCCAAACGTGAGCCAGAGAAGCCTACACCGAAACTGCTTTCCCCGGTAAAGGCGAATCCCAGGCCTCGGCTATCCCTCCAGCAGATCAAAGAAAACCTCAAAAACGCGAAGCCAAGTCCCGCCATCACGACGCCAGCGCCAGCGCCAGCGCCAGCGCCAGCGCCAGCAGAGAACTCCTCGTCCTCGGATGAAACTGAGAGCTCTAGCGATAACGAAAGCGACAGCGAAAGCGAAAATGAGAATGATATGGATCTGGACCTCCCACCCAAACGTGGGCCAGAGAAGCCTACACCGAAGCTACCTTCCCCAGTAAAAGCGAACCCCAGGCCTCGGCTATCCCTCCAACAGATCAAAGAAAACCTCAAAAAAGCGCAGCCAAGTCCCGTCATCACGACGCCAGCACCAGCAAAGGACTCGTCCTCCTCGGATGAAACTGAAAGCGAAAGCGAAAGTGACAGCGAAAGCAACAGCTCTAGCGAAGATGAACCGGCAAAACCAACCAAGAAGGCTTCTCCTGTTCGAACGAAGGGGCCTGCTCAGATCCCATCGCCTAAGAAAGTCGACCCAGTTGCAAAGAGAGCGAAGTCCTCGTCTGACGACAGCTCTAGTGAGAGTGACAGCGACAGCTCGCCTGCGAAGCCTGTGAAACAGGGCTCCCCGGTCAATATCAAACGAAAGGCCCAGGTTTCTCCTGTCAAGTCCACAAGCAAGCCAGCCCCAAAACCGGCTTCGGACGATAGTGAAAACAACGATGGCTCTGGTTTCTCCTCTTCTGCCTCAGAAGACGAGGACGAAAGCGAATCGGAGGATCCCAAGCCCACGATTCCGGCAAAGACGGAGCCTAACAGTCAAACCCGCCCGGTCAAGCGTCGCTCCACTTCAGCTGCTTCATCTGATGGCTCTAATTCCGATTCCGACTCTGCCGCATCTGCGGATAACTCTGCTTCTGATTCCGAATCTGCTTCCGAATCTGAACCCAAATCCAGCTCGAAATCGAAGGTCAAGCCCCGGTCTTCACCACCAAAGCGATCCATAGACCAAAACTCCAAGAGAAAGCGCTCCTCCACGTCCACTTCAACCTCAACGCCAACCGCAGCGCGTTCAGTCGCCTCCCGCAATATCAAACCCGAGGCCAGCAGCGCAAGCGAATCGGATACCAAGCCCCCGGTCAAAAAGACCAAGGTCAAGAAAACCGCATCGCCGGTTCCTGGGCAGAAGAGGAAGACTCCTGTCAAGCAAGAGCAGGGCTCTAGTGGTAGCGACAGCGAGTCTTCGAGTTCTTAGACAGATAAAGGGGTTGAATAAATAGAGGATTTGCTTTTGTGGTCGTTGGCCGGTACGGAGTAGTGCATTGCTTAACTTACGACGAATAATGAACGATTCTTGTTTAGTTGGATTGGAAAAGCTGTTGTCTTTTTGCTATGTTTTGGGTTAGAGTCTTGTAATATTTCCTGTAGATTGTTCAAGGCTCTCTCCCTCGCTTTCTCTCGAGGCTTTAATGATGAAACATTTCGTTTATCTCAGATGCGATAACATTCCTATCGAACTTATGTATCGCATGTTCTAACTAATCAATGCTTGCTCATGAAAGGAAACACACTTCTATATAGACTCGCAAGTAAACTAATCTACAACTCATCCTTCTCCCACGCAGAAGGCTCTTCTTCCTCATATACATCGTCCCCATCCTCATCCTCCTCCTGAACCTCAGCCCGCAATTCCTCCTCCTTCTGCTGACGCTCCGCATCCACTCTCTTCGACAACGCCGCGATCTCATCATCATACTCCGTCCACTCGGGAACCTGTCGCCTGGCCCGATCTAACTTCGGCTCCTTCGTCTGCGGGTTATTACACAGATCGATTGTCCGCGCCTGGCCGAGCGATTCATCCGAGCACCACGTCTCGCACCACAGCCAGTCCTGGGGCAGACTCTTAATCGGAATGTGATGCTGCATGTGGTTCGGGAGGTCTTGGTCCAGGTTGCTCAAGCTGTTCGGGTCGGCGGAGAGCATCTGGTACTGGCCACGGAGACGGTCGCCGGCAGCGAGAGCCCGGAAACGGTTCAGGTCGACGACGTACAGCGCCGAGATGTGGTAGGGCTGGCCGCGGAGGAAACTCTTCCAGTATCCCTGTTTCCAGAAACGGAAGCCCTCGATCTCTTCGCGCGAGTCGCACATGGGCGTGAAGCCGTACGGCGCGCCTTCGAGGTCGAGCGTGACGAGGTCGTACATGTCCGTGCGGACGACTTGGTCGGCGTCGACGAAAATCACCTTGTCGAGGTTCAGCGGGAAGAGCACGTCCAGGAAGAGGATCTTGTAGCCCCAGATCTCGCGCTGTTTCTCGCGCTGGGCGCGCAGCCAGTGCGGCCATTTGAAGGTGACCATTTCGTATTGGAAGCCGTATTCGGCGGCGAGGTGCGGGAGGAAGGATTTGAAGGAGGGGGAGAGGAATTGCTCGATGAACCAGAACTTGACGGTGTGTTTGGTGTTTTTCATCACTGAGACCATCATGATGTTGAGCATTCGTTCGTAGAGGTGGCCGCTCGCGACGGAGAAGATGTTGATGTCGGCCTGCTTTTGGGACAAGCCAGCTTTGGAGCCGACGCCGACGCTCGAAAGAACGTTAGAGGCAAAGCCGAATCCCTTGGAGACATAGTCCATGGCCGTGCCCGCTTTAGGGCCTGTCTCCAGGACATCTTCCATTTCCTGACCCTTCTTGCGGGACAGGCGAGGGAACAGAGTTTTGCCCTGGAAGGAAAGCAGTGCCACTTCGTTGTTGTCGTCACCGGGCTGGGGGCTGTATCCCAGACCACCAACGCTATCGAGATTGAAAATGCGCTCGCTGGAGCCAGGTTTCAGATTGATCTTCCATAGTCCAGGCTGTGTTTTGAATTGGAAGTATCCCAGGTTAGCCATGATGATGGTATCCGAGTAGTAGGGATTGTTGTCGGTTCCAATATTCAACTGAACTCCACTTGGAGGGCTCTTGGTGGTCAAATCCCGGGAATGGCCTTCGATCAAGATATGCTCCAAGGCGTATACCGCTTCGACGTCGGAGTCGGGATTCAAAGAGCTTAATTTGATATTATCAAGGTCATGGATGGAATCTTGGGGAGCCACAAGCCAGGATGACGGTACGTCCATACCCAAGGTAAGAAGCGCCTCGACTGGCACACCTCTGAACGAGGCCGTAGGCCGTGAGATAGACCCATTATCGTTGAACGAAGGCTCTGAGTTCAGAACATAGCGGTAGAATCGCTTGGTGGGGAGTTCTTGAATCTGCTCGCGCGGGTTTAAGAACAGCCTGACTCGTACACTTGCTAGTTCGGAAAGCACCTTCAGGATTGGGAGCCATCTTTGGGCGGTCTCCGAGCTTGGATCAATCGAAGCCAGAATCGTGATTGCTGGATCCTCGGAGTTCGAGACCGTAAGCACAGAACGAGAATTGCTCCATTTGTCGAACAAATTCATCCGAATGTCGGAAGTTGACTCGAAGATGCCCTCTGGTACATCAGATATGGTTGAGAGGGTGGTGAGAGACGTCAACTTGGCAAAAGCGAGAGGGCCAGGAATGTTTGAACCAAATCCAAGGTCCTTACAAGCTCTTGCGACCGGGCCAATCCGCTTTTCCTGTTCATAGGTCAAAAGCTGGTCTAAATCATCAACCGTCACGTCATGATGAATAGGCCCGATTGCCCTTCCATTCAGCACAAGCCCATTAACGCCTGTCGGGAAGCCAAGTTCCCGAACCAAAGACTGCTGGCCTGCCCAGAATTGGGAAATCTCTTCGGCTTCTTCGTTCGATGGAGGAGAAATGGCAGTGGAGCCGATATTGGCTAGAATTTGAGCGGGATCGACCTGCTTTCCTGTCTTGATAGAACGGTACAAAGAGGTAGATCCACCTGTCGCGGACGCCGGCTTCTCTGAGTTATGAACAAAGAGAACTTCCACTCCATTGTGCTTTTCTCGGTGTTCCAGAGCTGCAGTAAGCAATTGGAAACCACTTTCCGAATCAAAATCACCGACGGCAATCAGGTGGGCACTGTCAAGAGCATCGTCGTTTGTTGCGGCAACCAGTGGAGTTTCGCTCAGTACATGCTTCTGCGAGTCTGACACTTTAGCCAAATCCACGACCCGAATGTCCTTGGGATCTTCGGGAATAGCCCATTGACTGCGCCGAGGGAACGCCTTGGAAAGGAACACGCCTGGCAGCGAGGTAGTTTCCTCAATTACTCCATCGGCAATCCCATGTTGAAGTTCCTGCAGGTCTCTACTGATCCTCACGCTCACTTCCTGCATCCAGTTGCTCTTGCGTGGGACTGATGCTCCGTTGATGAAGCTTTGTGGAGCGTCAGGGGTGATACCGAGTCGATCCTGATAATGAACTGTTTGTGAAACCACGTTTTCGAGATCATCATTCTTCAGAACCTCATCGAACGAGAGCGCCTTCTTGTCAGGACGGACCTGTCGCTCCTTGGTCGCAGTCTCAAAGCAGCCTTTATCCGCTGATGCCGCCTTGTTCTTCTCCAAGGACTAATAAAAATGAGCAAGTCTAAAACAAAAGAGCTAGACGCTGATACTTACCTCGTCCAGATAATGAATAAGGCTTGCTAGACCATAGGTCTCCTGCAGATAATGAGCGACCTTCACCTGGGACTTTTGCCCGGCTGAGGACGCTATAGGGACTATAGCGAATCTGGCCGGGATACCCTTCTTCACGAACGCTTGCATGGTTCTGACAACAAAACTCAAGTCCTCGAGGCTGCTCAGGTCAACCGGGACCACAATGCTGTTCGCGTTACGGCGCACGGCCGGAAGTTGACCGGGATAAGTGCGTTGGAGGAACTGGGCCATGTTAGTATGTCGGAATTGAACAAACTATTTAAGGAAGGGCTCACTGCTTCCAGTTCCTCGGGCCAAGATTGGTACCTAGCATCCTTTTCAAGGTCATTGAGCCAGATGAGAACGCGACCTCCCTCGATATCATCCAGATAGTTATAACGCTGGGGTGCCTCCCGCGCCAGAGCCTCCCCCAGGAATTCGTGCGACAGAAGGCTCACTGCTTCTTGGGCAGATATCCCAATGTCACGGAACTTCTCGATCAATCTACGCTCACGACGCAGGTGTTCCAGAAGAGAGAACGCGTCTATCTGTCGAGAATCGATCTGGACACCGTTGATCCACATGACGTTGACGCCAGCAGGAAGCATCTGTAGTCGAGTGGAGCGAGTATCTTGTAGAAGTTCGGTAGTGGCGTTACGAGCTGCAACCTTGGCCGAGTACTTAGGGAAATCTTGCGAAAGCTTCACGAGGGTGTCCAAAGGATTCTCGCTGTCCATTACGTAGCTCACGGCATTTACTCCCAGACGTGCCACCTCGGAGGACGAGAGGGGTCTAAGGTCGTCTGGAGCGTCGGTTTCACCGGGCTCCACGTTGTTAGAATCTTGTTGTTCTGCCGCGCGATCATCGATGACAATATAATCCGTTCGCTTCAATGCGAGTTCAACGCCGTATCCAGATACAAAAAGCGGGCGTGGAGTCGAATGCTGGGGAGGTCGGTATCGGACTCGGTAGGAGATCTGGCCTTCTTTTGCCAGTGCGCTGAGCGTGTGGTGGAAGTCCCTAAACATAGGAGAAGCCACATCCGCGTACAGAATAGCCGGAGGGAGAGAGATATCCCCCAACACCCGGTCAAAAGGAAGCTCTCTTGGGTCCCTATCACGCCCGTCAGCCATGTGTCGAGCAACGCATTCCGCAGGGGAGAAAAAACTATCTACTCACATGTTTCCCAAAACATCCTGTTGGGCTCGCTCCAGAGTAGAAGAGCAGTACTGCTTGCCTTCCGTGTGCACCCACACTGGACAGGCGGCATCCTGCGCCGCCATTAACGAGTGCTGCACGGAAGCATTGTAGTATTGATAATGCGCCGTGACGCGGGGGCTCGCCGATCGAATCGCCAAAGACAATTTAAAGGACGACAGGCTTTCGGGTGTTCTCAGGTGTTCGCCCTCGTCCACAACTTGTAGGAAACGGTCATAGATTTCTTTGTCGGTCACGGCATCCTCGAAGGCTCCATCGGCGACGCGGTCAAGCAAAGGGAAGTAGGAAGTCGAGTTCTCTTCGGCAGCGGTTTCTCTACGAAATTAACATCAGCAACTCGGACTAGGTACAGCAGTCAACCGAAAGATCAGAGCGATCCAGCTTACAAGAGTTCTATGAGGTATGGCGGCGCATCAAATGAAGCTTGGAGGGCAACATTGACCGACGGGCTTGCTCGTACTAGGCAGGCCAGTCCAGCCGCCACAAGTGCAGTGAGTCGCCATGAGGGGACTCTTTTCGAGGTAGACCCCATCTCTGCTTGTCAATGGAGGATCCACTGCAGATAGGGCAATGGGTATGGGTTCAGATGACGTTATTTCCTAGCTAGCTAGTACCGTACTCCGAGTGAGGACGAGCAGCTAGTCACTCCACAAGCACGAGCACAAACTGAGATTCATGCAACAAGCAACCACCAGGTAGACATTGAGAGACAGACGGATCCCCGTCGACCAGCCGAAGAGTCGTGGAATAGCAAAATGGTTGCGTGGAGAGCATCAACAAGGCTTCCGGCCACCTGGTCGAGGCCCAGCTTCTACGGCGGGCGCAGCGGCCAAACGCGCAAGACTTCCGTGTCTTCTACGGCGGCCTCTGATTGGCCACCCTGTTGTGCCTGAGGATCCAAGGCATACACTAGAACTACCTGCCTATCGGAGTATGTCCCTTCGAGGCTTCATCTTTCTACTTTCGCTACGACACACCTTTTACGTTTGTTGTAGGATCTATTCATGCACTTATGTCTGCATTCTTTATTTGATTGATTCACATTTTGTTCATTAGACATCATCATTATCATAAGTAGGTCGTTCAGAAGCCGCTCAGGCTCTTTTCCTTGTTGCTTGGCAACCCAGTCAGTAGTGGTTGTTGTTGTTGTTGAAACTCTGCGATTTCCTTTCGCGCTGCGACTGGCATGCGAGTCTCAACAATAAAAAACAAATGGCAAAATCAACGCAAGAGGTAAGCGAAAAAATTAAAAGATCGAACGCAGGTAGCCAACTCCGAGAGACTCCGGTCTATAGACAAGTGAGGCTTTTTTGTCTTCCGTACTTTTGTGTCAAAAAAGAAAATAACCGTCGTGGTGAAAATACAATCAAATCAATCAAGTCAAATCACTCTTCTTGCAGAGAGTCCGCGCTGGGTTGCTTGGAATGAGGCCTTCTACGGCTTGTCGCTTCCCAAATCAACCTCTTGCGCTTCTGCTCGTCAATTGCAAAGAAGGACGAATGATCCACAGTTTTGCCGGGGATGTTTTCCGGACGAACGCCAAGGGCACTTGTGGACCTCATTTTCTTCAAGCCCTTGACTTTGCCGCTGTCGCTGAGCTTGCGAATTTCGCGCGCCAGCCGCTCTAATTTAGAACCGCCCGATTTGGAAGGCGTGTCGATGGTGGGCGACGGGGGCAGAGGCTTATCCAGAATGTCTTCTGCCCTGCTGCCGCTATCGTTGGCTGAGGAGGGAGAGGGTAACACTTCGGACGAGCCAAAGCTAATGCCTGAGTCGACCTTTCGACCTTTGTGTCGGGGTGGAACGTCTTCAACGGCCTCGGAGCTGTCGAAGCTGTCTAGGCTGTCAAAGCTAGCCGGGCCACTAACTGTCGAACATTCGTCGATGACCTCGCTAGCTGCCCGAACATATTTGTCCAAGGCATCTCGCACCAGCGGCCATCCGTTGTCTGAGCCTTCTGGCGCTCCCTGGCTGATGACCTTGTCAAGAATCACTTTGGCATTGTTGTTGTTAATGGCCGAAATGTACCGGAAGAAGCCATCTCTCTGAGACTTGAGGATCTGGGGAGTCAACTGCGAGGTGGGAGTGATGGTTCCCTCGGTCACGGGTGGAAACAGGGTGTTAAGCATGGCGATGCAGTTGGCTCTATTGAATGGCTCCATAAGCATCTCGTTGATCAGAGTCTGGAGTATCTTGATTAGCAATCGTTGCACGAGGGCAGGCCCGAGAAAGAGTCTTCACTTACCCAACGACGGAGACCAATGTAGATCTGGGTATAGAGCGCTTCCATCTTGCGGTTCTTCAGGTTCATGCTTTCGATCCATGCAACCACGCCGGGATATTTCTTCCTGAACTCCGAGTTCGCGCGGAGATCGTCGGGTTGGACTTCCAACCGCTGCAATGCGGCCGCCACTTCCTTCTTGCGACGGACCTCGAGGTCTTTGAGGTAGTCGAGACCAGTAAGGGCCTGGGGGAAATCGACAAACTCCAGCTCCGTAGCAAAGCAGCGACGAAGGAACGTAATCAGGAAAGTAGGGGGAAGCGAGCATGGTTGCGATCCTTTCTGAGAAATCTCGTGGGTCAACATGGCTCGAAAGTCGGAGTCACGACCCCATGGAGCTTCCTGTGACGACTCTGAAGACTTTGACGAGTGGGAAGCACGATTGGCAAACGCCGTCTCGGGTGGTCCGGCCGCGACTGGCGGTTGTCTCGTGGGGTTGCAGTTCAATGCATACATGTTGCGAAGTGGCATTTCATAGGTCTCGGGGTAACGAAGGCAATGTTCGAAGATCCAAAGGAAGGACGATCCATCTGGGTTGTCCAGAATCTCCTCTGGAGTGTGCGCCATGGTTCAAGTGTGTAGGTTGGTAGCGATAAAAAAGATCGATGTTTCTTCCCTGGGAGCGAAGAAGGGAGCGGGACAAAAAGAGACAGAATGGAAGGAGAGGATGGCTACGAAGACGAGATATAAGGATCGAGTAGAAGAGGGCTGGCAGCGAGCGAAAGGGGTAAAGGCCCAGAAGATTTTCGTGTGACGTGATAGGAGGTGCAGCACAATTCAAAGTCGATAACAGATGCTTGTAAAGAGGGCTGGCTTCAATGGCGTGTAACGTGTGTCTCCATAGCACGAATCTGCGCCTCGAGAACTGCTCAATTGACTCCTTGACTAGGGAGACAAGGAGGTGGGCTGCTATCCCTTTGGTCTTGTAGTAAAGTAGGAGAGAGGAGAGGGGAAACGGTCGGACCTCGTCTTGTTCGTTCGTTTATCGATAGTGGCGGGAAGGGAAGCCCGTTTCTTTATTCTCTGTTTTTTTTTCTCTTGTTTGTTTTCTCTCCGAGGAATTGGGAAGGTTCCAGACTCAGGGAATGACGATACACAGGAAGCAACAATGAAATGATTTGAAATGATTGGATACGGCGGAGGGCCGATCGAGGGAGGGCTGTGATCTGTATGGAATTTGGGTTGCACGGGAAGCAATAGTACTCGGAGAAGTCGGGTTGCTGTCAAAGCAAACAGATCCGACGATCCACGGTGGCACTAAATCCGAGGCACTGGAGAGGTTCCTTTTGTGGTTACTTTGGACGCGTCGAATCCCCAAGAAACAATGAGATCAAGTGGGGGAGACTAGCGAGATCAGACTCAAAGAACGAGTGTGGAAAGTGTGAGACTGTGAGACCTAGGGAGGGAAAGGGAGAAGAAGGAGGGGAGTTAAGAAAGAATGAATTGATTGAATTATCCAAGGGAGTTTGAGCGAGAGAGAGTAAGAGAGAGAGAGAGAAGAGATTAAGTAAAAGAGAACAGGGTCTTAGACCGAGTGATTTAATCGGAGCGAAGGCGATTCCAGACTCTCGTTAGCTTCATCCACCCAACATCCACGCACTCTCCAGGATCGATCGACTCAGCGATTCCGGTTCCATGGATCCAGGCACTTCTTGTTTTTGTTTATTTACCTTGACACCCTGCTTGGAGCTGTAACATTTCGATTTCAGATTCAATAATCATACTTGCTTATTGCTCTCTACAGTCCTACCTCTACTTCGTATCTCCTGCATTCGGGCTTGGAACATCCCCCGTGCAGACGGAGTGAACTCTCCTAAAAATCCCCCCGTTACAAGATCAATCGGTGCCCAATGGCAAAATGGGATTGCCACACGAAGGATCAGCCGAAAGTCCGTTATCCTTCTTATTTTCTTCCAGGCCTCCACGTAAAGACGAACTAAAAGACGCGCCCCGGTGGGCTGGAGCAGTTGGACCGTTCGGAAGACAAGCCCCGTCTCTAGTTTAAGAACTAAACTAAGTACGGTCGGACAACGGAGTCTGGTCCTGTCTGGACGCAAGGGAAGAATTTTTCTTTCTTGTTTTTTCTTTTTCTGTTTCCCTCTCAATTCCCTCGGCTGATTTTATCTTTAAAGAGAGTTCATGCTCATGCAGCGTGGTGTAGGTGGCTGTGGGACAGAAAGTATTTACATACTGTACGGTTCACGCCGGACATATTCCTCCCTTCCCCTCCTCCATCTCCTCGCACGAAGATTGATCCAGCATATCTGATCCGTCAGACTCCGTACGAAGTACTCCCTCTCGAATGGGGAAACTGATTTCCAATCCATGGTTCATGGTGAAAAGCGACATGCCGGGTTGTTAGGGTACTTTGTGTCCACTGTCAACCCTCACGGTGGGTCTGTCGGGACACGCAATCCCTGACTGACATCTGCGGAACACACTAACGACCTACTATTGATCATGCGATCCTGAAACATTGTTCGAGGCAATTGGACTCGTAGACACTGGTCGAAGGTGATAGATTCAAGCATCCGTTCCGTCAGTGTTTGCATCCCGACGTTTTCTCATTTTTGGGAGGAAATGGACGCAAGTGAAGCCCTGCGAGGGGAGGAACGAGGATAGCCCAGTCCAGGACTCCAGGTACTCCCCACTCCGTATAATCCTGAGAGGGGTTCCGTCCCGGCACCGTTGTAAGTGAAACAGTCTAAACTAGCCCGTTCCTGACTCGTCCCTGTGTCTTTGCCCTTTGGTCCTTCGGCGTCTTCGGGACCTTTGTTCCACACGGCGTCGGCCATACGGAATCCTGTTCTGGGCCGTTTGAAGCTGGTTGATTTAAACGAACGGCTTAGCGAACAAAGGAATCGATCGTATTTCGTGCCTGGCTATCCAGGCCCGATGGTGCACCGCTTGGTCCAATCAACAATATCCATCCGGCATTCTCCCTCGAATGTCTCTGCAATGCTCCACAGATGACCCAATCACCACGCAGTGCCTGTCGAATCTCACTGCATTTATGCATCTCTCTAAATGCAGTAAGCAACATCAATGAGAAATTTTTCGAGCTTATGCATGACGAACAAGGAAGCCCTTGGGTCAAGTATAGCGGCTGACAGGTCGATTTTACCTCACTCTCATCCCCACTTGCTGCCACCAGCAGCCAGAATGAGACCTCGACAGCCAGCCCAAGACACCTGAGTCACCTGGAAGAAGTCCGAGAGGGAAAAAAAGAAAAGAAAAGAAAAGCTCGGAGCATCTCACACTGCCCACGAGGGTGATTCGGCCAAGCCCCAAAATGACCCAGTTAGAAGTCGCCCAATCGTGGCAAAATTAGAAGCAATGTTCCAATAGATCCACTGCACCGAGAGACTCGTCGCTATCTCCGTATTCGTGACACGATAAGACAGACAGACCTTCATTTCGTCTATACGCCAATAGTCTACAGAAGATAGTCGGTAACGGCACCCTGAGCCGCGTTCATGAAGTGTGCCTCATGACGCAACATCCACCCCCTAATATTATTGATCAACTGCAGATCAGCAAGTCCAGATTTTGACCAGCAGCCCGTGGCTTTGGCTTCCTTGACGAATGACCTTCCTGACGTCGGTGGCCTTCTGTTATGTCATAGAACCCTCTGCGAATTAACGTAAATCACAAGCGAGCTGCGAATCTGAGCGAGCCGCGAATTTGTATTCCCATACAAAATGGCACTTTTCAACTTGGAATATCTCAGCCATACCTCTATTCTAATAAAATATATTGAAGACCTGAAGTATTATATAGGTAAATTGTATAATATTTTTTTTTATGTAACAAAGAAACCTATGGGAGTCTCAAATACATAAGGAGCGTTATAATACAGTGTAATTTATAATACCTGGACAATTAGTCTAAAGAATAGATTAAAATCTAGTATATTATCATTAAATAGTTTCATATAATCCTAATTTTAAATAATATTTTATGCGACATAGAAATGGCTGAGATATTCCAAGTTGAAAAGTGCCATTTTGTATGGGAATACAAATTCGCGGCTCGCTCAGATTCGCAGCTCGCTTGTGATTTACGTTACGGAGTCCTTCAAACAAATCGGATTGCAACAATTGAAGCAGGGTTTGTTTTGGAGCAATCATCTCCCAACGGGAGTCTTTTCCAGAGCACCCTGACGAGAAATGACAGCTCCCTGTCCGATCGGTCGGAAACGATTTGCGTCTCGGGATGGAGCTTCCGTCAACGGAGTACTCCGTACAATCATAAGCTAACTATTGACATCGAGTGGTCAATCGACTGGAACCCTGTTCTATGATGAAATCAAATCAACAATCAACTTCTCCATGTTTTGGCGGGTTTCGGGTTGATTGTCAGGCGTGTCTGACAGGGCACGGGGATCCCTTCCGCCATTAGGGGTCTCGATCTCAGACGAGTTAACTCTAGGCTGAGATACAATACAGAATCCCAGGGCCCTTTCCGCTAGGTTTGCTGGTGAACAAGTACGGCATACCGTCAGTCCAGGCACTAGACACAGATTTTGACAGGGAGAGAAAAGAAAGAAAAAAAAGAAGTACTACGTAGTACTCTTTACGTATCGTTTTGCTTGGGAAAGACAGAAATCGCTCAATCGCTAGTAACATCAAAAGACCATAAACCCTTGCTTCATGTTCCCGCATACGCCATCGTAAACTCATCTCTCAACCCATCCACCATCACCCTACAAAGCCCCAATCCTCGCCACCTCTTTCTTCGCGAACCAAATCTTCGGATCCACCTCTCGATAGAACGCAATCGTGCTCAATAGCTCCCCCTTCGAGAAGAATTCAGAGGTGCCGCGCGACTGCTCATCCTCCGACCTAACCACCACCACATCCCCATACACCTTCCATCCCATACAGCGACTCGCCAGCGTATTCAACGGTAACTGATCAGCCCCCAGGTCCTCACCACGCACACCAAACCGAAACCTTCCATAGACCTCATAACACCAATCCACGTACTCGCGGTGCGTATAGAACAAGCCAACCTCTTCCGCAAACCGCCCGTCCTCTCTAACCTCAAGCTTCATGGTCTGCGTAGCCGCGTCGCAATACCACCCCGTCGTACAGGGCTCGACGGCATCGGCGTTAGCGTCTGCGTCGGTTTCCTGTTTCCCAGAAGGAGCGGGCGTGGCGCGGATCAAGAAACAGTTCGCAAGCTCGGAGCCGCGGCAGGTGCGCTGGTGCTCGATTCTGTGGTCGAGTTGGCATAGGAAGGAGCAGTAGATGGCTGCTTTATTAGGGATGAGGCAGAGCGTGCAGTATCGGCGGCCGCCGGGCTTGGTGCAGCCTGGGGCGGAGCAGAGAACTCTTGTCATGGTTCTAATTTTCGTTCTGTTCGAGAGATCTGTTTAGGTTAAGACTGGAGTCTACGTCGGATACTTAGAATGATAGAGTAGGTTTCTATCCATGACTCCTGGTTAGTAGGCACACGGATCTTCATCCCGTTGACCGCTTGGCCACAGCCTGTCGGGGTCAGTTCCAGCTTATGATGAACGTGTGTATGTCGTCATCTATATCTAATAATCCATTCGAAGTTGTCAGTATGAGAATGTAGAATGTCGGGTAATTCTATGGTCGTCTGAGGAGATTCTATGTATAGAGGGTGGTGCCGGCGTCTTATACATCAATCGGTGTTAGCCAGATATGTTTTTATTCGACCGTGTCAACCCTCTATCAAAGAGCCAGCCGCCTGGAACTGAACCCTTTAGAGTCCGAGAAACAAGGCACGTTCTAGTCGGAGAAATACGGAGCTACAGAATCCATGCTGTAGATTTGTTCCGAACTGCAGGTGCTGTACTAAACAGCAAAGTTATGAATACACAATCGGAGAAAAGGGAAATCAAGGGGTTAATGGAAGTTAAAGTGACATCAAGCCCCGAGAATCACATCTTCCCCGGAGCATGTCTCAAACTCTATAATTGTCTCATCTGGGACGCAAGGACCATCGGAAAAGAATGCTAATGCAAGGGTAATGCAAGAACGTCCACCTTGTAAGGGGCGCGACGGGATGCGTTCATCTGTATGTTTAGGTTCTTACGGGATTTGATGGTAAAGGATACAGCAGAGGCTGAAATTGAAATTACGTTCTATGAAGAGGCTAATCGATATTACTTGCAAAGGGAAAATGCAACTCACACGAGTTCAACTGCTAGTTGATTATCATCTACAAACGACTGAATGCAGTCGAACATTGCTTTCTACTAAGTATACAGGATCAGAAGCTGAAGATTTGGTTCCATTGTTAACAAGGCTCAGGGAACATGAGAGAAATGATAGCTCTAGTCTGGCTCTGGCAACATAATAGATCTATTTAGAGTCAGGAAAGCATGAAAAGATCGTCATCTCTCACCAAGAAGAGATCACTGTATGCGCCCCTCTCATTGCTCAGCCTTCCCTTCAATTCCGGAACTTTCACGGTATCACTTCCCTTGTTAAGTGTCCATTCATTTCGAAGCTCGCGAAGTATCACGCCGGCCAGCAATCCAATAGCCCTTGGTCCAAACGATGGTCTAGCAGGGCACTGGAAGGGGGTGGCTCCGAACGGCATGAAAGCTACCTCCTGAGCCTTCGTCAAACTGCTCCACCGCATCGGATTGAAGACGGCGGCATCAGGTCCCCAGATCTCAGGACTCAGATGGCATGCCTCGACATCGGCAGCGTAGGTGGTTGTAGTTTCGCTGCGCTTACTCTGCTGAAAGTCGCGATAGATTCGACGAGTAGGCGGGTAGAGGCGCAAGGTTTCGTTGACGAGACCCTCCGCCGATACGAGAAAGCTCAAACCCGGACTCAAGATCTTGTACCTATTCGGGCTGTTGGCAAAATCCACCAAGGTCTTCGTCCAGCCCTCGTGGCCTGCCTCGCGACGGAAGCCAAGCTCGAGCACCATCCGCAGAACCACCCGCCATAAAGTCTCGAATCCCGGCAGGATCACACTCAGAGGGTTGTTTCTCTCGTCCGACAAGTTGTATTCAAAAATGGCCGATAAAGCTTCCTGCAGGTATGCATTCTCCTTGAAGGCAGGGACATCGCAACCTTTTTTGGCGGCTCCCCAAGTGCAGTTGATTGCATCTGCCAGCTTGACGAGCGCGGCGTCGGGGACTTCGAGCACGTGCTGAACAGTGCTGAAAAGGCTCAGGAAAATGAAGCGCAAGGTCAACGATTGAACCATGGTTGTCAGAGGCACGAAGAGTCGATGGGAGCTAGATGGTATGGGTGTATCTAGCCAGCGCCTGGTGTTGTGACCGATATTGTCCGCCAAGGTCTTCCATTTGCATGGCTGGAGCAGCATAAGTCCTCCAGTCAAGTTGGTAAAGAGCTGCGAAAATTGCGGATCGGTAGTGGTGAAGGCATTCTCGACACCAAATACAATACGAAGCTTCTTGTTGTGTTTTGCGCGGGACTCCAGGGGCGTGAGCTGATTGTCAATCTTCCTGAAGGTCGTGGCAGAGATGACCGAGCGACATTCCTGGGGGTCTTTCACAACGTTTCTCTCGCTTTTGGAAGAGGAAAAGGACCGTCCATACAGAAAGCATGCGATGAAGAGGAACACCCAAATGTAAAGGAAAGGGCCCATCAATTCCTTCATGATGCTGAACGGTTCCTGGGTGATTCGGGTCATCTCCAGATAAATCGAGAAGAGTGAGAGCAGAAGTCCGAGAAGGAGGCCTGCAAGAGCAGACATTGTGTAAGAAATTTGTAGGGATGGACAGTGAAGACAGCGCCCTGTTCTTTGAGAGAGACTCAGGTAGGCAGGTATACAATCGGGGACTGTCCAATCAGCGCCCGATGCACGCCCTAGCGGCTCTTAAGATTTTCTTCACGCAGTCTGGGTCTTCGGGAAACTCCTGTTTGTGCTTCGGTTAGTTGCCTTCACTTGTTAGTGGGAGCTGTAGTGGACCGTATGGCTACCAAACATGTCCTCAGGGTTGTGCAAGAGATGTCAGCAGGCCAGAGTGCCTTTGTTATATATTGATTCTGACCACGGGACTATCCGGTAGCGTGCATGCCTGTCTAGATACATGTTCCCTTATCTAGAACGAACATCAGCAATATCATGCATAATCCATTTGTTTGCAGGTCTGAAAGCATCGTGAATTAGGTGCGCAGTCACCATTCAGCCTGTACTACCTGGAAGTGGTTGGCCTGTAAAGTGAATCTGTAGATTTCTTCCGGTACGTAAAGACCTATGAGGATCACCAGTGATAACTGTCTCTTACTAAGACTATTCTGGGATACTAATTATGTACATATCTGTACATACTAGTTCATATATACTAGCCACGATTCCCACGGGATCTGGTTCGCTGATCACGATCGGAACAAAGAATATCCTAGCCACATGTATTAGCTGTGATGTAACTAACCGAGGAATTAGGGACTGGAACTTATCATTGTCACATGGAAATGAGGACCGTTGCTGGAGACCTTTCCGATCATCGAGATATGGAACAGATCGGAGTTCTTGAGGTGCCTACGATGACGGCAATGGAAACCTCGAACCCAGGGTGAAAGAAGCCATGTGAAGCCAGAGGAGAACTGCTCGAAGGATGAAGATGGAATAATGGATTTGCAGGACGTAGAAGCCGATTTGGCCCAAGTTCAATTCTAGTTGGTCGGAAGCGTTTGTCGCTCGGGATTTCGGTCTTTAAGGAGATTCTTTCGTTCACGATGACTTCAGAGTTTCCTATCTGAGGGACATCAGGTCTTGTACGTTCGCCACTTGATCTCTGCTGCCTGGTTATTCTTATCTCATAATGAGGACTGAGGTAGACCGTTCGACGCTATAACGCTCGGGAAGACTAATGCAGCTAATTTAGTGTGACGTCCATCCAGGCTGCTTAATTGCACGGTCCACTCCAACTACGGGGTTTGACAGCTACCTAGGGCATTTGAGATAGATAATGGAAGCTTCTGGTTTCACTCATCGCATTCCATATCATCAAATACCGAATCCTTAAGCATATCCCGTCGGTGAGAATACGGCTCGCTCACCACCAAACACCGACGCCAGTCCTTCCTCAAGAGGCAGCACCTGTAAGCCACGCCTACGAGGCTATTGGTGCTGCGAGAGCGTAACCAATCAAGATCCAAGGAGGGGCTGGTAACAGAACTCCCTCTATCGGTTTCTGGGGTCCTCTCGTTGGCTGGAAATGTGGAGCTTCGCTGGAATGGCGGCGTCTGGACAACCACAGCAACAGCTTGAGGCTCGCAATTCCGAGAATGGGATAGCCCAACGGACCCGGACAACCTCTGACATGTTGTCCGGAGGGATGAACGTGTGTTTGCGAGTGTGTCAGGGATTTGGCTTTTCCGGTTTTGCTGCCCATGTTGAACCCTCTGAAGTAAACTGCAAAAGGTTTCCGTCGTCTCATGCCCCAACGGGATAAGTATTGACTTCCGATGAATGCAAAATTATGCATGGCAATGCGGAGTCATGACATCTTTGGGCAGGAACCAACTAGTCAGAGCCCTAGAATCGGTCCTGTTGAGAAGAGGATAAACTTCTTAGCGAAGTTTCAACATCATCGCGTTGGGTTCTTCCGGTGCAGACTTAGTCGAGACTCCACGTCCACGGGTTGACCAAGCGAAGCGAACTGACTCAAACGCGGTGAATTTGACTTTGCTCTTCTGCAGCTGAGAGGCTGTGACGGTGGAACCCGGGGAGGAATGACAAAGACTGAAGGACTTGTCGTCGTAGTCAATGACGTCGAGACCTTCTCTCCCCGCCTCATCTCTCAACGAGCGTCGGACTTTACCGCCGTGCTGTCTTAATATGGCACTTTTACCATTTTCCAGATACTTTGGACTGTCGTCTCGGCTATATAATTTGAATTGTCGAAATTTTCCCGCGAAGGCCTCGACCCCTCTCGATTCTAACAAAGAGTCTAGGGACATACGCCCCGTGGCTTGACAAGGACCTCTGGCACCCGAGCAGATAGACATGGGCCAGTCCAGGGACGCAAGGTTTGCCAGTAGACACTGTTGCCTTTTTCTCTCGTGTTGCTTCCCTTCGCTTGTGACTTGCAGCCGGACGAGGAACACTTCCCACAAATCATCGGACTCGAATTAAGCTTCCCCAGGGACGCTCGGTCTTCTGAAGACCGTATAAAGTGGGTCAAATCGATCGATTCCATGGCATTGGAACGCCAGATCCTTAGAATGAATCCCTCCCCGCCACCATAGCCCACGCCGGGCAACGCCGTCGACCAAGCAGACGACGAGAATGCGAATCTTGCGCCGGGGTTTGCCACGTTCGACCCCGGAAGAGGAATCGGCCGGTGATTGACAGCGATGGACCCCTCGGTCTGGAAGCTTGGGACTTTGAGCTTTGATTCTGGACGACCCAGGCCCTTGGGTACTTCCGTTTTTGGAAAAAGGCTGCGATCTGATAGCCTCCGGGGGTCCCTTCTCGGCGCCTATATAGCATACAGGACACCCCTGGCTTTTCCAAGGTCTCCTTCCTCAGAAGTCCAGATACAAGCCATCCAGGCACATGCATATTCTTTCTTAGTCACAATGTCCCTTGGTCCAGAAGCCTCTCAATTTCCGGCAATGGTCCGTCGCGGACTGCCTCGTTTAAACCCTCGCATTCCTCCCATCGCCAGCAAAGGCTCCGGCCCCGGCAAGCTGGCCGCGATCTCGCAAAGCAAACTCCAGCGAGAATCCATGTCCCACTCGCCAGACCTCCGCCGATGTCTCGGTCATCACGACGTCTATCGCAAGTCCGTGAAAGCGGCACAAGAAAATGCCAGGCAACGCATCGACGCCATGAGCGGCGAAGAGGAAGCCGTCTCGGGCGAAACACCCATCAACACGCCTAGAGATGAGACTCTCATGCCTCATTTCCGCGCTCAGATTACCAATGCCGTCAAGGCAATGGTTCGGCGCCGTTATCCAACTGGTGCTCCGGAAACAACAGAACCCAAAGTACAGGAGCCCAAAGTACAAGAGATCAAGCTACAAGAAGCCAAACTGCAGGCCATTCCAGTAGTAGCTCAAGGGTCGCCGAAAATGGTGACGGTTATCAAGAGAAGTCGTCGTCACGCATCCTGGCTTCTACCGGGGCGCAAGAATCTCGCGCAGTCGAGCCAGCTGATCGCACCGAACGCTGCGGGGTGAGAACAAAAATCTCACTGTTCTTGCCATGCATATCCATCTGCGAGATAACGTTTCATGTATTACCACGACGACCTACTTTTGACGATCTTTCTACGACATGATGACGGATGACGGGACGGTTGCGATTTACGATACTTAATGACTTTGCTTTCCATGTACATTCCACTTCCGAGCATTTGCTATGGCATGTCCTCAATATATGCATCATACTCTATATATCACATGTCCCAATTTTTATGGCTTCTTAATAAAGTTTCGCAATATCTTCCCACGTAGGATTAGCGCAGTATGGAGTAGACAGCGCAGAACGGCGATCCACGCCAGCGACGAGTAGAACCATGATTGCCATTCACAATAAAGTTTCAGTCAAGTTGTCTTCCCACGACGATTCGGTATCTGAAGAGCCAATCTGACAAAAATGTAAACCCCAGACAACGAAATCAATCGTCCAAGTCCGGTCTTTAGGGCAACGAGGCACCCGATGCAAACCAGCCAAACACACCCGAAACAGGCAACTCCATCGCAAGTTCTCTGGAGAAGCGCAAACCACAGAAAATCCCCGATATCCAACGATAACTGCACAACCAATCTGCGATCTTCTACAGACTCACTCTATACACATCTTCACTTACCTACTTATTCATCGATCCATCACCTCCTCACCATGTCTCAACCACCCAAACCGGCCCCGCCGAAACAACAAAAACCGCAATCCAAAACCCACTCCCTCACCTTCGAGAAAAAGAACCAAGACATGATCAAACTCCCCAAATGTAAGCTCTCCCCTACCACCCATCCTACCTTACCATTCCAACCTAACAAACCCTTCCTAGACGCGCGCGTCCAAAAACGCCCCATCCCCCACGCCCCGATCGCATCCCCCTACGCCGGCTCCAACGTCCCAAAGACCGTCTACGTATCCACGAAATCCCCCTTCATGAGCGCGGTGAAGCGCGTCCAGAAGCTCCTCCGCCAGGCGGAGAAACGCGCCACGGCGTCCGTGGAGCTGTCGAACAGCAAGGTGCGCGATCGGCAGCGTCTCGCGCAGGTAGCGCGGGCCGGAGAACAGGTCTGTCAGGAGGAGGTGTTTGTGAAAGCGACGGGGCGGGCGATGGAGAAGGCGTTGAGCGTGGGGCGGTGGTTTGAGGAAAGGGGGGAGGAGTATACGGTGCGGGTGAAGACGGGGAGTGTGCTGGTTGTGGATGATGTTGTTGAGGATGAGGAGGCGAGGAGGAGGGCGGTTGTTGATGATGAAGGGGAGGAGGGCTTGAACAAGGTGCAGGGGGGTAAGGAGGGGACGAAGAATACTGGGAATGAGGATATGGAAGGGGATGCTGCGAAACCGCGGTCGAAGACAGCGGCGAAGAAACGGAAGCGCACGGCCAATGCGGCGGCGAAGATCGGGGAGGACGAGGAGTTGCCGGAGACGAGGACTCGATGGGTCAATATGGTTGAGGTCGCGGTGGCTTTGAAATGAATGGCACGAAGGCAAGGTTAAGGATCTCGCAATGCTCGCACTCGGCTTGTGCGGAGCGTCTACCTGGTACGGCTGCGGCGCTGCTTTCTTGAAACGGAAAGTTTTATGCAGCGATGAAAGCGCACATCTCTGACATTGAGTGGGCATTGTCTGCCGTCAGGGGCTTGATATATCGAGTTTCAACGGACTTGACATCGTCGGCGTGCGCTAAAGATGTGCACTCTTCAGAGGTCGTGGTTTCCTAGAAAACACCACATATCCGATGATTGATATTCACAAGATGAGCTATGTCCATTGCCTAACTGTGGTGCAAGGACAAATGCTCATCAGCCATGATTATGGGAAAACACCCGGTGTCTTGAACCTCGGAACTGTGGGTTACATATAGAGTAATGTACCTTTTATATGCTAATGCGATATAAGCAAAGCCAAAGCATCACTGCAAGAGACAGGATGTTCAAATCTGAATGAGAATATGACTTGCAGGTTGCAGGATATGCAAAACATTCATGCGAAGCTGGACTATGTACAAATATTAGAGATAAATCCAAAGATAATTAGAAAGCACAATAAAAACAAAAGCGTGTATCAAAAGCTGCTCAACCGATATCAACCCTTCTAACCCCTAAACCACATCCCACTATCCGGGTATTTCTTGAAAAGCATGGGCCAATCAACCCATGTTGGATGAACACAGGATATTCCAACGAAAGCTGTCGTCAGTGATGAAAAGTAGATCATAGAAATAGTCATTCATCGCTTTGGAACTGCCAAGGGAAGTGATGCTGCTATGATAAAACTAATACACAAAGGCGGGCGAGCCTAGATGACCTTGATCTGCCAATGAGAAAGAGACATAAACATAGAAAGGAAAAACGAACCGGCCTCTGCTGCCAGGAAATCGTAACTGGAACAACATGACGTCTGCGGAAAATGATACTTGGGAACTAACAGAAGAGAAAAAGGGAAGGATGAGGGAAAGTCGGGCAAGTTATGGACAATCATAACTGCAAAGGCAAAAACAGTCTCAGCGAGGATAATAAACAGAATGTGAAACCCCAGAAAATCCAGTATAAACTCCGAGTTTGGGCATGTAACAAAATACAAAAGATAATAGAGTCCAAAAATGAAAATAGAGAAGGATCGAAGGTATTTGAAAATGTCGTCAGAGAGCATCTCTTGCCCAACAAGAGACGCTGCTCGAGCTCAATCACTGAAGGACGGCCCAATCATTTGTCCATCTTTTGCCACCCATTCAGGTAGGCCATTAATCCTACCCCAAATAGCACTACTCCGAGCATCGACGCGTATGGACTTGACTGTGCGAGGACATCATGCCGATGCATCTGTGTGGCAAAATTCGGAGGAGGAGATTCAATATCCTTCTTTGGCGACAATGGCACGGCATCTGCCGATTGTAGGTCAGAGTCCTTTGCTTCATGGCCATTCGCATCTTCCCTGATGGGCGAAGCCTCAAGGGCATCGGTAGGATCTTCTTGTTGAGCCACAGGCTTGTTGCTAGCTGCAGACTCTGCGTGTTCTCGTCGGAGCGTCTCGATCATCTCGCCCAAGGACTTGCGCGTTTCAACCGTCTCGGTCTCCGCTTTCTCCGCACGATCTTTGAACATGGAGACTTGTTTTCTCATCTCCTCCATGTCAGCCATCATCGCCTCGAGGCGATGTTGCAATTTGGTCGCCTGATCATCGGCCAAGCCTTCGCCCTCAACGGGTTCCCGTGGACTCGGTGCGGCTGATGTCTCATCAGCTTCGAGCTTTCCGGGGCCTTGCTTGTCCGCCAAGTCACGTGGAGCGTCATCAGGCTGATCATCAGACGATGCCGCGCGATCAAGTTCTTGACTCGCCTTGCCTTGGATCTCCAAGTTCCGCGCCCTCTCTTCTGCAGATTCACGAGCATTGCGCTCCTGGAGCAGCAGTGCCTCGAGTTCTTTCACACGAGCACCTTGGCTATCAAGTTCTTTTCTAGTAGACGCAAGTGTTTCAATGAGAGATATGATTTGACTCGAGTCGCGCGAAACAGGCGAGTTTCCAGCTCCTAACTTCGGCTTCTCAGTCTCCGTTCGCTTGAGGGGCGACAAAGAATCAGTGCCGTTTCGCGGCAGCGCATCAGGCTTCTCGGGTAGGGGCTGTTGAGGTGGGGGCGCTGGAGGGTCGGAGAATCGTGAAAAGGAGTCGACACGAGGCATTTTTGGCCGCCCGTTGACCTGTCGAGAAGAGGTGCTCTCAGGCGGAGAATGCTTGGGCTTTTCTTTTTCTATATGACCGGGCTTCATGATTGTAGTCAAAAATTCGTCCGTTTGGCGAAGTTCCTGGGATTGTTGTTTGGCTTGTTTCATCTCGCTCTGAAAAGCACTTAGGTTAGAAAGCGGATATTGAGGAAGGAACGATGGGTCTTATACCGTAAGTCTTTTGACAACTTGTTCAATAGATATCGGAGAGTTCCAGTAGTTCATCTGACGCTGCTGTTGCAGCGCATTGAACTGACTACTAGCGGCACTCTGCACACTCCGGTTGCTCATGGTACTCCCCGAGCGACCTCGGAGATGTGATAGTGGCTGGCTCAGGGGAGAGGGGAGAAGCCCACCCCCAGACGCAGGATCTAGGTCACCAAGCGTGAGATCAAGAATATTCGGTATCGTGCCATAAACCCCCGCATGTTCCACTTTAGCGGAGACCTTGTGGTGAACAATGGTTTTCTGGTCTTCACTGACAATGTCGATACCCAGCTCGAGCGTATCATTTTCGCGGAGCTCGTGGGGCTCTGACTCGCGGTTCTCCGGAGACAGTCGCTGAGTATTAACAAAGGTGCCGTTCGACGACTTCACATCTCTGATCCAGATCTTCCCAGATTTATCGGCCCATATTTCGGCATGCTGCCGAGAAAGAACCTTCGAGTCGAAATATCCGTTGACTGGGGTGGGCACGGTCTTCGCATTCGTTTGGCGACCAATTCGCAGAACATCAGGGAAATAAGGGACATTGATCTGTTTCTTTTCAAAAGTGCCGTTCATGGGCAGCAGCGTTAAGATGGCGGGGGGCTCTCCGGATGGCGCGCTCCCAGCGCGGACGCCATTTTGCTGAGAAGATTGAAGCATATGCTGAGACGGAACAATAGAAGGTTGTTGCATCGCAGACATAGTAGAGGCGGCGACAGGCCCCGAAGAAAAGGCCGGCATCACCTGAGGACGTGCGTTACTCACACCAGAGACCGGTTCCGATTTGGAGCTGGGCCAGATGTTCCTCGATGATTTCTTCTTCGACGACCAAGTAGCAGATTCAGGGTTCGTCGATTGTCCGGCATTAGTATTCGGGGTATTTGTGGTTACAGTAGACGTAGAGGAATTTGATCCCAAAGAAGAAGAGGAATTCGATCGCTGAACGGTCTTCCGTGGCATAAACATTCGAGAGACTTCATCCGCGTTCATCGAAGACAGGGCTCCTTGTCCTCCGTTGCTAGAGTCGTACCATCCCAAGCGAGGCCCCGATTGCACACTAGGCGGTGATGCCACAGCAGTCATGGAGAAGGGGCACCGAAAATTGTTTGTTGTTTGTATGTTCGACGGCCGTTGCAGGACTGTCCTTATCTCATCCAGGCAATCGCGAGTGAATGAACCCCGTAAATAAACAGCGCGGTCGGGTATATGAAGGAAATATAAACGTCCAAGGAAAGGTCGCCTCGAGGTTTCGATCGGAAAGAGTCTCGAAAAGGGGCGCGAAATGCAGCGTCTGGTGCGCCCAAACACACTTTTCCCGCAAGTCTGCCAACTTTGTTGCGGAAAGTTACGTTAGCATTTTCCCGTTGCCGCTAGATAAACAGGAGACCTCCGGAGGGTGGTTGGTGGGAAGGACGACGCAATAGATGGCACTCATCGCAAGACTCGGGTCGATGCAGTAGACATACCTCCGAAGCACAGATACAGACGATGGAAATCAAACGGATGACGAAATGATAATATGTGGCAGTCCTCGGATCAAGGAGGTATGCAGACTCAACCTGAGAAACTAGCGACCGACAGGCTGTCCGCCGGACAACTAAGACGAAACTGAGGCAAGAAATGGCCTTACCCCCTTGCACGGGCTTGGTAAGCCGCCAGAACAGCAATAACACGACACTCGGGGGTCAACTGTTCCAGGACACAATCGCATGGGTGGCCACTGCAGGCGGGAAAGAGGATCAGCTCACGTCGCTCCCTAACTAGCCTCAGGCTCACACTCACGTGAGACCCCCCGACTTTGGGAGGAGGCGCGGCACGTGTGCGCTTATGTAATGTGACGACTTCCCGATCGGGTAGGCGGTGTCAGGTGGCCCTCGGAATGGCCTCGGGCCTTCAACCGTTCGATGGGGCCGCAGACACTGGAGCTTTCCTGTCTGTCTGTCTGTCCGTCTGCAAAAGCCCGTTGAAGAACGGAAGTCAAGAATCAAGCAGTCATCTGCGGGTCTCATCTAGCCGCCGACTCTCCTACCTTTTTGAATTATCTTTTTAGAACCTTTTCCTACTTCAAGTTTATAAACTTTCCAATATGCCTGTCGTTGCGGGTCCTCCTCAAGCGCATGGTCCCTCGACCCTCGAGAAGAGTGAGTTTCAGTTTCCCGAAACATGCTTGAGAGTTGTCTAATAGCGCGATGGTGCATGTTGCGCGCATATCATGGACATCGATACTCTGCTATTCTACTCTGAACATTGAAAATGGATCTGACTAACCCCTCCGCAGTGAAGATGGGTGCTATGATGGGGTCGAGTAAGTTTACATCATATCCGCTCAACATTTGATAAATTCTAATTCTCTTTTCTACTTAGCCGTTGGTGGTATCATGGGCTTTATCATCGGTATGCTGCTACAGGCATTCAAGTATGCGCTTTGATAGTTGCTTACAGACCCCAGGAACCGTCACCATCTTCCAGTACGGTGCTGGACCTAACGGAATTATGCGAACTCTGGGTAAATACATGGTTGGATCTGGAGCCACTTTTGGGTATGTCTACCATTTTGGCTTCTTTTGTCGAGCGAACTTGCTAGTATTAAAGCATTTGCTCTGCTTGAATTCGTCTTTGCTGACCCAAGTAGTCTCTTCATGTCCATTGGCAGTGTCATCCGTACCGAAGGACCTCACAACGATGCCTGGCTCCGCGCTCGGGGACCCCCGATGATGCTCCCCCGCCAGACCCCCCTGCGACGCGACTAAACTTTTGATTCTATGCCCTTTGCGTGCTGGGATCAGCAGTCGATTTACCGTGGTGGGCTTTTGTACAATAGTATCTATCCCAGGTTGTATCTTCACACAGCTTCGGGATAGATGAGGGAGAACGCGGTCGATGACGATTGACCCATGGAGGCGCTGAGAGATTAGGACCACATAGGGCCCTATATAATGTACATATATTAAGCATCGAAGCGTGGGGTGGATCAAGCTTGGTTATGTGACGTCTCTCGGCGTCTCAACAAGCTAATCATTTAATGAAGGATGACTCAAATTTTCGTGTAAGGACGTAGTAAATTTTACGGCTAACTCAAGAAAGACGGAGAGCGACTCGCACAGGGGGGTCTCGGGCAGTCAGTACATCACTCACGGCACAAAGTTTAACCTCTGGGTACTGTCGTGTCTATTATATACATTATGGTGCATCGGCATCGGGAACGAGTCTTTCAAAGGCGTTGTATATGATGCTCTCAAACTCCAAGAAATGTACTTCTTCGGTGATGAAGAGGTAAGCTTCATGGACCAATGGACTATGTCTGAACGTTTATTGGGACGGCCGTTTTGATAAGTCTCTGAGCTTCCGGCAATGAATCTTATGTTTATCTATAATTTAGTGTATGAAAACTTCGGAGAAGGGATATATTTTGTGATGATTATTAAAAACACTGCTCAGTGTTTATGCTTAATAGCGAAGACCTTCGAGGGTTTACTGCGCGGGTCTTGTCCTAGTATATACCTTGATTGTGATCATTGGAAGGGCCTGAATCAGTTTCCAAACCACTAGTTGTTCGGAATATAAAGGTATAGATTTGCAGGAGTGCCATTGTAATAGGAGCAATTGGTTAGGGCTTCTAAATTGCGGTCTGTTTCTGAAAAGCTTGAACATTCGTGTATCTAGATTCTTGCTGAGGCCTGTAAATGATATAGTTAATCTACCACAAATTGGACAAAATGACACCAGCTCATTGAATTCTCGCTAGCTGTCTTTCCTTATGGTATTTTGTGTATTGACGGTAACTCATTTTCGGTCATTGACCCTTCTATAGTATATATGTAACATTGCTCCGAAGATTTCAAAACATTAAGCGTCAGGGAACAGTCTTATAATTATACATTGCTCATTCAAGATGAGCCATCCGTCTAATGTAGGTAAATATTGTATGGATTCCTGCAAGTCGTCAAGCTCTTTACTAAGCACCACACTTTGTGGCCATATCGAAATCGACATTAAGCTTTTGAATTGCGGACCAGGAAGTTGAATCGATTTATACCCCGATGTCGGATGCCTGAATTGTGCAGTTCAGACATGACCTGCGAACAGGTCTCTATCTTGTGGACCTGTATGTCGTGCACCGGCAATACGTTCCACAAGAACCCAATCACCTGACCATGCTCCGTCAAATATCACAGAGATCGAGGTCCAATCCCATGGCCTTCGATCCGTCGGTATGCCGCTGTTTCCCTTGGATCTCCCAGTCGAAGCAAGCAAATTTGACAACGACCTTATGATTTGGCCTCGTGAATCAGATTCGGAGCCTTTCTCCTAGAACTCTCTCGCAGTAGTCAAGGTAGACACCATGCCACAGATCCTAAACCCCCGATAATTGAGTCCGAGTCGTGCGAGCAAAATGTGGTCGACCGGTCCTTGCATCTTCGGCGATCATTCCATTGTTCCAAATCACCAGGAAGTTGGAGGATTCTCCACCAAAGAGGGACCAAAACGCATGTCCTCGACGTCGTAGAGACTTGGCCCAATTGTGAAGAGTTTGGTCAAGCGCCGCCTGCCAGGAGACCGAAAAACCTTTGACCTTCGTCGACCTTTGCCTAGAGCAGTTCGAACTTGGGGGTGGCGCTTGCACTGCTAATGGCAGTGCCGAGAACATCCTAGAAATCTAGACCATTCAATACTTTCTTTTCTTTATATAGATGCCTACAAAACGTTTCAAACAACCTGAGAACCTATCTCATCTTCGATCTGGTGTTGAACAAATAAAGCCTTAAGGCGTTTGTGCTAACGAGGGCGTTGTTTCAGCCCTGCAGATGTAAGTGATAATGACTGGTCATGGAAGCCGGTGATCAACGTCGTTAGCCGCCTGGTCGCTAGGATCAACCTTTCATTCATCCGGTTTGCCCTTGCCTTGCCCTTGCGCATGCTAGCATGTTAGTAGGGGCATATGGCTTTGTTTATGGTTGACATAGCTAGCGGTGACCCCAAGGTGTATAGCAGACACGAGGGGCATCAATTGTCAGCATGTCAACAACACCATTCAGGAATTGTAGGTCCGTGGGGGTTCAACGCAGGTCGCAGAGGTTCTGGCCCAATGCCCCGAGTAAGCAGCCTATCACGATAGTTGTAGGGAACTGGGATATTGAGTCGAGGCCCTGATGTCAGGTGACTTGACCCCTCAGTGCGTGATTTCTCCGGGGGGAAACGGCGGATGCATCAATAATCCCCTCTTCCATCGTTGAACGATGAATCCCCGTGCACTCGTGTTGGGAACGGTAACTGAATGAATTTTCAATCAGGCCAAGCGAAAGCGAGTCAAGGGCCTCGACAGTCCCACTGTTCGCCTCACGACGGCCCAAGCAACGGTCTTGGATGGAAATTAGCCGATCTTTGTTGTGTCTCACTCGGAGGTCTGTGGGCATTGGTAATGTTCATTGTCTTTTCTTTTCTTCTTTTTTTCTTTTTTTCTTTTTGCCCCCCCTAGTCCCTACTGCGTCATATTTTGTTAGCGTGATTAGTTCAGGGTCGAGACCGAATTTTTCTCTGGACTAATTTAACCTAGTTCACCAGGGATCATCCAGGGCGAGCTTAGGAATTAGTGTGAAACAGTCCAGAGACAACGAAAGTGACAAGAAGCGCCCTCCAGAGCAGTCAAAACACTCAAAGAAAACTTGTAGAAGAAGAATGTCTTATTATCGGATTGTTATTGACAGCAAAGCACTTCATCTGGCATGAAAGGGACTGAATCATACCAATTTCCCGGGTGGATCATCCTTGATCAGACTAACAAAAAGCGTGCCTGACCAAGTCGTTCAGGAACCGAACCTAAATCCGATCCAACCGCCACTAAGAAAAAAGATCGGCGATCCAGAATCAGCAGCATCAATGCCACTTGCCAACTCAGTCGTCGCTGAGCTGGTTCCTGGCAGGATTCCGGTCTATTCAAAGCAACAATGGTTGGGCAGGGCTGCCTGTGATTTGTTTACTCCTCGTATACTTGACCGCCAATGTTGACGTGCGAGAGGGGGCTGCAAAATGCCAGCCCTCAAAGGACATTCCATCTGGTCCAATCGCTCCACGAACTTATGGGCCAGGGGAAACCCCTTGCGATTGGACGAGGAATTTTCCCGGGCCCGTTGGTAGGGATGCGATTGAAGGATCGGGTCCGAAGGGTGCCCACAGTCTCTCGTGTTGACAATTTCTGTCGCATCGTGTGTAGTTCCTATTTAGCCCGACAGTCCCTGTCGCACATTCTGCATTGCATTGTTTCCCTGTCGCATTCCCTCCCTCAGGCCTGGAGCACAGCACTTCCCCCACGTTCTTTATAACATCAATACCCCCTGCCCTTCCGGCGAGACGCTCTCTCCTTTGCGTCTCCTACTTTGCTTCGACACCTTGTTTTCGTCAGTCACTCATTTCGCCTTTGCGACACGCTGCGCCGATTCGACATCGTAACGCCCTATTCGATCCTTTACTTGCCAATCCTCCTGTCTACATTGGCTCATCATTCTCTTCTGATTGTCCAGTGCTGCTTTTGAACTGCCGGATAACCATATCGTCATTTAAACTTCCATATCTACTCCACTACCGCCGCAAATATGAAATTCAGCGCTCTTGCTTCCTCTGTTCTCTGCCTGGCTGCGACCCAGCTTGTCGCTGCAGAGACCTCCACCTCGACGGTGACCAACACTATTACCAAGACGCTTGTCCGAGTCAGCACTGTGACTTCTGCAGGCGACGCTGCGTCGACTACTGTCAATTCCCACGTCATCTCCACCACCAGCGTCACTATTCCCTCCAGCTCCAGCAGCGGATTTGTCTCTAGCGCCGCTGCAAGCACTCATGTGCGCTCGTCCAGCTCTTCGTCCGCCAGCTCAACCGCTTCGGCTACTCCTTCCATTCCGTTGAGCACGGGAGCAGCCAGCATCTCCGATGCCAACATGTCGGCTGCTCTTATCGCCGGATCTTTTGCTCTTTTCATGGGCTGCTGGTGATGATGCTGCCATTGGCAATTGCTTGGCCTTGAGGCTCACTACGGGTTCTGTTGTCTTGGGATCTACCTTTTTACGATCGACTTTACGAATTGACTGTCTTGTGACGGTCACTACTCTTCATTTCTTTTTCAACATATTTTCACTTTTATCTTTCTTGTCCAATTCGCTTTTACCTTTCCCGGAGGATCCTGATGATGATAATGTCAGGAAATCACTGGGGAAGCCCAGGTGTTATGGATATATACCCTTTGATATACCCCATTTGACGACGATTCTGATAGACGAGTTATGTCCTTGACCGATGCTGTTGTATTCTGGCAGCTCAGTCTAGGAAAACAAATTAAAATTAAATTCATATATTTCTCTACCTACCTCTAATTCCCGTATATATTCAAGAAGTAAACTTGATCAAAAATTGAAAAGACAAAACCAGATAAATAAATCAAGATCGACAGGTCTAAACGGATTACCGAAAAGGGCGATACCGTTATCAGCGCGACTGCTGATAGGCGCGGCGCGTGGACGACGCGCGAGTAAACAGTCCTGCCTGGATGCCTGAGGGGCTGACTCGAGGTTGATCTTTCTGCGACTCTTCTCGGTCTCGTCCTCAGCCGATCTTCATTCTTTCGGACGTCATGCATCCGACCAGCGGCCGGTGATGTGATCCGTTCGCCAATTCTATCTCGTTGCAGCTGTTGACAGCCGCGAACCCATCGCCTTCCCCACCACGCGCCGTTTCCCTCCTCCCTCCTTTTTCTCCCTCGTGCATCTCACCGCACCCTCCTTACCCCTCCGAATTCATTGACAGTATTTCACGTCCGTTGTCTGTCGCCCAGGGCTTCGCGACACTAGTTCCACCATGGAGAACGAGATCCCTCTACCTCCCCCGCCTCGTATCCGCCACCGCTCTCCAACAAAGACCGCGCCCGCCTCCTCCGGTGCCGGCTCCTTTCGCAAGACCTACCAGCTGTCGCGCTTCGATGACCGTTCCAGCCAACCTTCCAGCGACCCCGCGTTCTTCTCGAGCGACGACATCCCCGCCTCCGGGCTAGAGAACTACAATGCGCCCGTGGCTTCGGGGAGTCGGAAACGACGATACCGAGGCACGTGGTGGGGGGAAATGGTGAAGGATCCGAAGCGCAAGCGGGCGGATTTCAAAGACAAGCGCATGGTCGATAGTGGTGTGTGGATGGGTAGCGATGAATCTGGTGCCGATTCGCTGCTGCCCTCGGAAGATGCGGCTTGGGGGGAGGATTTGTTGAAGGATACGAAGAGTTCGGGATTGGGGTTGAGACCCCTGGGGCAGATGACGGTGCAGCAACGGGCTCCCTTCCTGAGGTCGGAAGAGTCGAGGGAGCATCAGTTGGCGCGGGCCATTGTCAATGATTGTCTGGAAAAGGGGCAAGACAGTGTTGACTTAAGGTAGGATCTCGCGTTAGGATCAGGTGGTTATGGTTGCTTTAGCAAAGCTAACGGGTCTTTGTAGTAGTGGAAATTTGCGCACAATTCCCTGGGGCTTGCTGCGACCATTGCAACACCTTACAAAGCTACCTGCTATAAAGGAGCCCCCAATCTCCGAAGAGGTTTACAGCTCACTCGAACCTTTTCTGCGCCTGTTTCTGGCGGGAAACTCGCTTACAGCTATCTCCGGCGAGCTATTCGATCTGGGATCGCTCAAAGTGCTCAGTTTGCGGAATAACAAGCTGACAGAAATTCCTCCAGCGGTCAGGAAACTGACCATGCTACAAGAAGTCAATCTTTCGGTCAACCGCCTGAAGTGTCTCCCCTGGGAATTCCTGTGGCTGATCAAGAAAGGCGACTTGAAGCACTTGACAGTCCGGCCGAATCCGTTGCTGCAGATCGAAGAGGCAGATATTGCCCAATGGCATTCGCCTGAGGGAACAGACCCAGACTCTCCCCAAGGAGCTCTAAGGCTCTGCGAGTATCAAGGGCCCGCGCCGGAAGAAGCCTGGGCCCCAATCCATGTGGCTACCGGCCGCGTGCGTCGCTTTAACATGGAGGGCCTGCCAGTTGGAGAGGGTCAAACCAACACCCTGTACATGAACAGACCAACCGAACCCCAGTCCGAGTCTCGGGTTCCTTCCCTGCGCGAAGTGTCTCTTCTTTCTTTCAACAAATCCCCGTTCTTCGATCAGATCCCCGACTCGGAGATGGAGGACTACCCGGAACTCATCCTCCGGCTGCTCCGCCAGGCAAGGGCCGTCCGGGACGGCGGGGGACGGTCCTGCTCAGTTTGTCACCGGAGTTTCGTGATCGCTCGCACCGAATGGATTGAATGGTGGGATTGCAGCACGTACGAGAACGGACTGAAGGGACCGCGGTGTCCAGGCGAGACACTCCGGCCTCTCCCATTCCGTCGATTGGGGTGCAGCCCGCTGTGCGTCCCTGCGGCGGAGCATTTCCAGCCAGACGAGGTGGACACTCGGTTAGTGGATTCGGAGCAGTAAGGGGTCGACATGGTATACACTGTACAGATATCTCTGCATTGCGTGGGTATATCATACGCGTCCAGTATTCTATTGGCAAACTGGCTTTTGTGACGCATGTATGTATTTAGACTTGTATGAGTAGCAATCATGCATATAGATTTAGCTAGCAATTTATTTAATCCTGACAAGTCCGAGTGTCAGCCGTTCGTGGAACCAGCAGTTGTCCTGAGATGTCACAATAGTAGCATTAGCATTAAAGACTTCGATTAACAAATAGTTACTAGAGTACAGCTGACGATTAGCAAGTCAGTATCAATGTCCGCATATAGCAATCACACTCCCATAACTTTTTTTATACAAATTATCACACCTCGTCGCCTTATCTGTCAAATGTGATATCACGACCTTTTCTCCCCCTCCTTTTCCAAATCCGCAGCCCACAGCGCCGCCCCAACGGTGTTACTGAACGCGAATGCCAACGACAAGAACGGCACCATTTCGAGGGACACAGCGGCGATACCGAACCTAGATCATGCAAACACTCATTAGCAAGAAAGCTCCCTGTGGAAACACCCCATCCAGAGAATCCCATCATCCTGCAACAGAACGAGGAACCAACAACCAGCAACGAACAGGAAACAAGAAGAAGAAAAAGAAAGAAAAAACATACCCAGTATACCCAGCCCTCCTCTCCCTCACCCACTCCGCAACCCTCCTCTCATCCCACCCCTTCAACTGAAACCACCTCCTATGCGCAACCGGCCCAGCCCTCTGCCCCTGCAACCACACATAAACCGCAGTCCCCACGACCGGCACCAGATTCAACGGTAACAAAATCACCGCATTCAACAACGCCCTCGGCCTCAACCTCTCCGCGGGCTCCTTCACCATCTTCCCCAGCCGTCTCACCACATCCCGCCCACTCGCCCGCGGCTGAACATACCGTCCCTCTTTAACCAGCTCATCAGCACCTTTCTCCAACAGCGTCGCATCAAACGTATCAGTTAAGTCGTCGCGGAGGGACCACGAGCGCGCCACGAAGGTAGTCAGGGACGCGGACTCGGAGATCACAAGGAACGCAGCGGAGATAGGGGCCCAGGGGCCGCTGGTCAGGCTCAGGAGTGCGGTCTGGGGCAGGTAGGTGAAGAAGAACATGCCGGTGGTGATGCCGACGCCGAGGGTGATGGTTTGGCCGAGGCGAGAGAGGAAAGGACGGCGGAGGGGTTCGTGGGTGGAGAGGTAGATGAGGCCTTGGAATGGGTACCACCAGGTGCGCGACGTGACGACATCTTTGGCTGTGAGGCGGAATTTTTGGATCTCTGCGAGGATGAAATTTCGGAGTTGGGTGGCCATGGTTGGGACTACACTGTCAGTGAGTGCTCAGGTAAAGAGTCCGCAGTGGAGGTGTAGAGGTCTAGAGTCTAGAGGTGACAGTTGGCGATCGCTTTTTTCTGATCGATAAGGCCCATGCACGATGCACGATGACGTCACAACACGTGCTGTCCGTGGTCCATTTGGCAGGTTTAATATACAGCGTCTTTCATGGGGATATAGAAGGAAAACGAATAATAAATGAAGTAATGGGCTGGATGAGTGCTCGCTAGATCGAAGACAATTCGAAATGATCACGGAGTTGATTGACTCCCGCCTCGCATAGCCAATTCACTTCACTGGTCTCGCCCTGCGCCTGCAGTCCCGCAATCCCTACCTGAACGCCAGCCAATTCGATATGATGATGTCTTCAAAAAAATTCGCTAATGCAGGCCATTTTCAAACCACTAAGAACAGATCCCTGAAGCAACACAAGAACCCCATGCCTTGAAGGCGACGATATAAGAAAAAAATGTGAAAGGAAACAGAGAGGAGTAACAAATGAGAGGGGGAAACAGAGGTTATCTATCGTTTTCATTCCGGCTTGGATGCCAGATCGTATCGCCACTGAGGGCGGAAAAGCTGAGGGCGGCATAATTTCTCCAGCCCGGCGGGGGCGCCGAAGAAGCATGTTCTTCGACAAGTCCGGCGTCTGACCCGGCGTGACGCTCAGGGTCCGACATCTCATCTTCGCTGATTGCAGTGATCAAAACGGGGGCAGATGAAGCACCATGGTGGGATCCGAGTTGGTGCTGATCGTCCTCGTCCGCTTGTTCGGGGCCTTTGTTTTGAGACATAGACCGAACGACATCACCCTTACAAATGGGACACGTGCGTCGGCGAGTCGTCAGCCAAGGGGTACTAGTAGTCAATATGTTAGCAAATCCGTAGATTGTCGATCGATATTGGGGTATCGCAACTTACATGCACTCGGCATGGAATTCATGACCGCAAGGCAGGCTCATCACCCTGCTTTGTCCATCGACATATTCCTCCAGGCAGACAACACACTCAACCTGTCGTCCAGTGTATTTGCGGCGCCACAAGGTAGACGAAGCCTGCGGTTCTTTACGAGACGGGGTACCCATATTCGATGACGCATTGGTGTCCGAGGCCCTTGCACTCTCCGAGCGAGCCTTAGTACCTAACAGGGGTGATGTTGGCGACACGGGACCAGGGCTAGCAGACCTGGGGGAGCTCGCCGCGGAAGAAGAAGAGCTAATGGTGTGGTAGGTTCTCACGGGAAGTCGATCGACAAGCGATTTCGGGGCTCTCCAACGTCTTCGTCGAATGCGAGATCGTAGCAGAAGAAGAGCGTAGACGATGGTCAGCGTCAGCAACGGGCTAACGACAAGAACGAGCAGGGTATCGAAAAATGGGCTCGTAGACATGCTCGTTGGCGTCAGGGTAATCCACAATCCCTCATGCTCGAGGTTCGTCACGCCCTGGTGATGCAAGGTAGCCCCTGCATCCCGCTCACGTAACTTTCGGTTTTCTCGGCTGTTACGCATCGAAGATCGACTGGAGTCCTGCTCCCTGTTCTTCGCCCACGAAAAGTGTCTCGCAAACCAGCCCCTGCTCTGCACCAAACTCCCTGTCTTACCAGAGCCTGGTTTCTGGTTGTCCTGAACATATGTCTCCTTATCCACGGTGGACCGTTCGAAGGTGCGGTACTCGCCGCTTCCCGGGGTGATGCTGCCGCCTTTCAGGGTGGCCGCCACAGAGCGTGAGCTACCATCGGCGGCAGACTGCAGTTTCGTGCGCTCCGGCTCCGGAATGCCGCTTGGTGACGGAATAGAACTGCTCCGCGGCGCCATCAGATCGGGATCTCGCCAGTCCTGCACGCCGATGACAAACCCATCGCCATCCATGGCATCGGAACCGGTCTCGGATCGTTTACGGTCATCTGCGACACTCGTGTGGCTATGGCCATGGTCAGCGTCATCCCGGGGCGGCTCCTGATCGTCGAAATGATCCAACGAGATCCAGTTAATGTTTCCGCTACTGGGTGGACGTCGACTGTTCTCCGATACACTACCAGCATGGTTGTTTCCAAGACCAAACAAGGACATCAAACCGTGAAACAACCCGGATTGGTGTACCGCAGGCCTCTGGGACTCTTGGGGTGCGACATGAGGAGTGGACGTAGGGGATGTGATAGCGGTCGAAGCGGTGGTGGTTGATGGCCGCTGCTTTTCAGCGATGTGGCCGGTCAGTCGCGTGCGGGACGCTCCCGCACCGTCCTCTAGGGCCAAATCTTCCCCGGCCTGGGAGGGAATCAAAGACGAGAGCAACTGGGCTGTGGTGTGTGAGGTGAATAGGGCCGGGATAGTCACATTCGACGTATCTCCTCGCGCGTACATCGTGACGAGACTGCCTCCTCTAGTGTCGTCCCCAACGATCAAAGCGATGCCCCCACGCCGTTGCACCCACTTGACCTTCTCCAAGAAACCGCATCCGCCCCGACTCAGCAGGACCACCTTGCCGGTAATTTCAGCACTCTCCTGCAGGGACTGAATGTCGGCATGAGCCGTTTGTCGAGTCCGACGGTTGTCTCCGTGCTGCTTCGGCGCGCCTGCGTCCACCACACGTGATTCCGGCAGAGGGTGGTGAAGATGATCGTCGGTGCCGTCATTCGTCGCTGGAGAACCTTCGTCATGGGGATCACGTTGAAGATCGGAGTCCTGGGGCGAGTCCTGCGCGGTCGCGGGTTCGGTTCCCGCGGCAGGCACAGATTTCCCGATCGGGCCATCGGGGTTCGTCGTCATCGTCATCGTCTTATCCTGCTTGTGATGGGTTTCACCCTCGCCCCACCCAGGGATATCCGAACAGCCTAGTTCACCTTCGGCCCCGGCCGCGGTCCTCTCACCGAAACCACTGCCGACCCATAGTTGACCGCTGAGGCCTTTCTCGGGCAGAAGGGGGCCAAACGCGGCGGGTCTGGCCAGGAAGAAGGTGGAATTGTCATCGGTGAGACTGATGATGGCGGACGGAGGGAAAAGAGACGAAGGGACGTTGAAGGAGAAGAGGGCGTGCAAGCCAGTCGCTCGGCCGGCGAACGAACTAGGCGTGGCCAGGCTCGGTGATGATGTCAGAGCCGAAAAGAAGGTGACGAAGATGGGAAAGAAGATGAAACAGAAAACAATGAGGATCAAGCGTGGGAATCGCATTATTAAAGCGAGATGAAAACTGAGAATCCGGACGATGCCCTGCCGAACAAAAAGGAGGGATTCCAGCAAGTCTCAAATTCGGTGTCTTATGACCAATCAAACGGCCGAGTCGAGGGATTTGGGGGGCGGGCGCTCATCGAGAGGAGAGCCAAAACCCCGAGACGAACGAGGAACGAAAAAGAAGAAAGCGCTCGATTAAAACGAGAACTGGGAATACCGCCCAAGACGGGGAATGAGGAGGGGAAAGGGATCGAAGGGAGTCATATGGAGTGGGAGGGGAAGGAAGAGAGAGGAAGTGAGAGAGAGAGAGAGAGGGAGAGACGGAGGAGGATGAGTTAACGAGCAGCCAAGCCAAGCGGCCGCCTGCCTTCTTTCCCTCGCGTTGCTCAGCCTCGGGGGGGGGGACCAGTCACGGGATCCGGGGCGGCCTCAGGATTGGCCGGGAGGCACTCAGGCAACGAAATCAGGGGATCACATTCCCTGCAGTTTTATATTTTATACTTCTTAAGCACCACTACTTTCCATTCCATACCTACACACCATTCATCCCGTGAGAACAACCACCTGCATCCCTACTGTACGGTGTACACCGCACTCCTACTCAGTAAACTGTAGAGTGGGTAATCGTTCCGTATGACCCCCGCAGATCATGCTGTCATCGGCCCCACCCGTGTTTTTGCTGTTATTTTCTATCGTTATGCGCGTTGGCCACGGTAGGGCTGCATGCATGGAAGCACCACATACTGTGTACACATACACATACTCAGTTCATCCCCCGAGGGAAAGGCCTGGAATGCATGGAGCCCTCGCACCGATACAAGTACTAGGGACAAGTTTACACCGAGTACGTACTGTCTACAACCGATCCATGATGATCCATCGTGCTTCGCTCTAAACGACAAGTCCCACTCTGATTAGATGTTTTCCTCGCTTTGAGAATTCGATCCCCTCTCCTTACGGTTTACGCGGTGTATCCTCTCTTGCCAGGTTCAACACCAAGTATTCTTCGACAGCATCTTGACATGGCGATTCTTCTCAGTCCTCTGATGACACCATGGCCCCTTCTATATCACATTGACGCGAGTTCATCACTAAGATTCTTGATCCTCTGCTCCGGACCCCGTAAATTGGTGCAAGGTCGATCTTGGGGTGATCCCCTTGGCGCAGGTGGGTGTGGTCCCGATCATCGGTTGATCGCACCGCGTTCAACTATCCAACCGCGGTGGCCCTTGAGGATCCATGGGATGATGGAGCATAGATGGAGCTCGGCGGGGCAGCTTGTTTGGCGGCAAGTCTAATGTGGCTGGTGCCGCGGTAACTGACCATCCTCCTCGTTCCCCCATTATGACACCCACACGTCATGACTCCCCCCTTGCGCAGAGCTGATGGGCTCAAAAGATCAGATAAAACCCAGTGACCGCCATAACAGCCCAGCTGTCCTGTGTCGTTGCTACGCATCCCCGTCTTAATCTAATACTACCACTACTACTAACGCGGGACCATGTCTAACCTTTTGCACAAGGTCAAGGATGTCGTGACCGGTCATCATCACGGCAAGGAGTCCAAGGATTCCAGTACGATCTCAACTGCGTGTCGTCGTCAACCCTGGGATTCTTAATAATATCCTCTAGGCAAGCGCCAGCATGGCGATAGCTCGGCTACTGGCGCCTCCGGATCGAACCCAAGCGCCGGTACCTACGGCTCACAGGAATATGCCTCCGGAACTGGTGGTGCCGGCCACCAGGGCCCGACTGAGTATGGATCTCAGCCAGCTGCCGGTCAGTACGACTCCGGCACGGGCGAGTATGGAAGATCCAATCCCTCTGGAACCCGTCCGGACACCGCCGAGTATACTTCCCAACCTGGCGTCGGCAACTATGGACAAGGCTATGGTGGCAGCGCACCCGGGGGCAGCAGCTACAACCCTCACCCAGGCTCGGGTCAATACACCGACGCCTCTAAACTGGGATCCCAAATGGAGTCGGATCCTCGCCATATCTCCGGAGGTACGCAACAGCAGCGGTCCCAATGGTAAATGGTCGTCAAATGCCTTTTTATTCCTTTGATGACTCTTTGTACTGTATCCTTCCTTTCGGGTTGACTGTTTAGTACGATGATTGATTTGATGATATGACTTGATGACTGGGAACTTTATGGACAGGGTAAATTGATCTGGATTGTAATGAATGAAAGTCAGTCTCAATTGGATTTCTTCACTTGTGCTTCGTTCTGTCGCCGTAAGAGGACTAGCGGGGTCTCCTTTGCTGGAAATGACCGATTGGGAAGGCGCGACCAGACTGTCACGGGATGTCTCCTGCTTCCTTCCTCCCGCTCTCTTTCTTTCTCTCTCTTTCTCCTCTTTTCTTGCATGCATATCTGCCTTCGTCGACATCTTCCCCCTCCCATGGTTGTTCTCCTACCAGCGTTGGTGTCCGTGCAGCATTGCCATGTCGGATGAGGTGAAGTCAAACAGATATCATCGCCGTCGTGAGTACTTCCCCTCCCTTCCACTGTAGTGCTTCTGCGAGTAGTAGTGAGTTCTCTTATTCTTATTCATGTACCAGGAAGGAGAACTCGAAAGAAGAAAACCGCCGTGACCATTGAGAGTCTTCTTCCTGGGCGAGCTCCTCTGGGATACCAACCATCGCTCAATCTGCCTGCTGCGCTACACGGTGTGCCCATTGTGACGGCATCTTCCAGTGAATGGTCAGAATAGGAAAACTCCTTTCAGGTCAGTTCCTTCATAGAAATCTTGTTTCTGCCTCTTTGGGCTCTTTCCCTTTGGCGAAGTTCTGATGTATATCATTTCTAGCCCAGGCCCCTAGTCCTTGTTTTCAGTCATCTCCCAGGTCCTTTTCATCGATTGCAACAGCGCAGTTTAACGTTAACAACCCCTCTTCCCAGGCCGGATCCCCTCCTCTTGTGCTCGATACTCCAATCTGCCTGGCCCCGGCTGAAGCCCCCCTAAACCTCAATAGCTCTCATCGCGACAAGGCTCGCTCTCCAAGAGGCTCTTCGACTGTGCCTCAAGATAACGAAGATCGAAGTGAACCGGTCACAATGAGGCACAGCTTCTATTCGATGAGCAACAGCCAGTCCGAGACACCTAATCCCTCTATAAGTCTTACGGCGCATGAAGAGTTGGGAGACTTTGGAGAACTCGCGTCATCCAGACCAATCGCCTTGAGTCAACTGTATACGAAAGCTAACTCACGAACTAAATCTGGCCGAGCCGTGAAGGCCTTTATGGACCAGATGGCTTCCGAAAGCAAAGAAGCACCTTCATTGGCCACAAGCTTCCGTGAGACTGGCCAGGACACGCATGGCACTCAGGTCCCAGTCGTTCATCGCATAAATAATGCAGAGTATAGACTGAGTCTTCGCGGAGATGAACCGGTACCTTCTCGCATCTTTTCACAGGAGCGTGGCTATGATTCGGCAGAAGAGATCGGCGAACAGGACTGTCGCAGAAGGACAGAAGGGCATCATCAGCAGAACCCTCTCAATTACGCAGAGGGTCTTGGCTCTTATTACTTATCACGGTCCCAAGAGCGCAGCTATGTCTCTGAGAGCCCATTCTTGAAGAATGCTAGCTATCCCCTCTCAGAACAGGAAGCATGGTCAGCGGAGGCGCATCCCATCACCGGAGAACCTTCCTTGGGTGCACAGCAGTTCAGGTCAGCCAGTCAAAACGTCATTTCCCGAAGTGAACACGTTCCAGAATCGTCGCTTCATCTCTATCGGGCTAGTTTCGATCGGCCTGAAGACCAATCCCCATACGGCTCGGTGCGTCTTCAACACTCGGTCTATGAGAACGCTGGATCTTACGAGGTACCATCGGCCGAAAAGTCACCACAGGAGCGCTATAAGGACTATGCCGTCATACGGTCAGGCACTATGTTGACGGGAGCTCCACAGGGGGAGTCCCTTCCAGAGCTATATAGGTCCTCCACAGAATTCCGACCTCAGATGTCCACATCTCGGGCCCAGCCACCGACGCGTGCCTTGGCTTCAATTGCATCGGGTACTGGACTCTCAGGAACTAGTGCCCTCGGGTCATCAACGAAAGATAAAGCAAGCGAAGAAGCTACCCGGTTCCTCGATAAGATTTCCCAGGATTCTTTATCGCGTATCAAACAAACGGCGCTCCCTGATCCTTTCGTCGAACCAAAGGAGGCTTTAGCATGCAAGAGTTCGGGGTCGCGTGTTCATTCTGAAGAATTGGCCTTGCTGGCAGCTAGACTAGGCAAGTATGCCAATGACTCGCATAGGCGGTTGTCAACAGACCGTCGCTCCCATTCAGCACACGGGACATTGCAATCACTCTGTGAGTCAACAGTTACCGAGGTTCCACTGCTGAGAAATATCACCCCAATCGAGGACACCAGTGGTAAGCTGAAGGAGAACTATGATCAACTTCACGCGGGACTCCAAACCACAGACACGGGTAAGGTCTTACGGCCTCCTCCCGGGTTGCCCACGCCAGCCGTGCGCCAGTTAATGGCCGGAGAACTACTGCATATGGCAGATCATGTTCTGAGGGGAACCCGGGCTGACGAGGCAAACACTTGGTTTCACAAAGACCCCCGAGGAGAGGAATACCTTCGCCAGCAAGTCGCCACGATTGCCCAAAACCACGGTCAAAGAATCGAGCGACTTACGGGAGCTGATGGCACCACCGCAAAGCAAATGAACCTGCTTTTGGGGAATGTGATTGTCAATCTCCATTCACACTTCTCTGAGTGCAACCAGAATCATACGACGAATTTACCAGTTTTCGAGAGAGAAAATACCTTTGAAAAGACCACTAGTTTTGCCAGACGGCGCAGTTATTTTGATCGAGACCCCTCTGTCAGCTATTGGAGGTTTCCTCTAGGACGCGGCTTGTCTGACGAGAGCAGACACTCGGATAAAACCACAGGATTCTTATCTCCAGGTTATAGGGCATAGAGAGTAAGCTACAGCGGTACTAAACAGAAGCTAGATAGGCGTGGGACTACGGAACACAGACCGCGGCGTTGAGGGTGCATACAGACCGATCATGGTATACCCGCTTAATATGTTTTAGTTTTGATTCCTTTTCATGGGTAAATACCTGACAGGTACTCGTGTTCATTTTTGTGGATCTAACATCTTCACCCGTACAGCCTAAAGTATCGATTATTGGTAGGTAGATATGCCCTACATCTCTTCCACTGTCATACAGCGACTCAACTATTTACCAATCACACATCACCAAGTTTAATAAACGATCAATTAAATCCTATCTGTCTGGCCGCACGTAACATCGCACTTGACCATCCGTACACAAGCAACGACTCAGCAGTCGAATAAAAAAAAAAAGAAAAGAAAATACATAGCGCCAGCGTGCTAACACACAAACACAGCGAAGTCGAAATATTATCCTGCGCCAAAAAAGAAAGAAGAAGAAAAAGGTAAAATAAATTGATATCATCATCCGAAGAAGGAAAAGGTTGGAAAAAGACAAAAAGAATCGGAAAAAGTTACATGAAAGCAGGCCCGAATTACCCAAAGCGCCGTGCGAAGCAGATATCTGCCAGAATGATCATATCTCACAGTCTTACGAGATGGAGGGAATAAGTTAGGGGAAAGAAAACAACAAGCAAGAAGAAAAAAGGGACGGGACAGCAATAAAGGGAGAAAAAAAAAGGGAAATACCACCTCCAGTCTAGACCTAACAATGCACCAGGTTTATATGATTATCATTAAGAGCGGAGCAGGCGAGGATGGTGCGGTGAGGGTGGAATGCGGTGCTGGCGATGGGGGACGACCGGTTATGGTGTAGGAAGCTAGAGTAGGGCTCAAATGTGGAGAGATGGGAACCGTGGACGTTGAATGTTCTGACTTCGTGGCGGTTTGTGCCTCTGTGGTTCGGACAAGATCAGCAAAAATGTTCGCACCGGGGGGTGGTATGGATGAGGATAAATGGGATAACTTACACCATGAAGACCGGAGCATGTTCGTGGACGCTTAAGGTGCGGAGAGTATCTCGAGTAGCATAGATGGTAGAGATGGGATCGTCCATTCGGAGATCCCAGAGTCGGATCTCCCCGTTACGGCTGCCGGACACCAACTCCCTTAAGCCACCCCGTTGCATGTGGACATTGGTGATCCATTGCTTGTGTTCGCGCCACACCTTGACCATGGAAGTTGTGGGCTTCAGACGCTGGTCAAAAACTCGGACGGCACCGTCACCAAATCCAGCAACAAAGATGTTACCTGCCACTTGATCTGAAGTCAAGGACGTGATGCAGGAACCTGAGCGAGCCGGGATATCCTGTAAAGAACATTAAAACCTGCTGAGCTCAAAGCCATTGAGTGAAAAGGGAGAAAACGTACGTTGGTACACACTTCCGTGGCGGCATTCCACACACGAATTACTTTCACGTCACCGGCAACCAATGCTTTGCCTTGGCCCTGTTGCCAATCAAGGACAAGACCGGCATTTCGATTACTTGGAATAAGCTCGGGCAATGCTCTGAATGCCGTCACTATCTCAACATCCTGTGAAGATTCGTAGTTGCGGAATACTTTGAGAACACCGTCGGAGGAACCTGTCATCAGAAGTGCTTGGTCATCCTCATTGATGTAGCGAACTTCGTTGATCTTTGACCCTGGGGGATTGCGATTAGAGAACCAATTCAGGCGCTTATGCCTCTGCCAGTCCCAGATACTGTTCAAAGGTGTTAGTAAAGACCAGTAGATTGTGAATCACCCCACTTACGCAATCGTGTCCCTGTCATCCGCAACTGCGATGTGATCCTCGAACTGATGAAAGCACATTTTCAGGGGTTGACTGCTGTTCGTGAGGAGGGCCATGGAGCTATCCCATCGGCTTGTTCCGGCTTTGCCCTTGAGGGGTTGGGTTTCCGTGATAATCTTCTCGTTGCGGCTCCGTCGCCAGAGTCGCTCGTTGTAATCCGCGCTACCGGGCTCGTCGGGCTCGTTGGGTTTCATTTGGGGTTCCCGGAAGTACTAGATATGGGTGAGAAAACGCTCATATTTTTCGTTGTATTGTTCGCTGATTAGCTGGAGTGATTCTGGGATTACCTCTGTGGACCAATCTAGGAATCTGCTCATCAGGGGAATGATTGGGGCAGTTGATGGGTCTTTAGACTCGAACCCTCGAGACGTGGGAGTAGGGGCCTGATGATACGCTGTAGCGGGCGCGACCTGGTCGTTCACTTCCGGCGGTCGGGTCCATTCTGGGGGTGCCCTTCCTCGAGGAGTGATGGGCATGCGGCCTTTAGGTGACGTCGGGGCCTGTGATGACTGCGGTTCAGTTTGGGAAGATCCACCAAAGGCAAGATTCTTAAGGGAGGCAGCAACGCTGGCCGTCCGTCTGAGACTAAGTGAAAGATAGCCTTCCTGCTTGGGAGGGGCATGAGACTGTGGGGTGGGGGGCGGTGCAGCCTTTGACTCAGGTCGTTCTCGAACATGCTGCTTCTGTGACACTCGGCTCGAGAGCTCCATGATTTCGGTTCGAAGCTTGTCAGTTATAGAAGCCATAGGCGACTGCAAGAGGGCTAGATGAATGTAATCAATAATCATGCTGCCATCCTGGGCTATGTCTGGGTGGGGATCAACGGAAAGTATGAGCAACTGCTTCCAAATTGTGCCAAACGTGGTGTTGCGAGACAGAGTCTGCGACTTTGACTTTGATTTCGACGAGCCATCAGTCGACCCATTGATGGCTTCCTCCGGGTGGTAGGCCCCAATACCTGCTTGTTCCAATTTCGACATGAGATTTTTCTTCTCATCTTGGAATTCTTCGTAAGCGGCAACCAAGAATTTGTTCTGATAACGTCTAACGAAGGTTGAGAAGAACACCAACAGCTCCTTTCGAACAAGTACGCTGCCATCTGATGACATAGGAAGGACTGCCATGGCTAAGGACTCTTCAATTTGGGCGACCTGATCCGTCAAATCTGGGATGCCCAAAAACGTGGTGACGGCGTGTAACATCGCAGCTCGGACCTCCGGCACGGGATCGAAATTGAGCTCGCAGAGCCGCGCAGGGGCAGCACATCGGATTCCCATCCATTTGGCCTCCGGAAAATCGGACCAGAGCATACTGATGCACAGGCAGGACCATTGCCGCAGCAAAGGATTTTCAACGTCCATCAGGTGTCGCAGGCAAGAATCAAACAGTTCGGCGGAGAGACACACGTTCTGTCCCTGTGGATAATTCTTACAGAAGATCGACACGATAAACGCGCACATTGCTCGGTGTTCGCTGGCATTGCCCACTGGGATCGGCGACGAAGGGTTGAGAATAGAAATGAAGTAATGAATTCCATTGTCCTTCAATAGGTCGTTTTGGACTGTGTGATCAACTGCCATGATCCTAGCCCAGATGAACACCATCACGGGCTTGAGTTCCTGGGCTGCGGACTGTAAAAGTTTGACGACGTAAGGGAAGATACCAATGCTCAAAGCCAGATGAACCGCCCACGGCCCCAGATCGAGGAATTTGCTGAGCAAGATCAATGCTCTTAGTCTGTGGGCCTGGCTCAGAAGAACCTGCAGGACAATAGGCAGCTGATCCGGGGGATTCTTTTCCGTCGGTCCCGACGACAGATAGACCTCAAAGGCAGTGAGTTGTTCGGCAAAGAAAGACGAATGCTGGTAGTCGTAGTGCTTGCGGCCTTCGTCGTTTTCAATCAGGGCCGGAAGTTGGGACAAGACCATTTCGACAGCCAGATCCCAGCTTTTCCACAGAGGATGATGGTGCGTCTCTGGCAGTTCTGGGGATGAGATTGGATGACATTTGTATGTACGCATAATCCGTTCGCTGAGCAGGAAATTCCGAAAGAGAGCAGCAACCATCAAGTCCTGGCGGAACAGCTTCTTGAACAGGGCTCGCGGAAGTGTGTTCCATGCAATAGTGTCGGTGATTGCAGTAAAGATCCAGTTGAGCTCTCCAAGAGGACTTCTGCGATCCTGTAAGCGGCCTGGGACTCTAAAATCGTCGATAGAGAAATTAGATTGCAAAGGATTTTGAAGGATGAAGAAACGTAAAGCGATGTCGATCGGCGTAGTCAAGCAACATGTGAAGAGATCGGCGGGAAGATCTGGGTTGGTCGGCAGAGACTCGCTCTTTTGGCAGGCCGCGAGAATTATACAATCGCCATAGCTTTGAACAATGACGTTGGGATCTCGCTTCTTGGCTTCGGTGTTCTCCTTCTCATGCTTTTCGACGAACGTGTGGAAATTTTGGACGATGTTTCCTGCATGCGATACGTCGAAAACAAAAAGGCTAGGACCAGCAAGCCAGGATTGCAAATCGTACAACGACACGGGAATGTACTGCGTGTAGTTCTTGTTGAAGACCCAGATCTCGCCCGACTGGGTAGGAAGAGGAACACCATGGCCGTTGTAGTGGAAGAGGACTCTCTCGTCCTTAGCATTTCGTCGCAGCGATATGCAGAACTTCTTGGTCTCATCGACTGAAGGATCCAGATATTGCTTGTACCTTGTCCGCAAACTGAGCGTCTCATACTGCTCCTGCAGCTTCTTCCCTATCTGCTCCATGATTTTCGTCTGGCCGCCACCGGTAGTTGACGTTGGGTCGACCCAACATTCCAGTTTCGCCGTCGGGTTCGTCTTTACCACATCAGGGGGGTCGACACCGATATTCAAGCATATAGCCAACGCAGCAGAAACTGTTTTCAAACGGTCCTTCATACGCCAGTCTTGACTTGGCCAACTACCGACAGGGTCCCTTGGAATACCATCCGTCTCGTGGCGCTTCTCAGTAAAATACATGTAGAAATTCTGTAGAGTCCCAAATTCATCAGTAAAGAATGCGCAGAGGTAAGTAGCCAGCCTGCGGTTTTACTCACCGAATGGAGTATTTTGAGATATTCGCTCGACGTATACTCCTCCTGCCATCCGTGTCTCATAGCAAAGTCCTCCTCGTCATCGCCAAAAGCGGATCTTTCGAAGCCCACCCTAGGTCCATAGTCACTCTTTGCTCTTTTCAAGGTTGACGTTGGCCGAGCGGAATCTGAGGCCCGATCCGAAGTTAATCGAGGACTGGAATCGATGATGGCTGAGTTCTCGCCTGACGAGCTGGTTGGTCTGCCCGGAGGACTAGTTAACGGGGGCGGTTTGTGTTCGACGGTGGTAAATGATCGGTGATGGGACGTCGTGGGAGCGGGGGATCTATCGCGCGGAGGGATATGGGTTTCCAGGTCCGGGCCGAACGCAACGCGAACGGACTTGGTCGGATTCCTTCGTGGTTCAGACTGAGGCTCAGCCTGAGCACTGGATGCCTGTGGTTTCATTGTGGAATTCTGGTCCATGGTAGCTCTGGGATCCTTCATTGTACAGAGACCGTCATATTCATGCAAGAAAGGAAGAGAGTGTCGTCATGAGAGAAGAACGGATGTCTAGACAGGCTAATGGATTAGATAGTAGCTCATTTCAAACTGCAAACGAGGATCTGTAGTCATGATAGACTATAAGAAAGGCTCATGTTGTGGGGCGGATGCACATCCACCTGTATGTTCTCACCTAATCAAGAATCATATCACAGAGTGCGTGCAGTGAGAACAAGCCTGACCAGCATACCCAATCATGAGGCTCTGCCGTCCGTGATCTCGGGGCCTCTCGGGCTTCAAGAAATGTCTGTCTTTGCAGGAAAAGAGATGAAATAAATAGAAAATTAGAGAGCTGCCGACACGAGAAAAGTTCTAACTGTCAGGCGCAACCCCGCAGTCTCAAAACGCGGGAATTGTCGATGTCTTCCGATAGTAAAAGCGTCGTCCAGGAGCTTTGGCCGGTGATGTCTTGGCATGGTACACCGGGACATTGGTAGCTCCGGGTTCCGGGATCTCCACGCCCTTTGCCATTACATCAGTGGCCCTTTGGAAGGTCTGCTGCTAACAGTGCTATATCGACTGGACGACGAGATTTCGAAGTGGCTAGTGGGTGGTCAGAATCAATTCTGCACAGATGCATAGTGCCTAGTGCTTGGACTGAATTTAATTGGTTCATCGGACAATATCAACCATAGATGGGCATCTGTTTACAACAAACGATCCACGTGACTAGCCTGGTTGACGGTGTTGAAGCCATCCGGGACTCCAAAACAGGCAATGTATCAACTTTTTTGATGGTCCCAACGATCGGGATCGGATTTTCTACCAGCACCTGCATAATCGAGGCGAATGTGAATCAATAGGGTTCTGGTTCATGTATAGCACCTATCATGGCGGCATATCTTCTAGTTACTTATTTCATCCGGATGTTGGTCAACTCAAGGAAATAGATATAGTGGTGAAAAAGACCTGTTTGAGAGAGTGATGCCTAGTCCGACCTCAAACCAAGGTGCTATCTCTACGGTGCAGGTCACGTCAGAATTCTGGGCTAAAGAGGGAAGGGTCGTCGTCTCTTACCAGTACTGATGTCATTGGTTGATAGTACATGATTATATACTAGGCGAGCACGCAACTACTGTAGACTAACAGACAGAATTATCCATATGAGAAACATCAAAGCATGGCTCTCTCTAGAGAAGTAGGCTGTACCAAGATATATTTTCTTATACTCGAATTGGGGGGAAATGATAATTCCCGGGTACCTGATAATGATGGCTTCATAGATTATATATTTTGATACACCTTGGAGAGCCAATTAACAAGGGTCTCTTCCAAGAGCGGATGGACACCCCAAATTAGGGACCGAGAAACAAAACTGACACTGGGTTGATGACCCATCCACTTGAGCATGTGCATTCCATCATTTTGCGCTGCAATTCCAAAATTTTGCATATCACATTTGCGGGGTAGCTTATAAATAGAACCACGGCCGTTTCTCTAGTTATCTTGGTGGGAATTGAGATCGTCACGGATCCCAGTCAAGGATAGGTGATAAGAATTGTACGGTGTACATACGATTGCACCATACACCGTAGTGACAGGAGAGTATCTTGTACTAAGTCCAGCATGAACAATTGAATACTGTTATTGCGAGGTTACGAGTAGCTTGCCTGGATTATAGTTTAGACCAAGGTTGAATTCAATGCTACAGAATGCGGTGTGCCTCTATGCTGCATACAATAGACACCTACAACAGAGTACGTACAGTGCAGGTAGAAGTACAGAGCAGAGGATAAGCACGCCGTACTGTTCAGTCTTCACTGTTCCCAGTCCCCACAGTTGGCCAACCTCTAGCTAGGACGAACTAAAATAAGACACCGGTGGCTGGTAGATAGGTATGCGATAGTACCATGGAGCAGCACTAAGATACTAATAAAGGGACGGGATATGAAACCGCATAACACGAAGTGGTGGCTTCGTGGTAGTGAGGCGGGAGAACAAGTACCAAAGAGGTACTCCGTAGATACTACTCCGTACGTAGAAATCAAAAGGCAGGCAGGAAAAACAAAGAGAAGACAGAAGAGAGAAAAAGGGGGATAGATGGTAGATGGAGTGGAGCTGGAAGAATCAAAGCGACGGCATTCCATCGTGATTCGCGAGGCGACGGGCAAGTTCATCCCTGCCGAACCATCAGGTTGACGGGTTGGACCAGATCAACCACTTCCCCTGGAACAGCTGGAAAAAAAAAAGTTACCCCTGGATCCGCGGAAGTCGTCCCTGACTGGAAGAAGAGACCTCGCTAGCTCTGGAACGCTAACCACGCTCAGTTATCCAGTCACCACATCATCATCACCCACTCCAACCGGTCACCCAGCATAATTCCTGCGAATGGTTTCACGGTACACCGATGATCGCTCTTACTGTGGTTGTTCCGTTGGTAGCGACCGTGAGGTACTGTACTCTGTCTCCATCTAGACCTGCAAATGGAAGAAGAAGATGGTTCGTGCATGGACAAACCCATGGAAAGCCCGTGACTGGACTGTAAGGAACGCCGGCTCCATCTTCCTTCCCAGCGGGCGGCAAAGACGGCCTCATGATCATGCACTGTACGGAGAAGGTGAACAAAATTCAAGGTTACCGCTTTGGGATCAAGAGACCTTCGAATCTAGACGTTCAGATAGACTGTTGAGTATTTAAAGATGGCACTCATTATTACCTACTTAATCTACTAGGAAGACCCGGCTAGTGCCATCTGTCAGGGCGAACCGGCGCCAACATTAATGGACAAAACCGTAAGTAGAAAAATTACCTATCGATTTTATCCGTAGATAGGTTCATTTTGGGTAGGGCTAAGGGGCTTTTCTCCTGCCCGATGATGTCGATGGAAGCACGATGGAGAAGATGGGCTATTTTGGGCATGATTTAAATTATCCTAGGGAACAGAGTGGATGTATGTTCGGCAGGCGAATGTATCGAAGCATCTGGACACTGCAGCCTCCGAAGTATGAACTCGGCGAGGGAGAACAGAAAAAAAAAAAGAAGTTCAACTCTCGTGGCTCGTGGGCCTTCTTATTCCTGGTGTTGATATGTTGGCCACAAGGGCATCTCCGTAACTCTATTCGCATGTAAACAGTGAAACACTCCCTTGGAAAGCATTTCAATAGGCGGTGTCGCTTTTCTTTTCCTTCCCCCCTCCCCCTAACGACTTTAGCTCCAGTCAATCAAGCAGCGTCTCTTGAGAAAGTCGGGTCAAATCACATAACAACATCAATAATAATTATCTAATTAATGCTGGCCAGGAACCCTTTGAAACGCCGGAGCCTCGCATTTGCCCTCTCTCCCTCTTTCTTCCCTTTCCTCTCCAGTTTTCATGCACAAGCCCCATACCTCTGCTGCTGCTGCTGCTTCTTCCTCTTCCTCTCTTTATTCTCCGACTGTGTGTCTGTTTTTTTCCCCTTCCCTTTTTTTATTTCATTTTTCCTTCTTGTCTTGGGGGCTGTTTTGCGCATTTGCATTGGTTTTCAGTTTTCAAGTGTTTGCTCTTAATTCTTGTTTATCCCCTTTCAGCAGTCAAGTTAATTTATTAACTCGCCCATGCTCCTTCGACGTTGCAGTCGAGGTTTTGTGAGGTTCCAGTGGAAGTAGAAGAGCCCGCCCCCCCCCCCGTTGGTCGCTCCCTACTCCGGGCCACGGTTTTCGTGCATGGGAGTCCGCCGTTGTTTTCCTCTCCTCCGAACGGCTTCAACCGTCCTCCATTTATTCGGACGCTGATTCTCAGCCTTTCTTAGCGGGTTTCCGCCTCCGCTCGCTCCTTTACACATCGGTTACAGCCTGGCGCCTGTAACCGTTTTTCTTCTTCACTCCTCACCACTCCTTCGTTTGAAGCGATCGTGGCCCTTCGGGTTTTAGCTGGTGAAGGAGGCTTTTATAATTCCCGCACTCGACACGGATTTGCACTGTTTGGTTTGACCTTGTTTTAATCCCTGATACGCTTAATTGAAAGTTTTTGCGCTTTGAACGACCGTTTACGATCCAATTGTCACGATGGCCTTCCTCTTTAAATCGAAAAAGAATCAGCAAAATACAACCCTGCCCCCGGCATCGAGAAATGTCCCAAGTTCTGAGGGAGCGCCGCCAAATGCACCGCCATCCGCTGCACCGGCAGCGGCACCCCCGGCGCCGAAGGAACGGGAGGGAGGGAATCCTCAGACGCCGACTCCCAGTAGTAGCTACAATAACTCCTTGAATTCGGTGAACAGCACAAACAGCCCGGAGACCCAACGGATGCGACAGAGAGCCGAGTCGGAATCGCAGGTTGGTGCCCCTTGCCTATCTCTCTAGTCCCTCAACCTATTGGTCGCAACTGGCCTCGTTTACGAATCCTCACTGATGTTTGCCAATGAAGCGCTCGCTGCAGGGCCCGACTAGCAATTCCCCCAACACTAGCCCCGGCACCTCTCTCTACCCTTGGTCGCAACGTCGCGTGAATTTCTCCGCGCCGCAGGCAAACCCCTTTCCGCGATATGGGGCGGCGATCAATGCGGTCGCCTCGAAGGAGGGCGACGTATACATGATGGGTGGCTTAATAGACGGGTCTACGGTAAAGGGGGATCTGTGGATGATAGAGAGCAGCGGCGGGAATCTGTCCTGTGTCCCAATTGCGACTGTGTCAGAGGGCCCCGGTCCGAGAGTCGGCCACGCGAGTCTGTTGGTCGGAAATGCTTTCATCGTGTTTGGCGGAGATACGAAAGTTGATGAGAATGACATGTTGGACGACACCCTCTACCTGCTGAATACTTGTGAGTATCCCAGATGCCTGCTCCACCTCTGGTTGAGATTCCTAACCATCTTCTATATCAGCCTCCCGCCAGTGGTCCCGCTCAATACCCCCCGGCCCCCGACCTGCAGGACGATACGGCCATACCCTGAATATCCTCGGCTCTAGACTCTACGTCTTCGGTGGTCAGGTGGAGGGTTACTTTTTCAATGATTTGATTGCCTTCGATCTGAATCAACTTTCAAACCCAAATAACAAGTGGGAGTTCCTGATTCGGAACAGCCATCAGGGCGGGCCACCTCCCGGTCAGATACCTCCCGCTAGAACCAACCATACCATCGTCAGCTTCAACGACCGACTGTATCTGTAAGTGCACGGATTACATCCTCGGTGATTCCATTTTGCTCATAAACATAGGTTTGGAGGAACGAATGGCTTGCAGTGGTTTAACGACGTCTGGACCTATGACCCGCGTGCCAACCAATGGTCTCAATTAGACTGCGTTGGATTCATTCCTACTCCCCGGGAAGGCCACGCGGCGGCTTTAGTGAACGATGTCATGTATATATTCGGTGGGCGTACGGACGAGGGCGTTGACCTTGGGGATCTGGCGGCGTTTCGCATCACCACCCGGAGATGGTACTCCTTCCAGAACATGGGACCCGCGCCATCTCCGAGGTCCGGCCATAGTATGACGGCTTTCGGAAAGCAAGTTATCGTTATGGCTGGAGAGCCGAGTTCGGCACCCAGAGACCCCGTGGAGCTCAGCATGGCCTACATCCTCGACACCGCGAAAATCCGGTATCCCACCGACTCTCAAAACGGAGGAGAGAGAGGTCCGCCCCCCGGAGCGAGGAAAGGAAGTGCCGATAGACCTGGTCCCCTAACCGGTCGCACCTCGCGCGAAGCTCAAAATCAACCTGCAGACGTGCAGCAACGACGGCCGGGACCGTCACGCGAGAGTATGATAAGCCCAACCGGTCGACCAGCAGAGTTCGGGCCCAGCCCCGGACCGGGTTCAAGGCTGCCCCGGGCATCCATCGCACAGGCTCCGTCCGGGCCTCCTCCTCCGGGTCAGGCACCTACGCCCGGCCCTCGAGGTAACGCCCCTCAGCCTGCCATGAACCCCCGCAGCAAAACGCCGACAAAGCTCGATCGTGCATACGGAGGTCCGCCCGTGGACACTGTTCGGGCAGTGACCGCCGAACGCGACAGGGAGTCGCCCAGAGAGTCCCCCAAGGACCCCCGATCGGTCTCCGAAGCTGGTTCCTACCCCACGGGTCAGCGCACGCCTACTCAGCAGTCTCAGCCCCAAACTCAACCTCAATCGAGGATGTCTGCCAAGGCTATGGAGGCTGGCGAGGCTGCACCTCTCATGAGTGCGCCGACTAGACAACGTTCTCTGCGTCAGCAACGACAGCGAAGCTCTATGGATAGCGCCGACGAGTCCGTCCTAGGCCGACACCCTAGCATCGATGGGTCGGTGGAATCCCGGGGTCAACGAAACTCCAGGACCCTTGGAGACGAGCCGCGATCGCCCCGGTTAACTGCTCACCAAGAGGCGCTAATTAAGGAGCTTGAACTGGTGAAAAACCGCAACGCGTGGTATGCATCGGAGCTGGCGTTGGCCAAGAAGGCCGGTTACTCACCTAATCTGGCCAATGGTACCAACTTGGATGAGCAGGCGGTGGATACGTTTGCTGACGAGGATCGGCCGTTGATCGAGGCATTCCTCGCCATGAGGGCAGAGTTGGCAAAGATGCAAGCAACCGTGGACCGACAAGCCGCGATCGCTTCCAAACGCGTTGCCGAAGTTGAACACCAAAGAGATGTTGCTGTCAACGAGGCTGCTTATTCGCGGGCTAAGCTCGCTGCTCATGGTGGCAGCCAGCGCGGTACACCCCAGCCAGACAGACGCTCCCAAGACCACGAGGATACGATCACCGACCGAAGCACCGAGATCAGCAGAAGACTTGCCCTAGCTCTCGCCTCTCATAGCGAGGCCAAATCCAAGCTCGAGGTCCTCACGAACGAACTCGACCAGGAGAAACGTGGCAGGGAATTGGCGGAAGAAACGTGTGAGGCCACACGCCGAAGACTTGCCGAACTTGAAATGCAAAATAACGCTATAGAAATGGAAAGTCTGCGCGCCCAACTCCACCAAGCGGAGGCTGCCGTCAGGGAAGAGTCATTGCTACGAGCTGATGCCGACTCCGCTTTGAAGCAACTGACTCTGGACAAGGAGGAGTTGCTGAAGAAGCTCGAGGAATCTTCTATTCGCCTGGGTGACTTGGGAAATAATCTCGGTACTCTTCGAGAGGCCGTGAATGCTTCGACCGACAAATCGACTCTCCTTGAAAGACAATTAGAAGAAGAACGGGAGCGTCGGGGGGGACTGGAGAAGAAGTTGCTGCAGCTGAGATCGGAACATGAAGAACGGACGTCCGAGTTGGAGAATGTCAACCGTCGTCTGCGAGACGCCGAAGAGCTGGCTGAGACCAGCGCGAGAGAGGCTGAGACGCATAAGAACGCCTTCTTGTCCGGCCTCGACCGCGCCTCGTCCTTTGATTCGGAAGCATCCATGCGCTCGCTTGCGGACCAGCGCGTGTCTGCTCTCGAGGCCCAGGTGGAGAGGGCTAACAATTTGGCGAAGGCGAGCCACACAGCCGCAGATGATGCGGCAGATAAGCTTCGACGTGCGGAAGAGAGAATCGCCGGCTTAGAGGCATACCAGGAACAGGCCAGCAGAGAGGGCTTGCAGCTCCGTAGACAACTCCAGACTGCGATGAAGGAAAGTCAGTCGCATGCCGCCGAGAATAGGGACCTCAAGGCTCAGCTGGAGAACCACCAGCGAGAGTCAGGCGCATTGGCTATCCAACATGCTGCTCTCAAGGACCTCCTGGGTGAGCGCGGCGTTGGTTATCCGGATAACAGACGCTCCCCTCGACTCGACTCCCCTGGGTCTCGGTTTGGAACGCCCGAACAAGGCCGGTTACGTGAACTGGAGCAACAGCTCTCGACCAGCATGAAGGCGCACGAGGAACTGAAGTCGTCGTTCGAATCTCGTGAGCAGGAAGCCGATCGTGCCTACAGAGAGAAGCTGGAGCAGCTCGAGAACGACTACCAATCGGCTGTTCACTACGTGAAGGGTACCGAGAAGATGTTGAAGCGCATGAAGGATGAACTCAGTCGGTACAAGGCCCAGAACGCCAAACTGCAGTCGGAATTAGAAACCGCACAGAAGGAACTTTCAAACGGAGGTTCCGAAGCCCCAGCCGACTGGGAAGCCGAGCGCTCGCATCTCCAGCAGACCATCGAAGATATGCACGAGGAGACAACATCCTCCATTACGATCCTCGAGGATCAGATCACCCGCCTGAGGGCAGAACTTTCGGCCGCCGAAGCTGATAGGGATGAATCTCGCAGCGAGTTCGAGAGTATGCGGCAAGAGCTCGTCGCCGCTGCGGAGAAGAGCCGTGCGGAATTGGAGCAGCTGAAGCAGGAGAACTCCCTGCTTGAAACCCGCGCATCCGATGCCGAACACAAGGTCACCATGCTTCTGGACCAGGTTGAGGCGTCCGTCGGGCATTACCGCCGACAGTCGCAGCCCGGTCAAGGCATCAACGGCATCTCCCGCACTCACAGCAATGCCTCGAGCAACACCATCAGCGGTGCTGGAAACCGGTCGAGAGCCAATAGCGCCGTGTCGCAGGAAGAGCCTTTCCCAGACAACCGTGGATCCATGGCCCTGGACTCCCTAGCCAACGAGCTAGAAACCCTGCGGAGCCACTGGGAGAGCACCAACCGGAACTATCGGCTTAGCACTCAGTCTGACTTCGATCGGACGCCCACCAAAGAGACCGGGCTCAGCGATAGCTTGGCCGAATGGAGGCGACGATTGGATGAAGAGGAAGCGAGAGCGAGTTCCCCAGAAAAGAGCAAGCCTCGGAATGCTGGCGAGGCACACGCGACGGCAAACATGATATGAACAGCTCGAACGGTATGACTTGTCCAGATTTTATTGGAAGAACGTGCCACGAAAGCCTGAATATACCAAGCAATAGGTTTCGGTACCCGTTGACGGTGATCGGAATCTACTGTTGGACGACCCCGGCGTTCTTCTGTCTCCACTGTCTTTTCCATTTCTTTTTCTTGACTCCATGAACGGGGTTGGTTGGATCTGCTGTCCGCACTTGTCAACCACATCTCCCGACCGCCTCGATTGCATTAGCAAGAGAGAGCCTTGTTGTCATTATATGCGCTGTTTTTAGTCCTTGTTTTTCTTTTCTTTTCTTCCCCTCTTTTATTCTCTTCACCTTCTTGTCTTCTTTTATACCCCTTCACATTTTATCGTCTTACTTTGTTTGACTTTCCTTCATCCGAACTGTACTACTACTCTACAATTTCATTTCATGAAGCCTCTGTCTAGATCTAGTCAATTGTTATATCCATGAACCCATTGGGAGTCTATGTTTTTTTTAACAGCTTTCGAAGTCCAGTCCGGGTCACCGTTGGAGATGATAGCTAATTTGTCGATGTTTTCATTGGATTTCACTCCCTCGTAAACAAGGGCCCGAATGCATATGGAGAGGTAAGGGGTTTGACTCTCGGGCCATCGGTCGTTGATGCAGGAGCGTACGATCCTTGCAAAATCGAGTGAATTGTTTGTTATGTCCTGCCCTTGCCTGCTCAACGGGTTCTCTGTCGTGTCGCTACTGGAGACCACTAACCACAGTAGTCAGGTGGATGCGAGAGCCACATGTATGGTCACTTGTAAACGTGAACGATGACAATTCGAACAATGAACGGGAAAAGGCAGAAGGCAGATAATCAATCGTATGTAAGAATATCACGAGAAAGATACCGGGGTTCCCTATGATCGACCGCGGCGGTGAAGCCGTATCAAGCAATTCGAACCGTGAATAGAGTGAGCGGGGGGCAAAATTGAGGCATTTATATTGACCAGGATCAGCTTTTCGAGTCGGAATGGGGCTAGATGTACTGTACCTATGTATGTATGTATGTATCGTATGACTGAATGATTTGGAGGTTGTTTATCTTAGTTTCATGTCGTAGGTCGATTGAATCGATTCCCTGCCGCGGTGACTGCTATGCCGTACAGACTATATCCAGAAGAAGTGTTCTGCAGTGAGATGAACGGGGCAAATTGTCAGGCGCCGGCGGTTTGATAAGAAACGCGATTTCTGCCCAAAAAGGGTTGCGATTCGGCCTGTATTTTACGGCGGCGATACCGTCGTGACGGGTCATCTGAGGCCAGGAGTTGACCTCAGGCAGCGATAACATAAGAGAAGAGGAGGAATGTTCCATGGGGCATCTGGAAGGCAATGCCGGTGCATGTGGTCTATGGCATCATCCACCGTGATTTCATGATCCCCCAAATCCACGTACTGCCGTCCATGTGGACTCCCACTGCCTTTGAACATGACCTTTGACCTTCGGGTGGCTTGTCGCCCAACGTTACATCCTCCGATCTGTACATACATACTTGCCTACCTAGATGCATACCCAACTTGGTGAATTGTGTCTCCTGGTCCCCTAAAGTAAGGTTCTGGATGCAGATCCCGAGGTATCATTCAACTCCTTCGGGATGTCAATCGGAGAACCAAGAATACAAGATACCTGTCAACAATCTATGGACGGAAATCCATAACATCGCCCCAGTCTCATGGTCTTTACTTACTTGGGTTTAGTCTGGCAGTCGGGATGTTAAGACGTTCAGAATCGACTTGTACTAATAATAGTTAACCCATCCATACATTGGTTTCCATTATGGCTGCCCCCATATTCATTATTCATGCCATCCCACACGGTCCAAGACATTAATTGAGAGAGTGATACTAAATGGACCCGGGACTGGACCAGGTGGTCACGGCCTTCGTGAATTCCAGATAAGATAGTTATTATAATGTGGGAAATCCCCCATTTCATTCAACCTCAAAGGATTTATCAGGCACGCCCTTTCACTGACCAGGAATTTCTCCTTTCTGGCTTCTCACCGACTTCTAGCCTTTCAGGTAACTTCCTAATTGGTTCTTTCCCCTTTGATTGCAATTGCCGCCAGGAAAAAGAAATCGGGAAAAGAGGGAACATTCCTTGGAGATCATCAAATCGTCTTCATAAAAATCAAGTAAATCCTACCGATCCTTTCGAACGAAAATTCATTGGAAAGTAAACAAATTCAAGAGTGAAATAATAAGAATAATTAATACCAGGTAAGATCAACCAATACTTCGACCTGCTTGACCGCCAACCGCAGCGAACCCGATCACTGGCCTTTCCCGTTTCTTTACCCGCCGCCTCCCCCCCTCTCGCCCTCTCTCTTCCTTTCTCTCTTTTCGATCCTTCTCTTTCTTCTCTTCCTCCCTCTTTCTCTTCTCCCTCATATCTCACCTTCTAGATAATCAAGGCTCTGCCCTTGATTTTCCTTGATTGTATCTCTCCCTCATCCTCTCTGTCCGTACGTCCCCCTTGTCTTGCCTCCCGACCGCTGTGTTGTCTCCTCTGACAGTCGTATGTCTCTAGGTCGGTCGCTTCCCTTCGTTTTCTCTCCGCCTTTTTTGCCTTGCCGGTCGGGCCCTTACGGTCGGTCGGAGTCCCCAACAGTCGACATCACCGCTATTTCACCATATTCACCCCTCCTCGACAAGGTTAGTTTCGCTATTGCCTTCAAATACTGCATCTTCCCCCCTTTTATGCCGTTTCTGGACCCCGTAAAGTCTTTTTCGTGACTGCCTGGCTGGATCTGCGTGTTACTCTGGTTACTCGGCTGAGGCTCCCTGCTGCAACCTACCCACCCAGCCTCACCAGGCTCTTCACTTTGCCAAGTAAGCCCGACTACGCGCCGAAGGCTGAGACTGCATTGTGATCTGTGTGGCTGTTGCCTCTTCGCCCAACCTCACCCAGGATCCTCGTGATCTTCTGCTTCAACGCTATAAAGACTCGCGTTTCATTCTGGATTCAAATCCTTTTTTTTCATTGCTTGATTCAGTCACTGATAAGCCTGATTACAACAGCTTGAATTATAATCGGCTCACGGCACGATAGCTGTGACCCTTCGATCAAGATGACAACTATGGTACGTTCTTGTTCCAGGACTATCAAACGAAATGAGGTGACTGACAAACATCGTCCAGGATTTGCGTGTTGGTAACAAGTACCGGATTGGCCGCAAGATTGGAAGTGGTAGTTTCGGTGACATTTACCTTGGTATGTAATGAATATGGGTGGCAAGATCCCGGAGGCAGGCAATATCTAATTATGTCTAGGCACCAACATCATCTCTGGCGAGGAAATCGCTATCAAACTCGAGAGTGTCAAGGCCAAGCACCCCCAGCTCGAGTATGAGGCCCGTGTCTACAAGTCTCTCGCCGGCGGTGTTGGTATCCCATTCGTTCGCTGGTTCGGTACCGAATGTGATTACAACGCCATGGTGATTGACCTTCTGGGTCCCAGTTTGGAAGATCTGTTCAACTTCTGCAACCGCAAATTCTCGCTGAAAACCGTCCTCCTTCTGGCCGACCAGCTCATCTCTCGCATCGAGTACATCCATGCCAAATCCTTCATTCACCGTGATATCAAGCCTGACAACTTCCTTATGGGTATTGGTAAGCGTGGAAATCAAGTCAACGTGATTGATTTCGGTCTGGCCAAGAAGTACCGGGACCCCAAGACTCACTTCCACATTCCTTACCGCGAGAACAAGAACCTTACTGGTACTGCCCGTTATGCCAGTATCAACACTCACTTGGGTGTGGAGCAGTCCCGCCGTGACGATATGGAGTCTTTGGGCTATGTCATGCTCTATTTCTGCCGCGGCACTCTTCCCTGGCAGGGATTGAAGGCGGCCACTAAGAAGCAGAAGTACGACCGCATCATGGAGAAGAAGATGACCACGCCGACCGAGGTTCTCTGCCGTGGGTTCCCCAACGAATTCTCCATCTACCTGAACTACACCCGTTCCCTACGCTTCGACGACAAGCCCGACTACTCGTACCTACGCAAAATCTTCCGGGACCTGTTTGTCCGCGAATCCTTCCAGTACGACTACGTGTTCGACTGGACCGTTTACAAGTACCAGAAGAACGCCGCCATGATTGTGGATGCCAGCAGCAAGAAGGACAAGGAGGCCGAGGAACAACAGCGCCGTCAGGGCGTTGCCGGTGCCCCCATGGGCACTCCCGGCGCTGCCGCCAAGCCCGGTGGTATCTCGAGCCAGCGTCGCAAGGTCCTCGACCGCAACCTTGACAACACTCCGGACACCAACCGTGCCGTGGGAGGGAGTGATAGGATGTGAGTATCTGAAACCTAGGTTCCGTGTAGGGAACCCCTTTCCTCTGCGTTTGGTACTTTACCGTGATTCCCCCGCACGTAGAGGTCAAATTTAGGTATAGAATCTGACTAATCTCATAGTCTTCGGCGTTAGGCTGCGTTCTGCTTCCAAGGTTGCTTCAGGTGCTTATGGCCCTGCCGGTAGCCGCGCGAAGCGGGACGATGGGTACGGTGCTCAGTGGTACTAATCATGCAGCATGGCAGTGGAGCTTGGCTTTCGTCTTTTCATTGATTTTCAGTTGAGCTTCCTGCGTGTTGGCATCACTTCTTCTGAGGAACCCCAGGAACATCGTGATACTGGTGATCCTTCTGCTACCTGCAGCCCAACCTTTCGGACTTTTATCTCGCCTTGGGTCTCCACTCTTTCTTTTATTTCCTTTATTTTCGTTTCTCGCATTCTCTGTTAGCCCGTTACCCCCGTTTTCGATCGTTTTCCGGTCTCAGCCGTTTCGATCTGCTGCGTTTTGTCCACGTTTATCCTGCATGCCTCTCGATTAATCCGGCCTCTTTCCATTGAGGGAAGTTTCTTGATTATTCGGTCCTTCCTCTAGGAAGGGTGCTCGGGTAGCAACCTCAAAACGCACCAACTGGCTATCTTATGTCTCGACCTCCCGTGTTCTAATGGTTCTTCGGATTATCATTCGGAGTAATGCCTATATATTTGCCTATCTCGACCGGGCAGGCCAGACGGAAGGAGATGCAGAATGAAACCATCGGTCGAGTTGTTATCTTACTGTTGACTACGGTCCCAGAAGATCCTCGAATGTCGCATCGGCAAATCTTTTACAAAAAACCTTCCCTTTCCTCTCCTTTTGTTTTGTTTTGACTGATGTTTCTCCCCCGCTGCTTTTACATGGATGTTTTGATTTTCTTTCTCATTCCTTTTGTTTTTGTCATCGTTCTCAGATTGGCATTCTTTTTTATGGACGCATCATAGGGGAAGACGAGTATGACGGGATGATTTGTGAAGGGGTTGGAGACGATAATATCTTCAAACTGTCAAGGCTCTGGCTGTTGTCTTGTGATGAGCGGACGATACGGGACTATGTGACAGCACGCGGTGGACTGGGCAAAGAGAAGACACGTCTCGAGGGGGTATTTGGCGACGGACTATGGCTAGGGTCGCTTCCGGGGTGGTATTGCGTCAATTAAAGTTATGTCTTGTTGTTTTATTCTCATTTTCTGCACTGCCTGCTCGTTTACATCGATATTCTCAGCTCTACATATGAAGACAAGCGAATTGAGGACATATTGAACCGGGACCGCCTAACAAGCCGCCACTGATGGCTACGCATCGTCAGTGGCTCTCCACGTACACCATAAGTGTGTAGCCCTCTGTAGGTCTGTCTGTAGTCTGTACCCCATACCTGACATGATGCCTATCGAAGGATAAAAAATAAAATCCGACTTGCATCCAAGTGGAGTCTCAGCACGGACGTCTAGACTCTTCGACAAATTGGCGGATCTGCCCGCAAAAGCGGCGTCGGCTCTGACTAACAGCCGTCGCGAAGGACCAACCAACGGCCCCTCCGCCCGTCGCTGGAGTCCCGTTTGTAGTCAGTAGATCCGACCTTAAATTAAATCCCGCCATCTTTTAGCATCCCGCTTGTCAGACTTTCTTTCCCTTCTCTCCGCCGTTCCGCTACCTTAACGTTTTCCGCCTGCTTTCCCCCCTATCACACAGTCAACAGGATCAGATGGATTACTCGTACTACTCCGGTCCTCAGCCCCAGCCTTTCCCCCTCTACGGCCTCCCCGCCGGGCTGCCCACGCCCGAGCACCATCAATCCGCGCCCCGTCCGGACAATCTTCAGGACACCTTCACCTCTCTCGTATGTTCTCCTGCAGCATCTGTCGGAGCATCGCTCACTAACGCGATCATGGAACAGCAAAATTATCAATCCTTCGACCCGTCTTTTCGCTTCCAAAACCCCGCCGGCCAGTCTTTTGTCCCTCCGCCACATTCCCCGCCCGAGTCTTTTTCCAAACATTCAGTTTCCAGCAATGAGCCTTTCAATCACACAGAGCCAACCTCGGTGGATGGTGGAGATGATCGCATGGGAGACCCGCATTTAGGGAGGAGCAGCAGTGAAGAAAAAGAGGGCACAACCCCGGCGCAAACGAAGCGGAAGGCGCAAAATCGCGCTGCGTACGTTCTCTCCCTCCTACCCCTCCTTTGACCTTCTATCATTCGTGAGGTGGAAAGGGTTGTTCTAGATATTGAATGGGGTGGTATTCTGACTCTCCGACTCCATATAGCCAGCGTGCATTTCGGGAGCGAAAGGAACGACACGTGCGAGATCTGGAGGACAAACTCAACAGTTTGGAAGAAGAGTCCAACTCTCTACTAGCCGACAACGAGCGCCTGAGACGAGAACTGGCGAAATTCACGACCGAGAATGAGATTCTTCGCGCAACGTCCGGCTCGCTCGGCCGATCAAACAATCAACCGGACTCCGGACCCATCACGACGGGACCCCTGAGGTACTCGCCTACGGATTTCTACTCCAATATCGTCCCCAACGGCGAACCGGTCCGTCGCCACCGCGTCTTGGTCTGCAGCGAAACGGGCGAGAAGCTGCTTGATGTCAGCACGACCTGGGAATATATTCAGAATCATGAGCTGTTCAAGCATGGCCTCGTTGATATCGCGCTGGTCGCCGAGAAACTCAAGGGTCTGGCCCAATGCGACGGGCAGGGACCGGCTTTCCGTGAGAGCCAAGTGCGCACGGCGATTGAGGAGAGTGCCGCGGACGACAATGATGGGCTGCTATGAGATGTTTATCCGAATTTGCGTAGTTCTACGACGTGACGTCTACCCCTTTGTTATTGCTTGTCTTTTTCTTTGATTCTTTCTTCCTGTCCTTTTCCTTCTATACGCGAATGTTTCTGGTTGCGAGGCGCTTCACCGATGGATACATTATCAGGATTGATGGATATACTTTGGCATTGATATTTGGAGCTCGACACCTTTGGGTCCTTGAGCAATTGGGTATACGATAACGGGTCTTTTCGACTGGCCCTGGAGTCAATGGAGATATAGGAGCATGCATTGGACATGGCCTTTTATGTGTGCTGTTTCATTTGGAGATATCGGTTTTGTTGTGATCGTCGTATGTCGAACGTTTCATGTATGATTGTAGCGTTCCGCGTAGCTGTCTTCGATGCTTTGAATGTAGGATTGGCTTCTCTCGAACAACAGTCTTCTCTTGCGAAAAGAACATATTGACATCTCTGTAGCATGCACATCATTGGTGGACTTTTTTCTCTCGGGACCTCCTAGCAAAACACGCGAAATATGAATGCTCTAGCAGCGCAGGATAATTCCCATGTCTAGCATAGCACCCAGAATGTCGTCCAGATAGCGCAGATGGGGTATAGTAATGAATGTGATTCTTCAACAAGTCACCGATCTCCAGGATCAGGCAGTCGTGATATTTCATGGTTTGTATTATTTTAGAATAGACACTCCTTCAGTCCCAGTCGTCATCGTCATCCTCTACCTGGGGTTTATTCTTAGCCGGTCGTTCATCATCCGACTCATCCGACCGCTTTTTCAATCGAATATCACTTTCTTTAATGGCACCGAGGTCCAGAAGCATCCTCTCGAGATCTACAGAAGACATGGTGAGCACAATCCGCACGTAATCTTATCGATACGACAACGTGAGCAAGGACAGAAAGGAACCTACCTTCGAGTTTAGTCCTAGGACCATTGAACTCCCTCAACGTGATGATCTGCCTCTGAATCTCCCCGTCCTTGTACACCAAGATCGTCGGCGTGTTCTTATCCGGGTATCCCTCGATACACATGTTCCCACGGATCTGACAGAACTTGACATCTCCGTACTTGACGGCCAATTGACGCCACAGCTCCGTTAACACCCGCGACTCGACATTTCCATCCGACGACGAGGTCAAATGTACCAGCACGAAATATTTGGCCGACGCATCGGTCACTTCGCGCGCGTAGTCGACCTTCTGGATGGGGTATACTTGGTTGTGGACGCTGGTTTGTTGGAGAGTCGAGAGCTCTGCTAGACGCTTTTTGCTAGGTGGGGGTGAGCAATTGCGCCTGGCATGGAGTGGAGTGTGTGTGGTTGATAAGGGGGTGTTCATACCGATATTGTTCGAGGAATGCCTCGTCTTCCTCGTCCTCGAGCTCGTCGAGTTCGTCTAGGTCTTTATCTTCGAGGCGGTTTTCGTATGCTTTCTTCTCGGCTTCGACGAGCGCTTCCTGGATCAGGGGTTCTGGGTCCTGGGGCTTTTCTGGGATCACACCGTGCTTGCGCAGAATGTCGTTCCTGTGATGGTGGGGGGGTGATGTGAGTATATTGGATGTATAAAGACCGGGGGGCTGGGATGAGGGGAGACAGACCATTCGGTGTCCTCGTTGGGATTGACTTCGACCTGCATGATGAAAGGGTTGTTTCAATTGCAATTGCAGAGTACAACGACCGGACAATCAATGAATAGTCAACCACAATAATCACGGCCATTACGTACAGCCGCGCGAGATGCCCGCGTGTTTGCAGCATTTGCCTGCGTCTCCAGCCACAGGCTCACGTGCGGCCCCCGTGGCGGTGCCGCCCACCGCCCAAGACGGCATAGACTAACCTGAGGCCACCTGGAGATTCCATGAGGGATGGAGCTGCTCCTCCGACGCCCTGGCAAAACATCCATTCATTCTGCGTCTTCGGGGCTACCTGTGTCATTTCCCTCCCCTCCCTCTTCACCCGCTCCCGCCGTCTCCGGTCATCCTCTCCTCTATCTCCCTGAGGATAATGAGGGCGCGGTAATTCGTTTGCTTGCCTACACACAAACACACCGCCTGCACAATCGACTTGCCTACTTCGACTAAACCATAATACTTGACCCGCCCTTATTCGCCCATTGACTCCGACGTCACCTGTTCGGGGTCTCGCTTTTTCCTCGTTTAGACGCTGACATAGAGAGAGTCTCTCCCTGCTGCAATTCCCGCAGCCCGTCATCATGAGTTATATGAAGAAAGATGAGGACGCCGACCAGACTATGATCAAGCTGGATCGCACCTCCGTGTTCCAAGATGGTAAGGAGCCCGGCCCAAAGAATTGTTCCCTCCCCTCCCTCCCTGAACCTCGGAATGGCCGCTGACTTGTCCGTGTCTTTCTTTCCACCTGTATAGCACGGTTGTTCAATACCTCGCCGATCTCCCCTCGACAATGCCGTACCCTCCTGACCAAGATTGCGGTGCTCCTGTTCACCGGGGAGCAATTCCCGACGAACGAGGCCACCACCCTTTTCTTCGGTATCTCGAAATTGTTCCAGAACAAGGATCCCTCGTTGCGACAGATGGTCTACCTTATCCTGAAGGAGCTGGCAAACACCGCAGAGGATGTGATCATGTCGACTAGTATTATCATGAAGGACACCGCGGTCGGTAGTGATGTTGTCTACCGTGCGAATGCCATCCGTGCCCTGTGCCGCATCATCGATGTAAGCGCCTCCGCTGGCCTATTGTATACCGTGTTGAGGAGAAGGGCTAACCATGGGGACTGTTGATTAAATAGGGTACTACGGTACAAGGAATTGAGCGTTTGATCAAGACCGCTATTGTCGACAAGACCCCGTCTGTTTCCTCCGCCGCCCTGGTCTCCTCCTACCACCTCCTTCCGATCGCCCGCGATGTTGTCCGCAGATGGCAAAGTGAGACGCAGGAAGCCGCTTCGTCTTCGAAGCAGTCGACCGGCTTCCTTGGTTTCGGCGGCAGCTCCCAGGCCCATGCCATCTCTCAGTCCAACTTCATGACCCAGTACCATGCTATTGGTCTCCTGTACCAGATGCGCTCGCACGACCGGATGGCTTTGGTTAAGATGGTCCAGCAGTATGGCGCTGCCGGTGTGGTGAAGAGCCCCGCTGCGCTGGTCCTGCTGGTGCGGTTAGCGGCCAAGCTGGCTGAGGAAGACCCGGGCCTGAGGAAGCCTATGATGCAGATGCTTGATGGCTGGCTCCGACACAAGCACGAGATGGTCAACTTCGAAGCGGCCAAGGCTATCTGCGACATGCGCGATGTTAGCGACGCCGAGGCCTCCCAGGCGGTCCATGTCCTGCAGCTGTTCCTGTCCTCTCCCCGGTCGATCACCAAGTTCGCCGCGATCCGTATCCTCCACAACTTTGCCAGCTTCAAGCCGCACGTGGTGAATGTGTGCAACCCCGACATCGAGTCGCTGATCTCGAATTCCAACCGCTCCATTGCCACCTTTGCGATCACCACCCTGCTCAAGACGGGCAACGAGGCCAGCGTCGACCGCCTGATGAAGCAGATCTCTGGCTTCATGGCCGACATCACGGATGAGTTCAAGATAACCATTGTTGAGGCTATCCGGACGCTCTGCTTGAAGTTCCCCAGCAAGCAGGCTGGCATGCTGGCTTTCCTGAGTGGAATCCTGCGGGATGAGGGTGGCTACGAGTTCAAGCGTAGCGTTGTTGAGAGCATGTTCGACCTGATCAAGTTTGTTCCCGACAGCAAAGAGGATGGTAAGCCCCCCCACCCCATTATCTCATCCTGCAGACCACCTGGACATAATCTGACCGAAAATTAGCGCTTGCTCACCTCTGCGAGTTCATCGAGGACTGCGAATTCACGAAGTTGTCCGTCCGTGTCCTGCATCTTCTCGGTGTGGAAGGCCCCAAGACTTCGCACCCTACCAAGTATATCCGCTATATCTATAACCGGGTGGTTTTGGAAAACGCCATTGTTAGGGCTGCCGCTGTCACGGCTTTGGCTAAGTTTGGTGTGGGACAGAAGGACCCCGAAGTCAAATCGAGTGTCTCTGTTCTTCTCACTCGCTGCCTGGATGACACCGATGACGAGGTCCGTGACCGTGCTGCTCTCAACCTTCGGTTGATGTCTGAGGAGGACGAGGCCGCGTCGGCGTTCATCAAGAACGGTAGGATTCCCATAATTCCCATGCGTAATAATCGGCGTTGTTTACTAATTTGGTTAGATTCCATGTACTCGCTTTCTACCTTTGAACATCAGCTCGTCATGTACGTGACGTCAAACGACAAGTCAACATTCGCCGCCGCATTCGACGTGGCTACGGTCCCCGTCGTTACGCAGGAACAGGCCTTGGCCGAAGAGCGGACCAAGAAGCTCACGACCGCAACGCCCACGCTCAAGGCTCCGTCGACCGGACCTCCCAAGGGCAAGGCCAACGGTGTGGCCGAGGCCGCTACTGCCGCTGCCACTCAGAAGTACGCCGAGCAGCTCATGCAGATCCCCGAGCTCAAGGAATACGGAACGCTGCTCAAGTCCTCTGTCCCCGTCGAACTTACCGAGAGCGAGACGGAATACGTCGTCACGGCAGTCAAGCATGTCTTCAAAGAGCACATTGTCATCCAATACGATATCAAGAACACCCTTCCCGATACTGTGCTGGAAGACGTAACTATCGTTGCGGCGCCGTCCGAGGAGGATGTCCTGGAAGAGGAATTCATCGTCCCTGCACCCAAGCTTCCCACCAACGAACCCGGCATCGTGTATGTTACGTTCAAGAAGCTTGCCGGCGAGAACAGCGTTGCTGTCGCCTCGTTTACGAACGTCTTGAAATTCACCAGCAAGGAAATCGACCCCACGACCGGCGAGCCCGAGGAGGGTGGATACGAGGACGAATACCAGGTGGAAGACTTGGAACTTACGGGCAGCGACTATGTCATTCCTACATTCGCCGGCAGCTTTGACCATGTTTGGGAACAGACCGGTGCCAACGGTGAGGAAGAGAGCGAAACCTTGCAACTCAGCAACATGAAGGGTATTTCAGGTATGTTAATTCAAACCCCTAAGATATGCATTGCGAAGTAGTTCGATACTGACCAACCCCAGATGCTACGGAACAACTCATCTCCACGCTCTCCCTGCAGCCCCTTGAAGGCACGGATGTGGCACTGAGCAACAGCACCCACACTCTCAAGCTGTTCGGCAAGACCGTGTCGGGCGGCCGAGTGGCAGCTCTGATCAAGATGGCATTCTCCAGCAAGGCCGGCGTGACAACGAAGATCACCGTCCGGGCCGAGGAAGAAGGCGTCGCGCCTGCCGTGATCGCATCCCTGACTTGATCGAACGCCGCTCCATTTTGGCTGTGTTTGCAAGTTGTAAATTGTAATGAGAAAGGGAAGGCCGTGTTTCTTGGAGGCGCATTTCATACATGATGAGTCCTGCATTATGAGAGATTCGGACTTGTTGTTTCCTTTTTGCTTTTTCCCCGTCTAAACCCATCTTCTTCCTGTTTCCCACTTTTTCCTTCCCCCTTTTTCTTTTCCCGTTTATAATGCAGGTGTCGAGCTAGATGCGATGAATATCTTTTGTAGGCGTCCAAACTCATTATTTATTCATTTCTTATTCTTTTTTTTTCTTCCTTCCATTTAACAAACTTGGTCTTGGTTGATCATGCTGTTCTCTTCTCTTTTTCTCTTATTCTTGTCTTTTATGATTGCATCTGTTCTATCTCTCTCCGTTTTGTTCTTCTGTATTACCCATCGCCCTTTTTCCTGGCTTGCTCGTCGCTGCTGTCCCGGGAGGCTGGTAGGATATATGGGTCTTTGCCCGTGGGCTTAGGGGGCCGGGTTCATGTAGTTGTCAAAAGCGATGATGTTAGTTATATTTTCTTCTTTGGTCTGCTTGGGTAGGAGTATGCTCTGGTTGAAGGGCATTGTAGTATCTTCTGGTGGGGAAGTGATTGGCACTCTCTTGCTTGTTCTAAGGAATGGAGGTGGGTTGTTCTCTTGTATGAAATTATAGTAAGGTTAAATTTGGGTTAATAGAGGTATACTAGCGGTAGAGTAGAATAAGTGATGAATATCATGTAGGAGATAAAAAAAATGAGAAGCAAGCAATTCGATATTCTTCAATGACATGGCTTCATTAATCATAACCGCGTTCTTCGAGTAAGTATTAAAAAAAAAAAAAAAAAAAAAAAAAAAAAAAAAAACATCTATATCAAGATCATTGTCGAGACAACATCATCTCAAAGGTAATATACACCCACCAGCAGATGTTCATCCTCTTTCCAATGTTCCGGCGGGTCCGGTCTCTCCGCCACCCTCTTCAACAAGATCTCCTCGAGCTCCTCGTCCTCATTAATGCGCTGTTCTGTACAGAAAATATCCGCGAACCCGACAGCTCGCAGATCTCTCAATCCGCACCCCAAGGCGCGGATCAATGCCTCGGTCGAAAACACCAGGCTCGGGTCCTGGCTCGGATGCGCAAACTCTAGCTCCTCCAGCGCCACCGGCGGCGCCATATGACATAGGATATCGAAGAAGGTATCATCGACCATATCGCCGGGGACGCTGAGGGTGGTCAGACCCGGCAGGAAAGCGAGGATCGCGTTGATGGACTCTGGCTGCAGGCCGCGGTTCGCGCCGGAGATGCTAAAGCGCCGGAGGCTGTGGTTGAGGTGGGGGCTGCTGAGTAGGCTGCCGAGGTTGCTGACTGAGAGGTCGGCGCAGTTCTTGAGGCTGAGGCTGGTGAGGGAGGCGGGCCAGGCGAAGGTCGGGATGGTGAGGGGGTTGAAGCGTCCGCTGAGTTGGAGGCGGGTGATTTCCGGAGGCCATTCGACGGCGGTGGTCGAGGGGGAGGTGGATTCGGCGGATGTGAGGCTGGTGGATTGCGGGAGGCGCAGGGTATTGAGTTTGCGGAGTCGGCTGAGGGCTTGTTTGAGGTTCGTGAACGGGATGGGGTCGCCGACGAGCGAGAGGTCGAGGGATCGGAGGTTGGTGCATTTGGATAATGCGGGGAGGCTGTTTGTTCTGGATGGAGGGGGATTTGGTTAGCGAGGTTGATTGCGAGGGGCCAGCTTGCAATGGGCGGGGCACATACGAGAAGGACACTCTGGGCGCAATGAAGACTTCCAGGTTCTCCTTGACGCGACCCAGCAGTCTTGCGGTCAGACTGTTTGAACTGTGATGCACGAGACCGCTCAGATCCAGCCGGTGCACCAGACTGCCTAGGTTCAATTTGCTCTTGCGCGCCCCAATCGGAGGGCTGATTGTGTCCGTGAACTTCCCAAAGGCCACTCCAGTGCCGACATGAGGCTTTTCGTACAGCGGGGCGATCGCCGCCGAGTACCACTGTCGTGATACCAAGCAGCAGGCATGTAGAGTCTCCTGGCGGCGGGACTCATCGGCCGCGACGATGCCGACGATGTGGAGGACAATTTCAGTAGGGAGATATATTTCTGGAGAGACATGCATCATTGGGGTTTGAGCTGTCGAATGCCATGATAAGATGATCGAAGATTGGTGGGGGGAGGGGAGAAGTGGGTGAGGCTGCGGAGGACAGTGGGTGGATAAGAAAAGGAACGGAGGATGAAGTGATATCATGTGGCCGCCTGGTTATTTATATCTCCGGGGGAGCTCCCCGGTTTTCCCCCCAACTTATCTGGCCTCTCTTCACCCTTCACTGTTTACCTTTTATATATCCCCCCCCAACCCAATTGGAACACTTTTCTTTTCTTGTACATAATTATGAGACCCCAAGGGCTTTGGAGGTCTTTCGGCCTCGTCCAGCGCGCATGCAATCGCTCCTTTCTAGAGACCGGCTCGGGTCGCCGAACCTTTCAAACAGCCAGTTCATCGCCACGAGTCCCCGACTTCGCGTTTGCCTTCGAGTGAGTACATTAAGGAAATTGAATGGGTACAATCGATTCGAGCCGTAGATGATGAATGGCTGATCGTGTCCTCCAGCATTGACGGCGTGCTATTGCGATCTTCGAAGCCCATTCCCGGAGCGGCCGAGTCGTTGGCCCTTCTCAAGGATCAAGGAATTCCCTTCATTCTCCTGACCAACGGAGGTGGGAAACACGAATCGGAGCGAGTGGCAGAGATCAGCGAGAAGCTCCAAGTGCCATTGGATCCCTCGGTGATCATCCAGAGCCATTCTCCCTTTGCGGAGCTCGTGCGGGGACCGGATGAACAGAGCGCCCTGGAGCACAAATGCGTGCTGGTAGTGGGAGGTGAGGGCGATGGCTGTCGCCAGGTCGCGGAGAAGTACATGAACCTCACCCTGACGATGCACAACCACCCACTAATTATCCAATCTAGATACGGATTCAAGAACGTGGTCACCCCCGGCGACATCTTCATGGCCAATCCGACTATCTGGCCATTTTCCAAGGTATTCCGCAACTACTACGAAGGATTCACGCGGCCCCTCCCACCATTCAGCCCCCGCGACCAGAAAGACCCAACCAAGGGTCTCAAGATCGACGCCGTCTTCGTCTTCAACGACCCGCGCGACTGGGCCCTCGATGCGCAGGTCATCCTAGATGTCCTACTTTCGTCTCATGGCGTGCTCGGCACGGTCTCGGAGAAGAACGGCCGCACGGATCTTCCGAACAGAGGATACCTGCAGGACGGCCAGCCGCATCTCTACTACTCCAACCCGGACCTGGTATGGGCTGCGGCGTACCACCTCCCGCGTCTCGGCCAGGGTGGGTTCCGCGAGGCGCTGGACGGCACCTGGGCCGCTATCACGGGTGGGCCCAGCAAGGGTGCCGAGCTGAAGAAGACAATCATCGGGAAACCGTACCAGGGGACGTATGAGTTCGCGGAGAACCAGCTACTAAGGAACCGCTCGCGGGCATTCGGCGCAAACATCCAGCAGCCGCTGCGGAATGTTTATATGGTGGGCGATAACCCGGAATCAGATATTCAGGGAGCCAACACGTATCGGAGTGCACATGGTAGCCAGTGGCATTCGCTACTTGTTCGAACTGGCGTCTACAGTGGAGGGGAGCCGACATGGACACCCAAGACTGTCGTGGATGACGTGCAGAAGGCTGTTGAGTATGGACTGAAGATGTCACAATGGTAAGCGTCTGAGCGGGCTGTGAATGTGCATGGGCTGGCGAGCGTGTTCCGTACAGAATCATGGTTTTTGCATCTACTTGTTACTGGAGACCCTACACGCTAAGATACCAAATCAATCTGTTTCTTGAGCCTCCACTGATACATGCTTGCCTAATCGAACGTCTCTTGTATCGATACTGAAAGAAAATTGCCCTTGATAGAACCATGCGTGAGATGTCATCGGCAAGATCAGGAAACTCCCTAGGTCTAGATCCTTTTCCTCTGCTCTTCTACTAGCACCAGTCTCGTGAGCGTATTCCGCACACACTTCGCGTTGCCGCCTGGCTAGAGCGCTCATTCCTTCATTCGCAAAAGCCTTTCCAGAGGAAAGAACGACCGCGGAGTCTCAAGCCTGCCAACCATGGCAGCAAGACCATGGCCTACCCAGAGAACAACAACGGAGAATACAAGAGATCAACAAAGATCCAAATCTCCAGACTTAACCCACTAACCCATATCATCACCTCCTGTCTTCTATCTCTATTGCGCCCACTCTTCTCTACGTCATCATTCCCCCTGGAATATCTACTTCGCTTTCAACATGGCTAAGCATGGGTTGAGAAAAGGCCTCAAGTTCGTGAAGCGCAAACTTACGAACAAGCCCATTGCTGGCTTACCTGCATGGGTGAACACACATACAACCCATGCACGGAGACAACCTGTATATGATCCTCCCGGGAGCGAGGCGTACACTGGGCAGACCGTCATGATTATCGGAGCCATGGGTGCACTGGGACGCAGAACAGCCTATCTCTTCGTATTGAATGGTGCTGCATGTATCCATCTCACCGGAAAATGCCGTGATGAGCTGGCCAAGCTTGAATACGATCTCCGAAATGATCACCACCTACATACAGCCAATCCCGGCTGCAGATTCATACTGCACGAGCTCGATCTCAGCAATAGGGGGATGACAAGGGACTTTGTGAAGAGAATCACGACAGATTGCCCCCACCTTCATGTGCTTCTTTTCAATGCGGCAACATTCTGCCCGGGTTTCCAGGGATGCGATGGTCCTGATGACGCCAGTGAAGCGACCGAGCGGATGATGCAGGGTATGTCTGTCTTCATACGTCCAATACCCTTGCCCGCTAACCCACAATGAAACAGTGAACTGCTACTCGCAATGCTTGATATTCATGGCCCTTAGGAAAATCCTTAGCGACACCGGAAGGGATTCGGGCTCGCTCTCTCACGTCACCTTCGTCACCTGTCACTGGTTGGGCAATGGGTATGGAACTCAGCTCCCTGATAGTGTCAGCAATCTGCGTGCACGGCTTGCCAATCGAATCACGTTCAATAGCGGGCATCAATTTCATCTCAGCAAGCTGCTTACGACCTTTTGGGTCTATTACTATGCATCATTGGCTCCCGTAGACGAAACCCACGTTGTTGTCAACACGGTTTGGCCAGGCACTCTGAAACATTCGAACATCTATCGAGAATGGGGACCAGAGGTCCACCAGGCTACAGAAGAGGCACGCGCCCTGTTTGGTCGGCCCATAGGAAGAGCGGCTCGAGTCGTGCATGCTGCTACACGGGGCAATGCCGGAACACATGGGCATTGCATTGCCAACAAAACCAAGTATTTGTATGCAGATCCCCTTCCAGAGCATTCTCATAGCTTTGCTAATGATGTATAAGAGGGCAAAATCTCGTAACGCAACATGCTCGATTAGGCTGCGAACGACTAGTATACCGCATGATTGAGCAAGTGATGCGGAGGGAGATTACCACTATAAATGATCAAATGGATTCTACGGAATTTCAGATGGTTCTCGACACTCCACACGATTCTGACGAAGATGAACCGGTTGTGGACAACCCGTGGCAACCTACTTTGGGATAGACAACTTTTTCTTGCCAGTCACACCTCACATGGTTCTATCCAAGACACTGTTTGAGTAGGATTGAGAAGGCAGGCATGCAGAAATGCAGACATATATCACTAGAAGTTCAAGTAACAATGACAATACTATTATTGGTTTGGTAGACAAAGACTATTCGGGGACAGTAACTAGTAGTTGGCGGCCCCAGGCATCTCGGGCCGCAGCTGCCAGTCAGGTGACGAGTGTCCCCCCCTCTTAGGGCTTAGGGCTGGACAGCAGCCGGCGGGGGGGTCAATCGGTGACTCGAAAGTGCCAGTTGGACGGTTGGAGCTGCTTCCTCGTCATCCGGTGCTTATCGTCGCTTTTTAGCTCCCTGAGTCCCTACTCCCCGCCATTCGATTGGTTTTACTCCCTAAACTCCTCCCACTAGCTATACAACCATGGCAGACTCCGAGTTGCCCTCTCGTCCTAAGCCCGAAGAGACTCAGAATGCCGCTGCCCCCGCCGAGGAGGGCGCCGACGGTAAGATGAGCAAGAGTGCGCTGAAGAAGGCCGCGAAGGACAAGGCCAAGGCCGAAAAGGCGGCTGCTCGAGCTGCCCAGGAGAAGGCCCAGGCCGCTGCCGCCGATGCCAACGATACTGCGAAGGATCTGTACGGCAAGATGCCCGAGTCCGAAGACGTGCTGCCCTCGACGCGGTTCACCGAGATCACCGACGATCACTACGAGAAGGAGATCACCGTTGTGGCGCGTGTGGACAATGCCCGAGTGCAGAGTGCCAAGCTGGCGTTCCTGATGCTGAGACAGCAGGGTCTGAAGGTGCAGGCGGTCATTGCCGCCGCAGAGCCCATCTCCCGGCAGATGGTGAAGTTCACCGGTGGCTTGAACGTCAACTCTATTGTCCAGGTCACCGGTATCGTCAAGAAGCCCGAGATTCCGATCAACTCCGCCTCCCTCAGCAACCTTGAAATCCACATCCGCAAAGTCTACATCATCGCTGAAGCGCAACAACAACTGCCCATGCAAGTCAAGGATGCCGAGCGTCCGCCTCCCGAGACCACCGAGGAGGGTAACCTGGTTGATGCGGACGGAGCCCCCATCGTGACGCTCAAGACTCGTCTCGACAACCGTGTGATCGACCTACAAACGGAGACCAGCCAGGCGATCACCTGGATCTCCAGCGGAGTCGCAGAGCTGTTTTCGGAGTACATGCTGAAGAGTGGTTCGCGGTGGATCTTCACGCCCAAGCTGGTGGGTGCCGCTACCGAGGGTGGCAGCGGCGTTTTCGAGGTCAAGTACTTCAAGAGGAACGCGTACCTGGCTCAGAGCCCGCAGCTCTACAAGCAGATGTGTATCGCTGGTGACATGGAGAGTGTCTTCGAAATCGCCCCCGTTTTCCGTGCCGAGGACAGCAACACTCACAGACATTTGACCGAGGTACGGGATCCAGTTCTCAAGGCGGATGTTCATTGCTTCTGTGCGCATGTACTGACAATCAGTCTTTTAGTTCGCCGGTCTCGATTTTGAGAAGACTTTCCACGGCCACTACCATGAGGTGCTTGAATTCGCTGAAGACCTTCTCGTCTTTATCCTCACCCAGCTCAAGGAGCGATACAAGGACCAGATCGCCACTATCCAGAAGTCGTACCCCAAGGCGGGTGACTTCAAGCTTCCCAAGGACGGCAAGGCGCTGCGGATGAACTACATGGATGGTGTTGCTTTGCTGAAGGAGGCCGGAGTCGATGTTTCCGAGCAGGAGCGGTTCGAGAACGATTTCACCACGGCAATGGAGAAGCAGCTGGGTCAGATCATCCGCGAGAAGTACGATACCGACTTCTACGTTCTCGACAAATTCCCCATGGCCGTGCGACCTTTCTACACCAAGGCATGCCCCAAGGACCCCAAATTCTCCAACTCGTATGACTTCTTCATGCGTGGAGAGGAGATCATGTCAGGTGCCCAGCGTATCCACGACATCAAGGAACTGGAGGCCTCTATGATCGCCAAGGGTCTCAACCCCCACCAGGAGGGCTTCGAGGACTACCTGAATGCTTTCCGCCAAGGATGCCCTCCCCACGCCGGTGGTGGTCTGGGTCTGAACCGGATTGTCATGTTCTTCCTGGGCTTGCCGAACGTGCGGTTGACCTCCTTGTTCCCTCGTGACCCTCAGCGTTTGCGCCCTTAGATACGTAGAATTGAAAGAAAGGCGGGGATAGGATGGAATCTGGGCCGGAAGGAGAAAGTAAAATTAAACCAAGAGAAGTACTACAATACATCACGATTTTTTAGTTCGCCTTTCAGAAGTGGAGATTTGGGAGCCAAGCCTAAAAGTAAAACGGGTGGCCCAAGCTCCCCGAAATCATCCTCCGTAAATCTTATTCAACTCCGACCTTCTTCTCTTTCTTTTCTCACCTTCCCCCCCCAGGTCCAGCATGCCCGACAAGCGAAGGCCATCCGAGTCGGTATCTGGCTCATCGCCGCATGCAAAACGCCCCCGCGCCTCCTACGCTGACTATGACGAGGAGGACATGCCACCCGCCGTGACTCCGTACGAGCGCCCGCGCAACCACCCGGTATACGGACAGAAGAGCGCCTTTCCGGGGCTCGACACCGCCGGAGATGATGAATTATTCTACGGTCCCGCAGAAGACGGATTGGAGTATCTTCGCATGGTCCGGTAAGCTCTGTCCCTCCCGTGCTTATGGCGCCTGCTTGTCCGAGATCTTGTTTTTTCCCGCTTGCTAAATGCCTGCGCGCCCCTCTATTTTGATCCTTCTTTAGCCCATGACGAATTCCGATAGTTTGGTTTGGATGAAGAGCTGATGAATGCTGCCTCGGTGTTGCGAGAATAGATCCGAAGCCAACTCATTACCTTTCCTTTTCAACGCTCCTAAGCCTACAAAGTCGACCGACGAACCAACGATAACGAACGCCGAAACCGAAGAAAAACCAAGCGAGGGAATCGTGGAAAAGAAAGAGACTATCGTCGAGGGTGTTTACGTTGATGGTGTCTATGCCGCGTCCGCATCGATCACGACCGGTGCGACAGGTCACTTAGACATCGCCCAGACGACATACTCGGACGCGCAAGCTAGCTATTACAATCTTCTACGCCACCGATTTCTTCTCCTTCGATCCATTCTGAAGTGCTCACCCCCGTCGACTGCGATTGCCGCGCTGGACGATACCCACCCGATCAGCCTTCCGCGACACTCGAAGAGCGCGTGCAGGGAATGGCGGCGTTTATTGCTAGCAGTGGACCCTCAGACGGTGCAGCTGGCATGTATGGATATGGATAGTGTCCTGGGAGTGCTGGGGATCATGGCGCGCCTGATGTCCGAAAACGTACGCAGCGGTGATGCAGAGCGCATCCGACGGATTGGGGCCTGGGCCTGGGGCTTGCTGAGCAGGTGTCGCGATGTCGGACAACTGGGAACGGACGAAGTAGGCGAGATTCGCGAGCTGGGAAAGCGCGCCGTAAAGATTCTGCGGAAGATGAAGGAGGAGGACGAGAAGAATAATCGATCGGTCGCCGAGAGTGGAGGGGACGCATCCGACGATGAGTTTAACGAGGATGACCAAGCAGACGAACAGGGCCATGTGCAGGGATCCGAGGACCAGCCTACAGCTGCCAGTGATCCTTCAGCGGAGGCTCCTGATCAGGACATGCCCGATGCGGAGGAAGGCCCATCTACCGACGAACTAGAGCAGGCGAAAGCTCAACTTCAAGCGAAGATACAAAGCAATGAGGACGAACCGCAGGCGATTGAGCCAGAGACATCAGAACCAGAGCCAAGCGCCGAAGACCCTACCCTCGAAGCATCCATGCAGACTCGCGCTATGCTGGACATGATCATCACCGTGATAGGCGAATTTTACGGACAGCGAGATTTGCTGGAGGCACGGGAGCTGTGGATGGGGCCATCGGGGGACGAGTTGGCAGAATAGTTGTCATATCATCGGAAATTTCTTATCTGTCTTGCTTGGAGCTTACGAGGCCAGATTAGTTGATAATATTGATACCCTTTTCCGAATAATAATTGTGAATTTGCCTGGCGCGCCCCAGCTTCTGCAATATTTTATAAAGCCAATCGAGTGATAATTGCCTTGGACAAGTCCTATGAGCCAAGGCTCAGGAAAAACAGAAAGTGATGCCTGATAATCATCTTTCTGCCTGGAGATCTCTTGCGTCATTGTTTGGGGAGCCTTAGCGCCTGGCTTATCTTATCGGCATCAGTTGAGCCGGTCACGTTTCGCCGACCTGTCACCCCGGCATCTAATCATCTCGACGGTTTCCCCTTCAACAAAACTACTCCTCCCCCTTCCAACCCTCAATTCATCCGTTTTATACCCCAATTTCTCTCTAGCACTGTATATATGGCTCCCACACTCGAAATATCTATCCCTAACACCAGCATCTCGCCCACCTCCCCCCCATACACCCTCTACAACATCACCCTCCGCCTGCCTCTCCGCTCTTTCACCGTCTCGAAACGCTACTCCGACTTCACCACCTTCCACACCACCCTAACCAACCAAACGAACGCGCCCCCTCCGGCCCCCCTCCCCTCTAAATCCTGGTTCTCCAACACAGTCAAGAATGCCTCCCTGCGCGAAGACCGCCGCATCGCCCTAGAAACCTACCTCCGCGCCATCAACGACGCCGACGACTCGCGATGGCGCAACTCGCCCGCCTGGCGCGCTTTCCTGAACCTCCCCACGGCCGCCACGACGGGCGGGAAGAACAACGGGGGCACGGGGCCATCGATGACGTCTGCGCGGTTGCATGCCGCGATTACGGAGCCGGGTAGTAGCGGCGGAGCAGGAGGGGCGGCGATCACGGACCCGACGCTTTGGTTGGATTGTTACCGTGATATGAAGGGGCATTTGCATGATGCGCGACTGCATCTGACGAGACGGGATCAGGAGACCACGCCGCAGAAGCAGCATGAGAGTTCGGCGAGGGCGAAGAGCTCGTTGGTGCGTGCTGGGTCGCTGATCGTGGCGTTGGAAGAAGGGTTGAAGAATCTCGGGGATGGGCCGGAGGGGCCAGTTGGTGGTGGGGATGGAGGAAAGGCAGGAAGGAAAGTGGCTATGGGTGGTAGTGGATTAGGTGAAGGGGAGCTTCGACGTCGGAAGGATCTCTTGATCAATGCGCGGAAGGAGAGGGATGGGTTGGAAGATCTGTTGAATGCCATGGCGGCGAAAAGCCGGGTCGATCATGCGGTTGCGTCGATTCAGGACAAGGAGGCGCTTGTGGGAAGTGCAGGGAAGAAGCCGGCGAGGTCGGGTCGAGTGCTGGGGAAGGAGACGGAGAGGACGAGGGAGTTGGACAATAATGGAGTGCTGCAGTTGCAGAAGCAGACGATGAAGGAGCAGGATCTGGATATCGAGGAGTTGAGGAAGATTGTGAATCGGCAGAAGGAGTTGGGCATTTCGATCAATGCCGAGCTGGAATACCAGAATGAGCTGCTGAAATTGGCAGATGAAGATGCAGATAGGTACGTTGGCTTGATTATTATGTTTCTTACTCAGTTACTGACGTGCACACCAGGTTACAAGGCAAGATCGATATTGGGAAGAAGAGGATTGGAAAGATCTCCTAAGTCTGGAGATGATGTTTCCTCTTGTTCTTACATCTGCATGTTTGCGGTTTTATAGCTTGTTTTCATTACTGTCCAGCGAGACGCCTGATAATATTAGCATAGACAGTCCATATCATGTCACAGATAATGTTATTCATATTGGTAATTAGTGATCGTTGATCTCTGCTTGAGCTACATCGGGATTCACTTGGCAGACATAAACTAGATGGCGCGTTAGCATTGTCCGAATATAATCTCAACGGTCCAGACTCACCTCCTTCGCTTCTTCTTCGGTTACTTTCGACTGATCAGACTGCCCCTGATCGATCAAGCCCAGCTTGCTTCGTCGAATCAGCCACCACAGTTCCCGCCGATCACCGCCCAGCTCCTCCTTCAACAGCTTCTCTTTCAGCGAGACCAAGAAGTCGTTATACAGCGTAGGCTCCTCGTACTCTATCAGCTCTTCCCGCATAACTCCCAGTTCCTCATTAACCCGATCGTAGTTCGCATCGCCGAAGCTGTGACGGATCTGATCCTCAATAATGACAGCTATCTGCTTGACAGCGTCCTTGATAACGTCGATGTTTTCGGGCTGCGCCAGAGTCTGCTTGAACTCCGGGATGGCATTGTTGGGCGAGATCTTGGCACGTTTTTCTTGCTGAAGCAGAGAATCGACGTCGAGACCTGACAGGGGCTTCTCGTTCTCCCGGGCTCGTTTACGGCCCTTGGTCTTGGGCGGTACTGGAGATGGGGTTAGTCATGAGACTGTGTCACGAGGACATAAAGGGAGAAACGAACCTTTCTTGACGTCGGCTTCCGCGATGAGTCTATCGAGGTGTTTCTTGGACTTTTCGACGAGGTCCTCTGCGGGTTGAGAGAATTTGAGGAGGGTGCTGGAGGGAGGTGGGATCGGTTCGTTGGGATGGATGGCTCGAGAGCGGATCGCGGCTGCGGTTCGATGGAGGAGCGGCGAGAATGAGTCTTCGATTGGGACGGTATCGATGGGGTTACTTTTGTTTTCTTTGTTTAGTTGAAGAGCACAAAACAGGGAGTATAACATTGGAAGATCTCACCCATCATCATCCGTATCGACCATCTCCATACTGTTCACGTATTTGTCCATGGCATTTTGTAAGTCATCGCTGGGAAGATTTCGATGTTGTGTCACTACCTTGCCCGAGACCGTGATTACTCTGTCCAGCGGAGGGAAACGGTAGGTGCGGACGTCTTCGGCAAATGGCAACTGCGCCTCCATGAGACATTCGTAATCCGGTTCGATTGAGGGGGCAAGTAGGACCACGTTTGGCGGTTTGTTCTCCTTCGTTACTAGACGAGCTACGGCGTAGCAGTCTAATTCAAAAAGTGCATGAATGAAGGAGGAAAGAGCGAGGGCCGCCTTGTCATTGGCACGCTGGGCGATGATGATGTTGGTCGTTGACATATGCATGTAGCGATCATACTGGTATTGTATATTAGCGTTAAGGCTGAGATCGAGAGAATAGGCGGGCATACATTATCAGTTTGGATAAAGCCGAGCAGTTCCAGACCAGCGAATGTGTCGAGAGTCGTGATGCCCTCGTCGGTCTCGTCGATGTGAACTGCGGTTCGACCATACTCGTAGCCTTTGGCTAGTTGGTCTCGCTCCACATCAATCTTACCACCGGGTGCGCTCTCGTCGTCAATCTGGTACGTTCGCAGAGGTCGTACGGCTGTGAGATTGTTCGCGTCCGTGGACTGACTGTCTTTATGGACGTCTAGAGTCGCAGATGATTCGGGATTTTCTTGCTCATTTACATCTGAGCGCAGAACAAATTGACTTGCCGTGGGTGGCTTGGCCACGTGGGTTCTGAAGTAACGTTCCACAGGGATGCGAACTGCCGTGTCATATTCCTCCGAGTTCCCCAGTTGAAGAAAGCCTTTGAAGGAAGCTGTCACCCGGACGCTTTTCACTCTAGGGATCTCCAGCTCTGACACTGCTTGTTCTAACGTTCCGTAGACTCCATCGCAATCTTCGACCAAGCTCCGCAGAAGTGTCTCGTTTTCGGCCTATAGCAATCCGTTAGGTGTGACTGTAGGTTGTACGATACAGATGAACTGGTACCTTTCGAGGGTCTTTGTCCTCTTCTTTTACCCCGTACTCAGGATCGTCGAAGTCGGCTCCTCTGTCCCAGGTTAGCAGCGCGCACTGATGTATATGCAATGACAAACGAACAGTACGACGAGTTCAATGTTATCCTCCTTGATTTTCTTCGTGATCTCATCGAGATTCTCGCTGCTCATTCGCCCCTGACCATCCGTGACCAGGACGATCTTGCGCTTGTATTTCAACTTTTTGCAGTAAGTGATGATCATCTGGACGGCCAAGACGATGGCAGAAATCGCTAGAAGAAATTAGGAAAAAGTTTAGGAAATAACTGGAAGCAACTGAGCGTTACCGTCTCCCCTGTTTGTATTACTGGGCTTTATGTCTTCACCCAACTTCCGTAGATCGGGCATGAGGAACCTGCACATCTTGTCAGCTCAGGTCCATCATCAAGACATGGTACGCATACTGTTTGATCCCCGAAAATACCGAAATGTTCGCAAAGTAGGCTTCATCTCCGAGCTCGTTGTCCGTTTCTATTTCCGTTAGTATGAGAGCGGACGCCCATGGCCCGAAGTCTCACCATCTGTCCGAAGGCCGAGTACGCCCACAGTGGCTGTTTTGCGCCCAGTTGCTACCTTTATTATTTTGGGATCAGTAGATGATGAATGCGACCTAAGTTCAGCTCACAACTCACCGTCCCGGTGATGCGCTCCCAGACATACTGCATCGACCATTCGAGATCGGTCACGGAGCGGCCATGACGACGCTCGCCCATGGATTTGCCCACATCCACGATGTAAACGGTTGCCTCCTTGTCCGCCATATTGTGTGATTAAGAAATTGGAAGCGAAACGGTGCTGGGCGACAGTCGCGAGAAATAGGGCGAGCTGGCATCAGGCCTCCAACGGGAGTCGCGAAGGCAGACGCGTGATATTGCCTGTTTGGGCTTACGGCCGCACGCGCAGGCACATGACATCATTGTCTGCAGGGTGCGTGCATATACTACTGCCTGGCACAACAGCGTGGCAGTAAGAGTCCCCGTTCATCGCGGGTGCGTGGAAATGCATCCGGAAGTGCCCATCTTATCATGTCTTTCTTGTCAGGCAATCAATCTGTCTCTCTCTTCACCTCCACACTACCTTCTTTCTCAAGACATCCGGTCGCTAGTTGATCCTCAGTAGCCACCATGGTTGACATTCGCCCCTACCACGTTCTGAGGTTTGCTTTCTTCAGTCTCATAACGAATCCTATCAAGCCTTGCTGATATCGTCTACAGCTACGGAACCCTGCTGGGTGTCCAGTTCTACCAGGTAAACAAACCCAGTCTACATACCTGACTGCCCCTCCAACTAGGACCATCATAGTAACATGGCTTAGACCTTTGTCTCCGGCATCGTGGCCTTCAGAGCCCTTCCCCGTCCTCAGTTCGCATCCCTGCAGACGGCCACTTTCCCTATTTACTTTTCCATTCAGAGTGCCCTCCCTGTCCTGGTGGCTCTGACTGCTTCTCGCGAGGCCCAGCCTCTCGGTATCTCTGGACTTCTTGCCTCTGAGAACCGTGGCACTTTGATCCCCATGGCTACTGCTGCGGTGACTGGACTGATCAACATGTTTATACTTCGTCCGTTGACCGTCAACACCATGAAGGAGCGGAAGCACCAGGGTACGTTCGTTCACTTTGCTTTACCTTTGTCTTTAGAAAATCGCGCACTGACTTGCTATAGAAACTCGCGACGGCAAGAGAAGCTACGACCCCGCTCCCCACTCCAAGGAGATGGTGGCCCTGAACAAGAAATTTGGTCGTGTTCACGGCCTGTCGAGCTTGACTAACTTGATCTGCTTGGGCGCTACTATCTACTACGGCGCGTCTCTGAGCAAGCGGCTGTCCTAGGGATGAAGCTTGATGTATTGGTTGCAGTGGATTGTGCCATACATCTACATAACTGCATGCTGGGTTTGGGAGCGCTTTTTACTGAGTGAATATCATCTCTCGCGCTGGGCAGTTGAATTGAATATGATTCCGGAACTGGATTCAGAGGATGGGCTTTAGTACGTGGAAAGCTATGGCAGTATTCTGAATTGAAATCCTGGTTCCTGAAGATAGAAATACATCGTTGAAGCACAGATCTCGAAGTCCTTATCTTCCTTTCATTCTATCTAGTTCGTAATTTGAGAACCCGCATCCCGAAGTTCTCACTACCCATAAGCCCCAGTATCTCCCTAATCATTCTCCCACAGAAAACGAACCTCTGGCAAAGATTCTCTGATTTTCCAAGACATCAGGCGATCCGGAAGGGCGAGGACGCGTAGGTATGCCCATACATCATCATGTCCTTGTTTACTGGAACCTTCCTGCTGGAGCCATCGAGTGGCCAAGGCACGACCCAGTAAGCAAAGGGAAGATGCGCAGGGGCCTCGAGGAATTGTTTGGAACCGAGAATGGCCTTGTCCTAATCGGGAATTGTAGAGGCAAGTTCCGTGAAGTTGAGATGAAGTAAAGGAACGCTCCGTGAAGCTCCTTTCTCCTGATGCCTGCCCCCCGCTGGTTATAAAAGGGCCCTTTCTCCCCTCCCATTTCCATCCTTTCTTCTTCCCCCAGATTCATCTCTCTTTGCAGCCGAACCAGCATCTATCCGCCTTCTCACTCTCTTTCCGACCACCCTACCCAAGCTGTATCCAACCCATCCCTATCATAACTCTAAATCTACATTCTACATCCTCACCTTCACATCCTTACATCTATTACAACTCATCTCTAAACCTCAGGTCACAGAGGCTGACAGTCTGACGCCATGGAAATCTTCTTCATGACCGCAGTGACCTTTTTGGTCTCTATGTACACTCTCTTCCAACCGTTGCTGGAATCCTACGACTTCCCCTTCGACATCCCCTTCCAGATCGCAGGCCTCAGACACTCCATCGCCGACCATGCCATGAAATCTTTCCCAGAAAAATATACCCTCTCCGGAGCTACCCCAGTCTCTGCTTCCTGGCCTATTAGGGAGACAGGCCCTACTCATGCCTTTCCTTCCCAAACCTGGCCAGAGGCGGGGGGTTTTTTCCAGTCTCTTTTCAACAGAATGTATAGACCCAGTCCTTATGTTCTCCTGACATCAACCTTCTGGCTCACGATCTTGTTCGCGTGCTTTATGTACGCAGCCTGCGCCGCTCTGGCACAGTGGATCGAATCCAATAAAGCTATGACTGAACAAGTGAGCAGAGCACGCATCCAGCCTAGCGGGAGCGAGCTTGAGAGGTTCTACGACGATGTCATGAAGAAAAGTCATGAATATGTCTCTGGACAAATGAATGACTTCAAGAAGGACTGGATTCAGGTCATGGAGGATGTGAAACAAACGCAGGGCGTGTTCCGAGAGCAGTTGGCTGCGCTGACGCCGCAGGTGCACCTCCAAACCCAGTTGCAAGACCTCGAGACTCGTTTGGCTTTGGCTGAAACCACCATCGCAGACAAGGACATGGAGGCTCAAGTCAAGCAACTGCAGGAGCAAATGGCCGTGCTGGAATCACAGGAGCATCTCCAAGCCCAGTTGCAAAACCTTGAGACCCGCTTGGCTGAAATAGAAATCACCACAGACAAGGACATGGAGGCTCAAGTCAAGCAGCTGCAGGAGCAGGTGACCGCGCTGAAGCCGCAGGAGAGTCTGCAAAATCGGACGGAAGAATTCGAAACGGAACTGGCTAAAGTGAAGAACGCTGCTGGCAAGGACATGGAAGATCATGCCAAACAACTCTTGGGCAAGTTCCAAGAGCGTGCGAACTCGCTGGAAAGCCGATTCAACGACTTCGATACGGCCTTAACCGAAAGGAAGATCACTGCTGGCAAGACCGTCGACGCTAAATTGGAACAGCTGCGAGACCGAGTTCAAGGGCACTTTTCTGCTCTGAAACAGCAGGAAGAGGATATGAAGGCCCGAAAGGAAGCGTTCGACGCGAGCTTGAAAACTGCTGAGCAGAGCTGGGCTACTGAGTTGAAGCAAGTGCACGACAGGTTCAACGCGCAGTTTCAGAATTTGGACTTGCAGGGTCGATTTGCCAGTGAACTGGGAAAAGTGGAACAGACGGGACGTGAGCTGGCAAATGAATTCACCGATAAGGCTCGTGATGGGTTCGAAAAGCTCGTCGGAGAAGGACGTGTTGAGGCGTGGGCCTATGGGTTATTGAAAGAGCTAATCGATCGTGAGATACACTTTTTGAGCTCTGGTGATATCCGGTCGTACGTCTGGGACAAGATAGATCGGATTGTGATGGAGCAGGTTTCATTTCAATTCCCTGATCCAGGCCCTACCAATCTCGCGCCGTCCCCAGCCGCCCATCCTCAGTTCCTGGCCGCTCCTCCTCAAAGCCCGACGGTAGAGGACCCCAAATCTCCTGATGGGTCCTCCTCAGGTCCCAAGCAGTCGAGACGGTCTCGCAGGCGCAAGTCGAAATCCTCGGCGGCTTCTCATCCTCAAGGCAGCGTGGAGGTCTCTGATCTCGGCATGGCATCTCCTACAGCTCCTCCGTCTACCAACAAGACGGAGAAGAATGTGCCTAAGCCCCAGGAGAGACCTCACGCCGGGCCCAGGGTGTCGACTCCCGCACCCCGGACCGGTCCTGCATCTCCGGTGACTACCGCTCCCGCCAAAGGCAATGTGGGAGAGGCCTCCAAACCTTTGGAGAGGCCCTCCCCGGGTCTTCAGAGCTCGCGGTATGCACCCCAGGTCGGTCCGGCGTATTCGGAGGCTGGTCCCTCTCGAAGCATGGTGCCGGACGTCTTCAAGCCGCAGGGAGGCCTTGCGGGCTCGATCTATGCGGCCCCCGCCAGTAACCCCCCTCCCGCCAGCCCTACTGTCCCTCAGACACGGGATAAGGGCAAACAGCCCATGAGGAACGAGACTTCACAGGTCTCGGGAACTTCGCAGGGACCCCCCCAAACTCCAACGGAGGGTGTTCCTGGGCGATCATCGGCCTTTTGGGCCGATGATCATAAGGGAGATGTGAGGATCTTCGGTGGTCAGGGCTCGAAGGATGCTCCCCAAGCTCCTAAGGGCCCTTCAGGGCCCAAGATCGAGGCCAAGGGGCCATCGACAAGCCAGGCCATGGGGATTGCGAGACAGTCCGTGCCCAGGCAACCGTCCGCCCAAGCAGTTGGTATCCAGGGTTCCAGTAAGCTACTCACTGCTGCTCAAGTTTCACAATCCACTACTGAAACAAATGCTAATACTTCCACTACAGCGCAGGCGGGATTCTCTCCCGAGAATCTCCCTAACCTTCCGAAGCTGCCCGCCCAAACGAGTCGGCCGACACACCGCGCTGGTGTAGTCGAAGAAAACCTTACATTCGGCAAGGTTTTCGCGACTCTCAGGTCGCAGGTGCAGAAGGACAGGCCTCCTGTACGTCCGGACCCGAAGACGGAAGTCGGGGGATTGGCACCGGTGAAGCAGGACCCGACCAAGGCGACTCCGGGTCCTGCAGTTCCCGAAGAAGCTTCCAAGGCGCTGTCCCTCGTCGATAAGGGAAAGGCTAAGGAAGGCTCGGGTCCTGCAGGAGGAGCCGCCAAATCGGAATCATGGTCCGATTTGGTCGAGGAGGACCTGCAGAAGTCGAAAGGCTCACCGGGCGCCAGCCAGCCAACAAGGGCCCCCTCAAGCACCAGTGTCCCTGTAGCGGCTGGGAAAGAGCCCTCGAGACCGACCCCGGTAAAGGAGAGCAGCGCTCAAGTTGCTCCCGGGGTTGCACACTCGAGGTGGGCTCCTCAGTCTGGGACCGATGCTCCCACCCCTCCTGCGGCTGCGGAAAAAGCCAAGGACTTGCCTCCAGTCTCCCCAGGACTGTCAGAGTCGAAGCGGGCCGGTCCTGCTTCGACCAAAGAGGCTAGCAAGGCACCGCCCGCAGAGAAGAAAGGGGTGAGTGCATCGCGGTGGGCTTCCTAGGGTCGGTGACGCGGAGGGCGATGAGGGTTAGGGAGAAAGAGGAGGTTCAGATTTGTGGGTTAGCCGTAGTTGAGCCGACCCACCCACCGCCTTCCGCCGGTGGGTGGTCTGCAGCGGAAAGGAATTTTCACCGGAAAGGAAGAAATGAAGCAATTTGTATAAAATTATATATATCAATCAATCACGCGGAGGATCAAAACAAGCGATATTATCAATACAATCAGTAGCCGATTCTGCATCAGGGACTGCAGGTTGAGGAGATAAACAACCGTATTTCTCTTTATACGCCTTATTCAACCTCTTATCCTTGCTGGCGGCCTCTTTCGCTCATCTATTCGCGATAGAGCCATTTGCATCCTTTACACTCAATATTCCACTATCCGAAAGGCCCTTTACCTCTCACTTAATTGATTTTCGCTTGCGCCGGCCCGAAAGCGCCTCTATTCGTTGAAAAGTAGTGATCGTATTCGCGAGATCTTCACATTGAATCTTCGCATGATGTAGGATACGCTCAAGGTTACGCTTGATCTTCGGGGTCAAACCTTCGCTCGTGAAGATTTGAACGATCTTCTTCTCATTTTTTTGAGCTTGTATAGAGCTTCTTGGAGGCGTGTTTACAACGCTTGAAGAAACAGGATTTGGAGGAGGTGTAGTCTTTCCATATGGCCGAAGATCAGGCGCTGATATCAACGGAATCGGTGATAAAGTTTCTTCAAATGCTTCAATAATTGACGATCTATTTGGAGGGAAGATTCCGCGTTTTTTAAAGAATTCTCGTATACACCGTTGCTTGAAGGTTTCCGCGCGCGTGGCCACGATATTCTTCAAAAAAGTTGCTTTATCTCCGGGCTTTTCGGTTCACTGAGATATCTCATTGTTTTTTGTCTTGAATTTTTATTTATATGCAAGAAAAGAGGTTCCATCAAGAGGTTGACAGATATCCGTTGTATGAGATAAAAAACAGAAAGGAATAATCTCGTAGATCTCGCAGAGTTGAAGAAATTCAACTGTTTTATGTGAAGTATGATCGTCAAAGATAAGCACGCGTTTTTCTCTTTTTTTGGTGCGATTCAGAGTTTCCTCGTGAAATAAGTGAAGCCATTCAAATGCGAGTTTATCGTTGATATAACCTTTTTCTGATATTGTAGTATAGAGATTAGATAGATTTTTGTGATATCAGTTTTCTATAAACTTTTTGCCTTTGAAAATAAAAAGTGGTTTCATGATCCAGCTGTCTGCAGAGATGCATTCAAGCGTTATAATATTTTTAGAATGCTCGGATTCTGCAAGATCACGAACTCTTCCTCTCCTAGTCAGGACATTTTGACGCTTTCTTTTGTCTGGTTGAAAACCGCATTCATCGAAATTGTATATGAGGCGCGCAGAAAGGCCTTTAAACACGTTGGAGAGTTGATTATACCAGAATTAAAGCAGTCTAACATCTTCAGTATCTAATCGCTTCTTTTCTTTCGATTTTTGAACTATCTTCTTCAATTTGAGATGATCAGAAAGTCTTTGATTGAAGCGATACGCCCATGTTGCGAAAACACGTTGATTCAATCCTGTACGCTGCAAGGTCTGATTTGCCATCTCTTTAATTATTGATATTGTAACAGAAAGATAAAGATCATCCATACGAATGATCTATTGCTTCAAAGCCTTTTCCTGATACTCATTGAGCGTTTTATTTTGTGGGATTTGAGCAGTACGAAGCGATTGATTGTCTGAAACGCGTCCGTGGAATGTGCGATAGGGAATCTCGAAATCTCGCGCAATTTTTGCTATAGAGAGGTTTTTATTGCAATGAGCGTATTCAGCGGCCTCGTTTACACGTTCTTCTCGAATTTTGCAAGATTTAGGCATGTTTGGTGGTTTGTATGGCTTCAAAATAATAAAAATATGAATTTCTTCCTTTCCGGTGAAAATTCCTTTCCGCTGCAGACCACCCACCGGCGGAAGGCGGTGGGTGGGTCGGCTCAACCACGGCTATCTTGGCTGCTGTTCCATCAATGGTCTTTGTTTCTTTTTGATCCTGTCTATATTTCGTTCTTTGTTTTTCCTTCATTCCCTTGTTTTTCTTTCTTTCTTTCTTTCTTTCTTTCTTTCTTTCTTTCTTTCTTTCTTTCTTTCTTTCTTTCTTTTTCTTCTTGTGCTTTCTGTCTTTTTTTTTTTTTTTTTTCTTTTTTTTTTTTTTCAATCTCCTTTTTGGGTCCATTTCGATTTGAAGTGCATGAATGATGAATACGAGATATGGAAACTGCTTTGTTGACCAAGCAAGTACATCATGTTGCGGGTTTATAGAGGATTAATGTTGCTCGTATATATATATGCATGTATGGGATCTTGCATAGACAGTCGCTTAGATGCAACCAAAAGGGTTTCCCCCTCAAGCTTGGCCTCTGTTTAGTTCCATTTAATGAGCTCCTGTAGTAAATACATGTGTAACGTCTCAAACATATCTATGGGTATATCATTACTCCATCAACCAAAAAATAGAATCCTTCAACTCCAGCGCCACTGATCAAAAACCAAAGGTACGTAGGTAGGGGTAGTAGGGAGGTTTATGAAGTTGCTCCTTCAACCAAATATTTTCTCACCGCGGTCTTGAGCAAGTTAATCCGTCTCTGTGTGTGTACAAAGACCTCCCGGTACATATCCAAACTCTCCTGCACCACTTGTTGTCGCGTTTTTGCGCCTTCGCAGATCTCACGCATCCTTAACTCCATCTCTTTGCGCAGGAATGGCTTGCTCAAAGACGGGCTATCTGGCAGACCGGCAACAACATTGTCATAGCCTTCCACCAGGGCGATACCCAGGCGGGTCGGGATGAGTTCCTTGACTGCATTGCGGCCAGTTCCTCGTGAGTTGACGGCCACATAATGACGGTCCTTAACCTTGGCGATATGTTCGGCCATGGTAGCATCGGTTCCAATGCCGTTGGCATCCATGAGACCGATCAGCTCGGGCTCAGTCAGGTAGTTTGGAGGCGTTGTTTTGCCGTCAAAGATTTTTGCTTCGGAAGGTTCGAAGACCTCCCCCATGCGGAAGTCCGGTAGTTGCTGACTACTCTCCCATTTATCATAGACGTATACGTCTAAATAGTTCCTCTCAAGCACTATCAATCCTTTGGCATGGAAGAACTCATCGCCATATTGGATCTCAACCTCTGACGTTTGGCCCTTGGCGTCTTCCGAACAACAGGCTAGGAACCGGCGAACAACAAATTCATAAACTTTCTTCTCGTTGGCCGAGAGGGCGCTTGGGGAGACCCAGCAAATAGGGTGGATGGGAGGGTGGGCTTTGTCGTTGTGACGTCCGGATCTGGGGGTCCTGAATCCCCCATCGAGAAGGCTTGAGAGTGTAAGTCAGGATGACCTATGATAAAGCGTATATCGAAGTGACGTACCCTCGCGCATATTGGCCCCAATTGTTATCTGGCAATTGCTTTTCCACGAGTTTCTTCAGATCGATTCCCTTGTCAAATTGATCCGTTTCTGTCCGCGGGTAGCTGATGAAACCCTTGGTGTAGAGAGCTTCGGCAACCTGAACAAGAGTGAGCGTGCATATTAATCATAGATTGTCGACCGACTTTCATTCCTACCTTCATGATAGTCTGACTGTCAATACGGAGATATCTGCTTCCCATCATTTGCAGATCCACCGTTGTTAACGGCAAAGGCCTCCATTTGCTGGTGGGTTTCTGGTTGACTTTGGTCACCTTGGCTTTCTTTGCCATGAGACATCGCTCCAGCATCACAGTTACAGCTGCTCGGTCAAAAAGATGCACTCTCCTCCATAGAAAATTCACTTTCATCTTGTCCCGGACATGTATCACCTTGATCCCCCAGAAGCTTTCCGGCTTGAAATTTTTTACACGTAAGTACCGGTCCACAACAAATCCCAGCGTGGGAAATTGGCAAGACCCTGCTTGGTGTGAGTAGAAGGCCATTGACGAGGTGCTGCCTGAAAAACATACCATAACTGATGATCGTCTCGGCTAAAGTGTCCGATATAGGCTTTAGTTGGAGAGTTTGCAAACGGGTGAACGCAGCGCCGATTCGAAGATCGAGTTCAATGCGGGCGGCTACCGCATTGGCTTGAAGGTCGTCTAGTTCAATAAGCGCCCGGGCGGCGCTCAGGACGTGACTGTGGTCGCATGAGTAAAATATCGGGAGGCGAGGATGTTGGGGCACACGCACGCTCTCTCGGTATTGCTAAAGCGAGCTCGTTTCACCACAATGCGATTGTTGCCCTCTTTTGCTTGCTTGCGAACCTCACTACCAATGTGTTCTCCTTCTCGATCACAATCCGTCCAGATAAAAAGAGCCTGGCAATATTTCGCTTGCTCTTGAATGTTATCTGCAATGGCCGTTTTGTCCTATATCTTAGTATTAGTATATGCGGCATGAGTTTACATAGTCCGTTGGACTCGTTTGGCAATAGTTACATACAGAGTCTACGCCTTCATGCACCGGGGCCTCGAATAGAGCCCCGGGTGGACAGGACAGCCAACCCCTGTATTGGCGTTGAAAATCCAATGAGGTCAAGTGCCCAAGGACGCTAGTCATCGTAACTGCGCAAGTTCCCCAGGGATTGCCGAAATTAAATTCGAAGACATAGTTCTTGACATACTGACTTCCCCGGACATGGAGCTACATCTACTTCAGCATACATCTCCCGGACGCATTGGAAGCACGCAACTTACTGTCTGAAAAGCACCTCCGGAGAGATGCTGCGCTACTGCCCTGGCAATAGCAGGCTTCTCAGCCACGCACAAGACCCTTGGGACTGGCATGGTTGAGGGGAACAGGAGCAGAGCAGGAAAGACACGAGAAAGACGCGAAAATTGGCGGAACATGCCGGTAGATGGCCTCAGGCATCCACATCTGGTTGGCCCAAGCTTCCGGCCCAATCGGGTAAGCGCGGGAATCTCTTTGTTTTGATGCGATCAAAAACATCCTCGACTCTTCTTCCTCCTCCGCTTCCCCTCCTCTACCTCCCCCCCCCTTGTTCTGCAGTCATCTTCCTTCCTCGCTCCAGCTATCATGGCATTGCCTCTCCCCACCATCGAGTCCGTCAAGGACTGCGCTTCTTTCTCGCACACCGTGCTCCCTTTTCTTTCGCAGTTGACTGTCTTGCCTGAAAGGCTCCAGCTGGCAGCGACGGCCAAGGATGTGGTAATCCTGAAGGATATCTACCTGTCGACCAACCCTTTTGTCTCGGCACTTGGCTTCTCTCTGCTGCTCTCAGCCTTCTTCCTGGTCTTCTCGGAGATCAACCGGAACTATTCGCAAGTTGATCGATTCTGGTCTCTCCTGCCTGCCCTGTACAATGTCCACTTCGCCGTCTGGGCGCGCATGTCCGATCTCCGTACCCATAGCCTGGATACCATCGCCGTTCTCTCGGTGATCTGGAGCGTAAGGCGCATCCTCCACATTGTTGATCCTATAACCCACAGCTGACATCTGCGCAGATTCGCTTAACTTACAACTACTGGCGCAAGGGAGGGTACAAGATCGGCTCCGAGGATTACCGATGGGAGGTTATCCGCTCCAGAGTGACCAACCGCGCCGTCTTCTTCCTCTTCAACCTCACTTTTATCAGTGTGATCCAGTCGCTCCTCCTGCTTCTCCTCGCCGCCCCGACCTACAACTTCGTTCTGCTTGCGCAACGCCCCGACTTGAAGTCCTTCGAGCTCCCCGACCTGGCCTTCTCGCGCGTCGCCTTCTTCTTCCTCATCATTGAATTCTTCGCCGACCAGCAGCAGTGGCATTTTCACTGCGCCAAGCACGAGTACCAGAACACCGCTCGCATCTCTGGCCAGTACAAGGATCAGTTCACCCCCGAGGACTTGGAGCGTGGGTTCGCCGTCACCGGACTGTGGTCGCTGTCTCGCCACCCCAATTTCGCCGCCGAGCAGGCCATCTGGCTCACTCTTTACCTGTGGAACTGCTACCGCACCGAGTCCTTCGTTCAGTGGACCGGCCTCGGCATCTTTGGCCTGTTCCTCATCTTCCAGGGCAGCGTCAGACTCACGGAGTCCATCAGCGCCAGCAAGTACCCCGAATACAGCGACTACCAGGCTCGCGTCGGACGCTTCATTCCCCGCCTGTCCGTGAAGCCCAAGTACAACGCGCCCAGCAAGAGGACGGTCGCCAAGAAGGAGAAGGAGCAGACCGAGGAGGCTTCTGACAAGCAAGAGAACAAGAAGGCCCAGTAGGGTCATTCGAGACCAAGTTGGCATCTTACCGATGATGCTTTGTTGTTTCTTCTTTTCTGTCAACTTTTCCCTGGCTTTTTTTTAAAGTAAATATTGTCATTTATCATTACTTTTATTATCCAATTTGAGATATTCCTTCTGCCTTTTTTGATTTGCTCTTTCTTTTAATCTTGGGACCCTACCCATGAACGTGGCGTTTAATGGAGAAACTCAACCTAATTCAATGGATCCATCTTCTCGACTTCATTGATTCCGCCCTGTAGGCAATCGTATGCACTTCAGATTATGAGGTGCACATAAACCTCGCCAAGCATTTCGACCACCATGGCACTTTATGACATCCTTTTCCTTCTAACCTTCCTACATCATTTCTGTAATGAATAGAATCAAACAATCCTTTCGGTTCAGATATTTGGATCAAGTACCTATCTCATGGTCAATGTCATCATCGCGGTGACCACCTAGTTTATAAAATTCCAGTCACGTAAAGTGTGGTACATGTATACATATAATCTGTACGGAGTAGTAGTCAACAGAACGAACCCCAAGATAGTCAGTCAGTCATACCAAGCCCTTACAAGACAGTTAATAGACTCATGCATACAACCAAGTAAATGTAAGATCAAATGAACATTTAACTACCTACTATACAATACAAATACACCCAACGCTTCTCAGGAGAGCGCAGTAACATCGGCAAGCGATAGATAGATAGATCGATAGGAAGAGGAGAGAAAAGTAAACCAGGAAGGGAAAAGACAGGGAGACATAGACAAATCGAAAAAAGATATCGCAGGAAACCTAATATTTATGGAAGGATGAACGGACGGATTGAGGGCAATGGCTTCGAAGAAAAGGGAGAGATATAAGGTGAATCGAGTAAAGGAGATCGAGATAAGGAGATGGAAGAAAAAGATGGAAAAGAAGAACGGAGATGCTTCTCATATCGAACAGAAAATAAATACAAAACACCATGGTGAGAAACAAGAAAAGAAAAAAGAAATTGATATATGTCCCCTCGTCAAAGCCGTGAAGATTTCCTGATCTAGGTAGATTAAATGAAAAAGGATGCAATCAATCAAATTCGTCTATGTCGGTTGCGGGGTTTGGTCTCTTCCATCTTTGCCCTGGGTCTCTTCTGATTGTGCTGGCTCAGGGGGCGCGATGGTGGTTCCTCCCTTGGCGCTGTTGAAGTACTTGGTGATCTCGCCAGATTCAGGGAAAGGACGGGGACCCAGTAGGCGGATCATGTCCTCACGGCCGAGGACTTCCTTGGAAAGGAGCTCCTCTGCGACGATGCCGACTTCCTTCTTCTTCTCTGTGAGCAGAGTGCGGCATTGGTCGTGGGCCTCGTTCACGATTCTGCGGACCTCGATGTCGATGTCCCGAGCAGTATCTTCGGAGAAAGGCTTGTGCATCTGCTGGCTGGGGTCCTCCTCGTAGTAAATGTATTTTAGTTTGGGAGACATGCCGAATTTGGTAACCATTGCGGTGGCCATCCGAGTGACCTTGTTGAAATCATCGCTAGCTCCGCTAGTGACGGTATCGAAATGCAGTTCTTCGCTAATACGGCCACCCAAAGTCATAGCCATGCGGTCCATCAGCTGGTTCACATTCATCAGGTAGGTGTCACCGTTAGCCGGCAAATATTGCGCATAACCCAAGGCACCCTGGCCGCGAGGAATGATGGAGACCTTGAGCAAAGGATCGGCCCAGCGGAAATACCAGCCACAGACAGCGTGTCCAGCTTCGTGGTAAGCGACGGTACGCTTCTCCTCGGGGGAAAGAACGAGAGACTTCTTCTCCAGACCACCGATGACACGTTCGATTGCCTGCTCGAAGTGCTTCATGGTAACGCGGTCCGCATTGGCTCGAGCAGCTGTGAATACGTGTTAGTTAATGTTTTTAATAAGAAAGTGGGAGAGGGAAAACCTACCAACTAGTGCCGCCTCGTTGACGCAGTTTGCGATATCAGCACCGGCAAAACCGGGTGTCAGGGCTGCAAGCCGGCCAGTGAGGAAGTCAATGTCTTCATCAGTGACAATCTTCTTCAAGTGAACGCGGAAGATCTGCTGTCGACCATCCATCGTAGGTCGGTCGATAGAGATATGTCGGTCGAAACGACCGGGTCGCATGAGAGCCTTGTCCAGGATGTCTGCTCTGTTAGTACCTGCCAGGACAATGACTTGATCCGACGTGTTAAATCCGTCCATCTCGGTAAGGATCTGGTTCAAGGTGCTCTCGCGCTCGTCGTTTCCACCGCCGAAGCTCTGCTTCGCTCGAGATTTACCGATGGCATCAATTTCATCAATGAAGATGATACAGGGCGTATTCTTTCGCGCGTTGGCAAATAAATCACGCACTCGGGAGGGACCAACACCGACGAACATCTCGACGAACTCGGAACCACTGACGCTGAAGAAGGGCACGCCTGATTCACCGGCAGTTGCCTTGGCTAGCAACGTTTTACCCGTACCAGGAGGTCCCGACAGAATAGCACCGCGAGGGATCTTGGCTCCGAGTTTCTGGAACTTCTCCGGGTGCTGAAGGAAACTAACGAATTCCATAATCTCCACCTTGGCCTCGTCCATTCCAGCCACATCCGAGAACTTAATTTTGATATCGGTCTCATGGTTGAAGCGCTTGGCTCGGCTCTTTCCCATACCGAAGAGGCCGCTCTGGCCGCCTCCGCCACCCGCAGCACGTCTAAACCACAAGAACGAACCGATCAACAAAAGTGTAGGGGCAAAGGACATGATGGTGGGACCCCACGATACTTCAGTCACGTAGGAGACGGGGATGCGCTCTGCGCTAGGAATTCCCAGTTCGTCCTGGGCCTGGTCCAGTCGGCGCTCGAAGCTATCCACCGAGCCGATGCTGAAGTAGAAGTTGAACATCGGGTTAACGGCGGGGGAATCAGGGTGGACACGAGACAGCGCATCACGGTTCATCTCAACCCGCACAACACTCTCATTCACGACCGTCAACTTCTGAACAAGACCCTTATCAAAGTACTCTGCCCGGAAGTCTTGCCACGTGATTTCCATTTTGTTTTCCCCGGGGAAGAAGCTGCGGTAGGTATAGTACGTTAGGAGCGAGGTGACCAGGAAGGACGCAGGATCGAAGCGAATCTCCATGACATTGAAACCGGGCTTTTTGCCCCCGTTCTTTCCTTGCTGGTCGCCCTTCTGCTGCTCCTCCTTCTGCTCATGCTTGTTTTCCTGGTGACTTTCCTCCTGTTCCTCCTGCCCCTGTTTCTGCTCCTTCGTCTTTTCCGACTCTTGTGATGATTTCGTTTGGCGCCTCATCTCCAGTAGATTCTCCTCGTAGTTCGATTGGAATTGCGTCATGTACCGGATCAAGTTAACGTAGTCCATCAGACTCAGGGGTCTCTCGGATTCGATCCAGCGATCCATGAATTCACGGACTTTGGGCGGAATGCCGTCCTTCTTCATATTTTTGTGCATATCGTCGATTAATTGATGTTGCGAGTCGGGCACTCGGTTCTTCAAGTGGTCCATGAAATGGCCCACCATCTCCTGCTCCTCCGAACTCAGGGCCGCCTGGGAATCCTCGGGTTTCTGGCCGTTGCTTTCGGGCCCGGGTGATTGATTCGACGGTTGCTGCTTGCCATCGTCTCCGTTCGGGGGTTTCGGGCCCCCCGGTTGCTGGGTGGCATATGTTCTCGCTTGGCGCGCTGCGATCAGCGACGAGAGTCTCGACTGGGAGAGATACGCGGATCGGGGACCTGCGCGGTAGATGTACTCCGCGGCTCTCCTCGAGTATTGAGCAAGGTTGCCTGGCCGCCGGAGTAGGGACGCCATGGTTCGAGGATGCGGAGCCCAGAGGCGAAGGCGGAGGGATAGGTCGAAAGGGGGTACGGGATGCGAATGGAAGCTCAGTAATAATGGCGGACTTCGGAAGCCATAGATCGGTTCGGCGAGGGGGAGGGGGAGGGAGGTGCGGCGAGAGAGGGAGGGAGAGATTGAAAGCTCTTGGGGAAGCTGTCACCGAGCAAGAAGCGATTCCCGCCTTCTTTCGGCCTGGGAATTTTCGCCGTTCCGTCGGGCTGAGTCATCCGCCCGGATTTAAGCTGGGAGAAGCCGAGCGAACGCAGTCGATCAGCTCACACGAGTCTGGATTTAGGATTATGTGATTAAGGGTACTAACTATGTAACTGTTGATGTAGAGCGTGGAGATGGTAATTACAGACGGTTTCTCTTTTATACACATGGCACAGTCCTACCGATTTGCATTCTCGCCGTGAGGTCGCGCCAAAAAGACTCCCGCCCACCAAGAATTGCTTTTTACAAACCGCTCAGAACATTTGAACAGAGGAAGAATAGGGGAGATTAAACGAAGTGGAGTGGCGCTTGACGATGCCCGATCCCTGATACAAACGCCGTGTATCCCTAAAACGATGAGTTGATAGCAATAAAAAAAAAGCGACACGCACCAAGCGCATGATATACCCAGCCTTGACTCCTGGTTTCGACGTCCCGAATGGGAGAAGTAACTTGTTGATGTTTCGTACCATCGTCATCATCATCACTAATCGTTCTGCGACGGGCCGCCGGCGTCAAACACGGGGAAGCTGGTTGACATATCCGCCCAGTCCCACTCGATGGTCATTGGCATCTGCCAAAGATCTTGCGGAACAAAAGGTTGTTGGAAAGACGTCATCGGAGCTTCGGCAGATGTCGTGAAGGGCGGCGGATCACCGAAGCCCACACCATCCAAGCCTGGAGGGCTGAGCATGTCCGGGAACTCCTGACCCAGCCCAGTCATAGGATTCAGGCTGTCTGGTAAATTGGAAGAAAGTCCATTAGTTCCGGAAACCTGGCCGGAGGCAAAGGCCCTCGCCTCACTTGAGATGTTGGGACCCGTTTCACCTAAGCCGCTTGAGAACATAGAAGACGAGAATGGGGGAGCCGTGGGTGGAGCGCCTGCTGGTTTGGGTGTGGATGGAGAGGGATGGGAGGTTTCGTCGGGGGTATTCTGCTGTAAGTTGCGGGTGTCGTCCGCGGTGGTCTTGCGTTTCTTCTTGGAATGTGACTCTCGCTCGGCCTTGTCAAGAACCACCTGGGCGATCCTTTCAAATTCGCCACATAGCCCAAGCATGCGCTTGATACTCCCATTCGACTCGTCTGAGACCAGCGTTGATAGGAAGTTTACCACAACATTCATGAGTTTGACGTCAGACCGAGCCCGGGCATCATTGGGATTTTGGAGAATATTGGCAAACAAGGTGACCAGTGCAGATACAGGATAGTAGAGAATCAACCTAGATGCTGTAAGTGGAAGAGCCGTGAAAATGTCAATGACGCAACCTACCAGACGCAAGCAAAGTCGCCCTGGGGAATGTATTTGATCAAATTGATCGAAGCTCTGGCTGCTGTCACGCAGAGCACGGCCGATAGGAAGACTCTTGGGTTCAGAGGCCTGGCGTTCAGACCTTGAATGGCATAGTTGGAGAGCCGGCTTGTCCAATACCCGTGATGAACAGACATACGGTGTATTGTGGTCAAGCAGTTGTAGTAGGCAAAATGGAGCACCACAACATGAAGAATGAGAGGGGTATGTGTGGCTTTTATTTCGTGTTCCGGACGGAAGTCGAGAGGAATGCTGTCCTTCCACTCTTCAAGCTCCTTGTCCAGTTCTCCAATGGTGTTCAGCAGCTCGCCGTCGGATTGTTTCGATGCCCTGGCGGAATAAAGGCGTTTATAAACCTGACTCTCGATGGTGGCAAATCGACACATTGACCGGAACAAGTTGAACTTGCTCCTTCCATCTGACAATGGCACATTTCCAATGTTGTCCGGCGGGTCTTCGCTCGGTAGCTCGACATTCATGTCATCGTCATCCTGAACGGGAGGGCGACCAGACCGAAGGCAAATGCTGTTACCTGTATTAGAGGGCACGTCTACTCGGAGGTTTCGGTAGTTGGCACTTACTCTTTGTCAAGGAGATAGGCAATCCAAAAAACTCTTTTCCGCTGCTCAACTTCGACCGGGTTCAATCCAAATCCTGAGCCTCTTTTGTGAAGACCAATGCTGTGCGACAGTCTAATGGCGGCTGCGACCAAGAAAAATGAGGGTTGGGGATTTGGGGTTCCTTGAAGGAAGAGAGACTGGAGGAGGTTAGACATCGCTCTAGATTCTTTGCAAGCACTTGACGCCACTCACCATTCCGAGTAATGCTTGCACACTAAGCAGATCAGTATTGCGCATAGTGAGTTCGGTCAAAACTCCCATGGCATTTTTCAGATAGAGCCATGCTTTCTTGTCCTCCTCCTGAGGAACCAAATTGCTCATCACCCGTAGCCTGTGGGATATCGCAAGGACCACGTTGATGCTGGCCCACCAGCCCGAACCTTCGTATGGGTCACGGGAATACTGACGTTCCACCAGATGCATGAAAGTCGGTTCATGAAACAACGGGAACATGCAATTGAAGTTCTCGAAGAAATCTCGGAAAAGCGACAGCGCTTCCTCCTTCGGGGGTAGAGGTTTAAAGACGCGCCGCGCAAAAATGTCACTAAAAATCTCGGGCTTCCAATACATCCACTTGTTGTCGTCGACGTAGGCCGATGATATCATATCCTGGAACGACGTGTCTCCTGTCTTCTCATTGACCCACTGAATACCCTTGGGAGAAAATATCGAAAATCCCGATGATGATCCTGTCGTGGACTGTTAGTATACTAAATTTCTCAGCGAATATTCGGGGCAAGGCCCTCCGCATACCAATATACCGCGTCTCTCCACAGTTGTTGGTCACGAGGGAGCACATCATGTCCGACAGGCCCTCGACTTCGGTTTCCGATTCCTTGGTCGAATCTGGGGAAGTCGCAGCCGTACGCGGACTGGAGTGCGAATCCATGCGAGGGGTCGAGTGGCGGGAGGTGGTGGTCTGCTGCGATTGGGCGGCCGAGCTCGATGCATTAAATTTGTTGGGACTCTTCATGGCACTCATTTGCCCGGCCGCAAAAGACCTATCGGCCAACCGTTTCTCCAAAGTTCCCAGGTCGGTCTTCCCACCATCATCCTCCGACAACAGACCGGACAGTCGTAGTAGCGATTCCATTCGCCCTAATCGATTTTCCAGGCCTTCGATGTATTTCGCACTGCACATTCCAGCGTCAGCGAGTAGACAACAAGGCACCTCCAAGCAATGAGCGGGCCGGGGAGGATGCCAGCAAGCTTACCCTTTCGGCGGGTTGCGTTTCTTTTCAACCTGAGTGAAGACACATTCCGTCTTGTAATTGATGCAGTGCGAGCACTTGGGCATTTTGCCATCGCATTTGATCTTCTTCTTCCGGCACATGTCGCAAGCCTGTAGGGGCACGGGTTAGTCCGCCGAACGTCGCGCCACTTCACGCGCATACGGGCCACGGCACTCACCCTCGCAATCCTTCTTCGTTTCGGGTCATTGTTATCGTCGCCCAAGCCCATGCCGGAGTCATCATTGAAAGTCGGGTTGGGGAGGGCGGAGGTGATCGGGGAACCGTCGTTATTGTTGTAGGCGCCGAAGAGATGGGGCTGTTGGTTCATCAGCATGGGCATATCGAAGCCCATGCCGTCGGTCCCATCCCCGAGGCCATCCATCACGGTCGGACGCACAGAGTAAGGGGGAGGTGGGAAAGGCAGGGCAGCTTGAGCTTCCCAATGACGGAGTGGAGTCCAGGCGAAGCGGGTATTTGACTCGAGCGTGATGCGGGGTCCGGCCACGAGAGAGACGTCAACGCTGAGATGCAGGGTCCGTTCGTTGTTGATTTCTGAGCAAGTCCCTTTGTCGGGAATCGGGGGATTTCATGAAGAAAACGTGGGTGGAGATCTTCAGGTCGCAGGTCAGGGTCAGGGTCAAAGGTCAAAGAGGAAGGAAAGCGTCGAGTTTAGTTCAAGTTGCTGTGAGGGTTTGGCTTACTCAATCAACTTTTTCGTTCTCGCTCTTGTCCGTCAGTGCACGTGGCAACAGCAGTTTTGACAGGAATGCCAGTCGGTACAATAAGAGAGAGAAATCTCAGCGGAGATGGATTCTTAGCATCTACGTGAATGTTTAAAAAAGGAATGACTCTACGGTGACGAAGGGGAAAGGAGGGCAGATCCGTCCGTCATGATCGAAGGCCGCCCGTAATTCGTACGGAGTCAATCAGCTTGTGAATAGTGCTGCCTTTTTTTTAATTTTTAATTTTTAATTTCTGACCTTCTTCTTATTTCTTTTCTTTCTCGAAGACCACAGACACAGGTCGACTAAACCACATCCAGTATGACTACACTCACCACCGCACCGGCTCCAGCGCCCGAACGAACTAATCAACGCCCTCGTCCTGCTCGTCCACGGATTTCGCAACGTCCGATTCCCGAGATAAAACACGTTTCAAGTGGGTTCGTCCTCGGCGACGGCTGTCTTGCCTCCGTAATCGCCGGTCAGCCTTTGCTTGGCTCTCGTCTTTGCTTCTTTGAGTCTCCGACGAGTTGGCCTCGGATCCCCGTTCTTCCGGCCGCTTTCTTTGACCTTGAATGCTCTCCCGTATTCGTTATCGTATGATTGGAGCTGCCGTTCGACAAGATTCACGGACAGGGTTCTGGAATCAGGCGCTTCTCCTGGCTGTCGATCACTTTGGGTTGTGGCCTGAAAGAATCCCACCGATCTCAGGTACCTCGTAAATCCGATCCTTGTTAGATCGTTATCGTCGGAATTGTCCTCGACTTGAGTATTCCGTAGTCTGCACTGCACATGCTCTTACCCTATTCCAAGACGGGATGGCGCCATGTCTACGTCAAGCCCGCCGTCGATCTAGTCTCGAGTTTGGCAGAAATTAGAATATCTGGTCAGTGAACTATTAAACTAGTCAACTAGTTAAGTTCTCTTTTATCCGCTTAGCTAAGAAAGTCTATTGTCGCCGGTCATAACCTCCTTGAAGACGACCGCGAGACGACCGGGATACCTGGTTAAACAATAGACCTAGTACATTGACCTCGGACGAAAAACACCATGAAAAGTAAATGTCAACAACCAATCGGCTGGAAAATATAGCATATGTTCTTGTAAATTATCAGGAGCGGCGATCTCATCAGGATATATCAATGTACATGTCTCCACAGAGTAAAGTCGAGAAGAAAAAGCATCTCGGCTTCGAGAATCCCACCAACGCCACGCTATGCACCCAAAAGTTATAATCTATTACACGGGATGATACTTGCGTATCATCACCAGTCTCCCTTCCGATTCCGCAGATACCCTAAGGTGTGGTCAAAGGGGCGAAGTTCCGCGGCGGCTCGGTCCCCATGCGGCTCTAGGTATGCTTGTCGAGGAATTCCTTGGCCTCGTTGATCTTGGTGGCCAGGTACGGGCTGCCGCCACGATCGGGGTGGTTGAGAAGCATGAGCTGGCGGTGCTTCTTGCGGACCTTGTCCTTGTTGAGGGTACGCTCGCTGTCGAGTTGATTAGAAGGGTGCCTAGGCCGAGTTACTGAGAAAAGGTCGTGAAGGGAACATACGGGAGCTCAAGAATCAAAGACGCTTCGCGACGAGTCATCCGGGTTTCAAATCCTCTGTCCACAGGTCAGTCAACTGTTGCGTCATCTCGCCAAACCGCGTCGGCACCGGGACGAAGACGAACCCCTTGTAAAAAGCCTTTCCCAGACTGTTCACACCTCCTCTGGAGCGCTGCAAAGCGACGTAACCGGCACGGCCCTGCGAACAAAGTTAGAAACAACCTGGTCAGCGACGATGGCGGAGTGCAGCGATGCGGCCTTCCACCCCTAGGACATACCAAGAACGCGGCCGTAGCGACACCAAGTCCCATAGCAAAGGTAGACGCCATTTTGAATATCAGATAGCAACCAAGATAATAGAGGATCAAGCTGTGGACAAAAGTCAACGAGAAAGCCGAGGATGAGAGGTTGATGTTGGGGGAGAAAACGGCGGCCGTCGAGATAAAATTCGGAGAGGCGGCGCCGATGCCCGTTCGGGATTAGCGTGGGAGCCGGCGAGATCTGCTTTCTTCCGTCGACTTCGACTTCATCTCTTCTACACGCCAATTTCCATCAGCCAAGCGGCGTCTGCAACGGGCATGGCTCGCACTTCTGCGGGAAAGTGCCATCTTTCTTCGCCCAAGTGGACTGTGCCGTTCACTGTTCACAGTGTATGCAGTATCACTTATGCTACGTATACACCACTACCTACAATACAAATACGCATGCCAACTGTGCCTAGTCCTTCTCTTTCACACTGCCAATCGTTTTCATCAAGCCTACTATAACCCTTTTGCTGATGCCATCCACCCAGGTGTAAAATAGCTCTTTGCTGGTCCATAATGTAGATGCATGCGCATTGAAACTGGCTTGCACGTACTGTCACTTCGAAAGGTAGAAGAAACAGACGCCTGCAAAGTATAGCCGGGAAAAAAGAAGAGAAAGCGAGAGTAGAGAGCACTTCTATCGGTAGTGGACTTCTATTAAGAAATATCCTCTTCTTCCGTCAAATGGGAGGAGGGAGGTGAATCTCAAGGATCATGGACCGCAACTTGCAGCACGTTTCTGGTATCATATCGCTCGCCCATAGACCTCGTCGAGATGGACTTGGGACCTAATCTCTTCTTCAGAGAATCTGATGAGGGGAAGTCTCCAGGAAACCACGTCTAACGGTAGATTTTCCCAGCTCGGTCCAGCGAGAGCTGCCATAGGAAAGCGGGAAACCAAAGCGCCCAGCAACTTCCAGTATCTGTTCGCTGCCGCAATTCACTGGACGCAATTCCAAAAATAGATGGCAGGCATTAACCGGCAACTTCCAGTATCTTGATCTTGCCTCCATTCCATCTAACCAATGGGGAGGGGCGAATATCACAGATCACGGAGACTTCCATCTATCAGGTCCTAAATTGGTAATCGTGACCTCATCGTGAAGCTGTTCAATTCGAAACGCTGTCACGCTCCCATTCACAAACCCCCTCCTCAGTGAATTCACGCTCTGTCGTCGCCTGATCTCATGTGCTCTGACCCCCCAGGGATCCAACATAAAAACCCCCTCCTTCTCCCATCTTCCACCTTCTTTATTCTCTTCCCTCTTCAACTTTTTCTTCACCTCCCAAACATCATCTCTACATCCAAACAGTCGCAGCTTCCTAGCTATCTCGATCCTATTGCAATCATTCCAAACCTTTACACAATCAAACAAGTAAGATAATCACATATACCCTCTCCTTTTCCTATCCACTCTTCCAATGATTCTCGTGACTCTCTCCCTTTGATCTATTTGACTGATGAAATGACAGAATGTTGTTCTTGTGGACTGTTGTGGCCTTCAACTTATGGGGTGCATATCATCCTGTGCCAGGATTCATTCATCCCAACCAGAACATCGTGACGAGAGCCAAGGGCGCCTTCATGGCAGCGTGCACGGCAACGTCTGTCACTAAAATGGCGAAGAACATCTATCACACGAACATTCATCACACGAACAAATATCGCACAAGCCGCCAAGACGAAAGCTCGGTTGGGATTGCAGTTGGATTTCCTAACGTCACGTCACTGAGTGTGTATCGCATGCGGGCTCCAGACGATGATTTCCGCTGCTGGGAGTGGGAGTCGGGCCCTGAGCAACCTTTCATCCCCCCCTCGGAAGAAGCTTCGTGGTACTTGATCTCCGCAAACGCTGCCTATGCTCTTGTGCAATACACTCGTCGCCAACGGGGCTTTTCCTCCCACTCACAAGATTCCAAGAGGAAGACTGAGTTGGCCCATGGGAGTAAACAAGGGACAACATCTAGCTCTGTGGACGTCGACAACTGCTCCAGCAACGCTGAAACGAATGCACCTCCCAACAGCGAGATGGAGACATCCGCCGACCTTGTCAAGGAGCCCAAAGGTAAACAGGTTGCTAGGGAACCACCAACGATGCCCGCGAACTCGCACTCTGAGGTGAGTCCTTCGTCTCCCCACTTGGCCGGACGGCAATTTAATTCTGAGCAGGTGCATCCGGAGGAGATGACCACCGTGGAGCCCAAGCCACGCCCAACGATGCCTGCGGAGTCGCACTCTGAGGTTGGTCCTTCGTCTCCCAACTTGGCTGGACAGCAATCTGACACTGAGCAGGGGAGTCCGGAGGAGACGGTCGCCCCGGAGTCTAAAAGTGAAGAGGCTGCTAGAAAACCTTTGATAGTGCCTACAAGCTTTTGCTCTAAGGCTTATCGTTTGTTTTCCTACCTGGTCAGGCTGCGACCCAAGACTGAACAGGCGGACCCGGAGGAGACAACTACCGTGGAGCCTAAAGAACCCCCGACAGTCCCCGCAGAGTTGTGCTCTTACGCTGCCCCGCCGTCTCCCCACCTGGACGGGCAGCGACCTGAGACTGAGCAGGTAAATCCGGAGGAGACGGTCGCCTCGGAGCCCATAAGTGAAGAGGTTGCCAGAGAACCCCCTACAACCCCCGCCGAGTCGTGCTCTGACGCTGGACCTTCGTCTTCCCACCTGACCGGGCAGCGGCCTGAGACTGAGCAGGTGAATCCGGAGGAGACGGTCGCCTCGGAGCCCACAAGCGAGGAGGTTGTTAGGGCATCCCCCACGACGCCCACAGCTTCGCAGTCCGAGGTTAGCCCTTTATCTCTGTATCTGGCTGGGCAGAATTCTAATACTGAGCAGCTAAATCCGGAGGAGGCAGCCACCACGGAGCCTGAAGGTGGAGAAGTCGCCATGGAACCCCCCACGAAGCCCGCAGAGTCGCACTCTGAGGCTGGACCTTCGTCTTCGCACTTGGCCGGGCAGCAACCTGAGACTGAGCAGGTGAACCCGGAGGAGACGGCCGCCACAGAGGGCGACGCCAACTCGGCCAGCAGTCGTCTTCGTCCCAGAAAGTGCCGACCCAGCAAGGCGCGACGGGACCGCGCGAAAAGACGACTCGCACACGAGGCAGCCGAAGCCGCTCAACTTGAGGCCGAGGCAAATGCGGATGCGCCCAGCGACCTTGCCCCGGAGCCTAAAGGCAAAGAGGCCGTCAGAGATCCTCCCAGGACTCTCGCGGACTTGCCTACTGAGGCAGACGCGGCTCTGGAGGCACTTGCTGAGGCTGGGACGACTGGTCATGGCCAGATGCTCGAAGGTGCCGCCGAAACCTTCACACCTCTTGCGGACTCGCTCGCTGAGGCCAGCACGACTGATGGGCCGAAAAACAAGCCCAGTCAGAAGAAGCGGCGTCAGCTAGCCAGACGTGAGGCGGAAGCGGCCCTTGCTGCTCAGGCCGAGGCTGGCCCCAGCTAGGGGGTTTCTTAGACGACTGCGTGGAGGGAGAATTGGAGTCCTCGCTTGTCCCCGCACCCTAGCAACCTGATACGGGTGTAATATCTCCATCGAAAGGCCGATGGCCCAGGTACCTGTACCCTTGCGATTCATCTTCGAATCGATATCCCGCCCTGCTATAGTGGGGGTTGAATCGCCGATCGCGGACCTGGAATTTGTGTCCAATCATGGTCTGAGCTGGAAAGTATCCTCAGGGTGGTCTTCTTTAGGTGTACCTTGAAGGCATAGGGGAAACTTGCAGTGGGTCAGTCTCCGAACTGATCCTTCGAGGTTCCTTCTACTTCTTTGGTTAACTTGGCAAGATTTGCTGCGCAGGTGCGGACCAGAACAGGGCCATGACGGGTCCACAATATTCCTGTTTGTTCCTTGGCATTCAAGCGGATTACTAGGGAGGTTACTGGTGCCGTTGGACTAAGACTGGAGGTGGTGGTGGTGGCCGGGTTGAGTTGACTGTATTGAGTGAACATCTACGATGTCAAGTGAGTGGCTCCTGAAATTCTCTTTCTCTTGGAAGATGATTGGAAGCTAACGGATTGAATTACACTGCAGAATTCTTTCTTTCTTTTTTTGCTGATATTACCGTGTTGTTTTGTTGTTGTCTGCTGTTTTCTTGTTTGCTTCTGTTATTCTATCTTCTTGATTTATCTTCCCGGTTCAACTTGTTGTTCTGCTACTTTTCTTATACTGTAGTTCCTTCTCAGGAACAATTCCCTGTTTTGTGCGCAAGAAAACACACTTGGCAAAAGAAAAGGCGGAAAAGAAAAGGTAAAAGACGAAAGAACAGTTCTAAGAGACGAGAGAAACCCCCAAACAAAACGAGGGGAAATCTTTGATGTCTCCGGTATCAGGACTCTGATATCATAACCTTCAATTCGGTCTGGCCAAGTGGTCTCTCAAGTCTCCGATATCTTCTCGATAAGGAGCATAATCCACTTGATCTACTGTAAGAAGATTTGAGAAAATTGCGAGAGCCTTTTCTATCAATCGATCGAATGATTGTCTTCAATTTGTTGTCTTTCGTGCAGCCAACAATTCCAAACCAACTACTCAAGTCAGGCCAACCCAGGCCAACGGGAAGGTACATTGCATCCAAGAACCAAATGTGCAAGCGCTATCGACCAGAAGAAAACCCCCCCAAAATGAAGTCCAACCAACGAGTCAATTTGCAGACAGTCACGCCTCTGGAAAACCTGAATGCAAAGCTCACCGGAGCCAAAGTCCCAACAAATCGGCTCGACATTTCTCCCAAAAAGACGGGAAATGTAATAATCCAGCCAAATGCAGCTTGAAAATGAGTTCAAGAAAGCATTCTCGCTGCCTGGCTCCACCCATCCACGCCTTTCCCTCGTTGTTTCTCGAGAGGATGAAGCATGTCTGTCACCAATCTTATCCAGAATCAATATGGATACACACAGACAGACAGGCAGGAAACAGTCGACAACTGAGCATTCAGAGCTTGAGCATGAGTTTAAGAAAACATCCTCGCTCTGTCTTCTCTCTCTCATGTCGAGAGATCGTGACTCCAAGCAAGCAAGCAAGTTTGCAATAACCTCGACGCAGATCCATCTACTGACCATCGATCAATCTACTTCTTTCAGCTTCTGCGTCGGCAATCCAGCACTTCGCTCTTCTGGTCAATATTGCGCTTCGAGTCGGATAAAGTACGTTGCTCTTCCTTCCTTCCTGCCCTCCTTCCAAAACAGTCAACTAATAGTGCCATCTTAGTTGAGCAGAAATCCACCTACTACATATCTCTGTAAATACATCCTCTGATAGATTCACTGCGCTGCAAAGAAAACCAACACAATCCACCAGATAAACGAACCTCCCACAAATGAATATACCTGTTTGCCTATATACCCACCACGCCGCACAATCCCACGAATCTCTACATCTTACGAAAACGAACAACGAGTTACGGAAAAACGACCATGACTTAATGGTAGCCACGAAGACGAAGACGAAGACGATCCCGATAACGAACAGAAACAGAATAGAAGGGCGGAGCCAGCATATCACGACGTTCAGGGCTTCTACACCAAGGACAACAAAGATGGGATCATACATAATCCAAGCCATGCTCGCAGCAGTTGGAGAAAGGAATCCGAATGGATTGCCCTTTATTGTACGTGAAGCACTAGCCGTCGAACCCATTTGGCATTTCGGCTACCTTTAAAGCAACGAGAAAGGGGGAATAAAAAAGTTCTCTATCCGACAGCGCTTCTTGGGCCTTTATCTTGCGGTGGGGGTTTTTTCCTTTTTTTTTTTTTTTTTTTTTTTTTCGTTCTTTTTCTGTTCTTCTGGGTCCGGTTGCCGCTGTTTCAAGCGCGCAAAAGAGAATACGCAACGGGCCAGTTCCCCATCTCACTGCTGAACAACTGAATAAGACTGGGCTCGAATACATGGCCAACGGTCTCATGCAAAAGAAACAGCCAACTTCTGCACGGCCACCGATCACTCCGCAACTGCAAAAAGCCTTGCCAGTTAGAACGTCGCCGCCATCAGCCAGCAAATCGCCAAGATCCCCCATGTCACCGAGAACCGTCACTTCTCCACCCAGGCAGCCAGCCGCCACAGCATCTTCAGCTAGAAATGAGCCGCTATCCATCGATGCAGTGCTCAACATGGAAGAAGAGGACATTTACGGGCCGACTCCACCCGGTGGATTGCAGTCACTTCCAGCTTCACCGCCCGGCAGAAAGACTCGCGCTAGCGTCCTAGCAGCTCAAAGGGCCATAGCGGATATTCAGACAGTGATTGAAGAAGATGAGGATTTGACAGCGTTGGCCGAGGAAACAGTGTCTGATGAAGAGCTTGAGCGAATTGTACAGGGAGATTGCGGATGCAAGATCCCGAAACAATTGCTCAACACGATCTAATCGGATACAGACCAAAACAAAACAAAACAAAAAAATGTTAAAATTAGAAAAAAGGACAGCAGGACCTGCTAGCTGGGAATCATTTTCTTCTGGGTATGCAGGGTCTCGGAAGTCTCTGAAAACAGCTTGAAAGCTTCAAATCAAGACATTATCCATATTACTCTACTCTTACTATCATGATCGTATTCTTCCTTTTGACCAAGTAGTTAATGGTGAGACTATAGTGAATTCTGTAATGTATATGCTTTGTCCAAAGCTCAATTCCCTTCGAATCGACTACTCGATACTGCCATGATATGATAATATCTTCATTCAAAGTATGTCCCGTTATGGGATCTGTATACAGAAACAGAACGGGAAAAAAGTGGGGTCGAACAAGAAGACCCATGCAGAAGACCGGAGTCTTTATACGGAAGAGAGCATGCAAGTGTGGGGTGGAAGAAATGGTACACAGAATGTGAGGATTGAGGAACCACGGATATAGAGATCGAGAAAAAGAGAGGGAGCGAGTGAGGAGGGGGACAAAAAGACTAAAAGGAAATGTGATCAAAGAACGGGACACAGGAGAACAAAAGAAATATCAGGCAATCCAAGAAGGCCATCATGCAGATTAGGGAACCCAGGTCAGTCACACCGAGTGCGACGCCTGGGTGGTACAATCCCTGGGAATGTGTCATACACGCGAATGGGGGTGTTCAACTCCAAGGCAGCAAGGGCCTACCAAATGGCAATAATCGCAAAATTCGCAAGAGCTCATACATGTCATGAAAGTTATCGCTGTAGTACAGCAGAGGGGTAATCCGCTGGGTTATATGTTAAGGATGATAAGGGAAGTGCAGAACGCAAAGGGTAAAAAGTGATATCAGAACAGATAATCAAAAAAAAAGTAGAGATAAAAATGTCGGGTGCGCAAAAAGGTAATGGAAGAGATTTTTACTCCTCCATACGACCAAAGACGCCGTCATCGTCATCGTCGGCTGCAACGGGGCGATTCCCGAAATCGACGTCCGCATTGCGGTTTTGGCGTGTAGTACGATCGGTATCTCCCATCTTCACATCTCGCTCATCCGACACCTTATACGACAGGGATGGGTTGTACGAAAGAGAGAAGAAGATGTTGGGTGTGGAGTTGGCGAAGTCCGTACCCGTTTCCTTGAGACCTTCCCGGCCTAAGCTCTGGCTCTGGTTGCCACTGGGGCCATTCTGGTCCAGGTAACGAGTCGGCAAAGGGGGTACAGGAGGGACGCTGGGGGAGAGGGGTACGGGTCCGGTGCGAGGGGTGCCAAAGTTGCAGAGACCAATGGCCGCGGCCAGGTCTGCCTCGTCGTCGTCTTGCAACTTGGCCTCCGCCGTGGAGGGTCGGGTGTCGATGCTCGAATGGCGGAAGTGCGAAAACGCCGGCGAGGCCCACGGAGCACTGCCCGTGAACGAGCTCGACGGGACGGACTGGTAGGAGTGGGCGAAGTGGCCGATTGAGTTACCGACGCTGTACCGCTTGCCCGTGGGTTCGGGGGACATCTCATAATCGTCCTCATCCTCGTCCACGGGTGGTGGAGTCGTCTCTGCCGAGCTGAGACCATCCCGAAGCTCGGACGAGGCATCTGGCGATGCGGAGGAGACCTCCGAATCGGCATCCGGGTTCTCTGCGGCCGGGTCCTCTGTCATGGTGACCAGGACCGACGCCGCTTCCAGCAATTGAACTTGCTGGTGCTTGGAGATCAAGAGCTTCGATGTAATAGCCCACGCAGGGTCGTGTTCCCACCTAAGTTCCATAAAACGTCAACCGACTACGGTCCACCATGACACGGAGGGAGAGAGAGAGAGAGGGAGAAGGAAAAGGAGCTGCAACAGTTCAGGGGGAGCGGAATGACCACGAGGGCGACCTTGCACAGAGCCGACATGGCGCATCTACTCCGGCTCGAGCCAGACGGCAGGATGGCGGGTTGGGGGGAGGATACACACATATGCTTGGACAAGCAGCTGCCATGCTTATACCCTTTCCCGCAACGATCGCAGCGAAGTTCCGCCATCACGCGCTTCCCATCGCCTTTGACCAAGTGCGACCCCTCGCTGGCCCGACGGTTCCGGTTTTTGGTACTGACGGGCTTGGACGCGGGATTGCTCCCATCCACAGCGGTGGCCGATGATTCATCGTTGGACTGGTTGGGGGAGGATTTGCGAGCGACCGGGGGTTCCTGACTGGGGCTGTTGACGCTCCGCGAGAGATAAGAGCCGAAGCCGGAGGGGGCTCCGACCGAGCTAGACTCCAAGCCCTTCCGACTCCCACGACGGTGCGAGGACACCGGTAATCCCACCGATTCCCCTGAGGAATCCTTCATCGACGCTGCGACCGCGGCGGCGGCAGCATTGGCGGCGGCAGCGGTGGTGACACTCTTTCGACGAGTGATTCGGTGGTTGGGGTTGACGGCACCGAGCGAAATGGAGTGGGAATGGTGGCGTGGGTTGGATTGAGGTAGAGGGCGAGACAGAGACAATTCCTATTGCCATGAAGTTTACACGAGTTAGCCATACAAGATGAATTTATTATTAGGAATCCGATGGGGCCAAATTTATTGTTGTTTTTTTGTTTTTTTTTTTTTTTTAAAAAAAAAAGCAAGAAAGATTATTGAGTAGGAGAAAAAAAAAACCCCCCGTACCTTGAAAGATGCCATGATGAGTACGTGGACACTCGGGCGATCAATCTCCTGAAAGCCCGGTGACAACTGTCGAGATCAAGACGACGTAGAGATTTGGTCAACGTTGGTGAGAGTAGCACGTAGCGAAAGAGTTGAAAGGAGGAGGGAACTTTTTTTCCTGAGAAAAAAAAAATAACAAGAGAGAGAGCTGATCTTTGGGGATAAGAAAGGGTTCTTTGGACAAAGAGCGGGCAAGAAGGACAAGGAACCAAGGAAGGCCGAGGGGCTGGCTGGGGCAAAAGTAACGGAAGTGGGCAATTGGGTTGGAGGCAATTGAGAAGGGAAAGAAAGAAGGGGACCAAAAAAAAAAAAAAAAAAGGGTAGAGAAGAGAGAGAGGGAGAGAGAGAGAGAAGGCGTACCAGAAAGAGGGGGATGGGCAAAGAGGGAGAAAGAGGAGACGGTCGAAAGTCAAAGAGGAGAAGTTCACCAGAATTCAGAAATAAAAAAAAAATAAAATAAAAAAGAGGACAAGCAGGAATCCAGAGCGAGTTGGACTGGACAATGGAGCAATACCGTAATGGCCAGTGGTATTCTGGTATCTGACGGACGCTAAGAGATAGAATAATTTCTTTTAATGGGATTTATTAAATATTCTATCAGCTCTCAAGAAAAAAAAAGAAAAAAGAAAAAAGAAAAATACAAAAATAAATGGGATTTGCGGGGGCCTTTTTGGGCCATTTTGGGTTCGCTAGTCCTGGTTGCTTTTCAGCAATGCGGGGGTTTGGGCGATCGCCAGCTCTGAATTTAATTAATTCTTGGTCAACATGTCCGGGGCTCCCAGCTTCTGCCAGATTTCTCGAGTCGACACTCGACAGGATACGCCGAAAGGAAAGACGAGACATTCTCGATGAACCGTCACGTTATTCTCTCTGCCCTTCTCCCCCCTCCTTCCAATCACCTCGACCGGTGCCTGACTAACAACCCGCGACGAGGCCAACGAGGCCGGTGATGCCATCAGCTCCACTCGCATCTGGGATCCGATGACTGGGCAAGGGAAATAAAAGTGGTCCTGATGATGTTATCGGCCAATTCCGTTGCAGCGACCGACTTTCCCATCATGAAACGGTTCTTTCGAGAGAATTGGAAAACCCTCGATGGGGTAATCGAAGGCTACGATCATCTGCACCGCACGAGGTCACGGGTAGCATTGGAGAGGAGAGCGCTGAGAGGGGGGGACTGACCAGGTACCTTTTTTTGCTTTTTCTCTTTATTTTTAATTTCTCCTTTCGCCCTTTCTTCTTCTCTTGAATCCTCGTGATTTCGAATTGATTTTCTTCGACAATTGAATGCAAGAAGAAGAAAGACATCTGACAAAGCCGGCTAAGAACAGGGCCAGGATGCAAAAATAAAATAAAAATCACTCAAGGTGGTTTTGTTCCGGTGACCATACCGTAATACGCAGGAATCGGCGCATCGACCGGTCTAGGGCCTGTCGGGTGGGCAAATGATGTCATGTTCCCATGACGGTATCGTACCGTATGATTGGCGGAGTGGCGGCTCCCCCGGAGTGTTAGTTCAGTTCCTCGGGCGTGACCTGTCCGCTCTTATCTTTCATTCCTTGCCTGGCACTGACTTTCTGATTTCTTAGTCACGGAGCTTACTCGGTAGGTTCGTGGTTGCTTGCCCTGGAGCCTATGCCCGAGTTCATCCTAGGAGCTGAGCTGGAGCATTCTTCCGGTCCTCGTGGTGACAGCCCATTATTGGAGCGTCATTGTTGTTTCAGCGATCCATGTTGCCCGCTGCCCAACCAGTCGGTCCTTGAATAAATAGTGGGGACCCGTCCGGGCTAGTTGTCACCTTTGCATTGGATTTCTTTGCTTTTGATTTTCCTTGTTGCCCTTCCCACATTTTCCCGACCGAGAATCACGCAACGGTGACTTGATTGTCCTGCGATGTTTTCCGTTGATATGATTGTTCTGAATCATCAAAATCTCTAGGTACTCTCTTGTCCACACAATGCCATTCGGAATGTCCTCCGTCGAGGCCAACAACCAGCCCGGTGAGACGCGAGCGACCTTGCCAATGCCGAAATGACGGTATCGACTCAATCTTAGCCTGGCACGCTGGATACTCCACCAAGACACTCACCCTTACTCCCTACTTGACCGGACAGGCGACCTCGACCACCACCTGCCATACTCGAGGAAAGACAAAAATGGCCACCTTTTCACACCTAACTTCTCGCTGAACGAAGATGCGGATACGTATCCCATTGGCAAGAATGCTTTCTCGATGGAGACGTCTTGATCAACCCCGACTCCAGAAATACAGATCAGAGGACTCATCCCTCATACAACTTTTCTTGCCCAAACAGCCAATTCAGCCCTCGCCGCCTCGCAGAGCCTAACCCGTGAACACGCAGGCTGCAAGGCCCGTATCCAATGACGCGGATCCGGATCATTGGGCTAATGCTTCGACGGATTAACAGCGCAGTTGAAAGTAGAGCTTGCTCGACCAACGAGAGGGATCCAACACGAACGTGCACATAAGCAGACGAGGGGAGCGACTCGGTCGCTGATCACCCAACGGGCAGATTTAGGTATCTGTGCAATCTCCTCCGTTGAAGGCTTGCATTGCAGCCACGTAGAGCCAGTCTTCAGGTAATATCGAACAACCCCGTCAATATTAAACCATCTGGGGAAGAAGTATCAGATATCCAGAGTATGAAAGACAGATCACATGAAGATAAAGGCGGTCTATTTCTGCCGGTTTACTGCAGACCGCAAAGGGGAACCGGCCAATCAGAGTAGAATCCGCGGCCCATTTTTTGCAGTCTTCGGACAAATGCCGTTCCTGAATTATGGGCATCAGGGGGGAAAAAAAAGAATTTCCAAACTCCTCAATTGCAACCTCAACACAATCTTCTCGGGATATTGAGGACTTCACCGAAGTTATCACCGCTTAGCTTCCTCCATCATCCTCATCATGCTTCTGCACTCCCGCCTTCGACCCCTCCCCCGCCGCCAGAATCAACAACAACAGCAACCAGAATGCCCCTCCTTTGCCCCTCCTCCAGATTTCCAGGACGACGAAATCGACAATGAATCCCCAGAGGACCTCTTCACGTCCTTTCTCCCGCACCTCTTCCCTGACGATGCTCCCTCGTTCCACGGAGACCCCGGCCAGCAACTCCTCTACTCGTCGCCGCGCTACGGCAATCTCGAGATTATGGTCCCGTCCTATCCCAACCAGAGCGACAAACGCACCGAGGAGATCGCCGCCGGTCAGACCCGGCCCGACGGACAGGTGAACGAGGTCGAGGAGGGACGGAAGCTGTTTGCGCATTTTCTATGGAGCGCGGCGATGGTTGTCGCTGAGGGGGTTGAGAAGGCTGATACGCTGGACAGCGAGGGTCAGTTGGATGCTGATACTGCAATGTGGCTGGCTAAGGGGCATAGTGTGTTGGAATTGGGAGCGGGTGAGTTTTGATTCCTCAGGTTTCGCTGGCACTGGAGTATATCCTCCGTTCACTGAGGAACTAACATGAATCTCCAGGCGCCGGCCTCCCCTCCGTAATCTGTTCCCTCGCAGGATCCTCCCCCGTCACCATCACCGACCACCCCTCCTCGCCCGCCCTCACCGGCGCGATCACCTCCAACATCGACCACAACATTCCCCCCTCGAAGCAATCCACCGTATCTATGCAGCCGCACGAATGGGGAACCCTCACTTCCGACCCCTGGGCTCTCTCCGCCAAGGGCACATACACCCGCATCATCGCCGCAGATTGCTACTGGATGCGCTCGCAGCACGAGAACCTGGCGCGCACGATGCTCTGGTTCCTGGCGCCCGGGGGCAAGGTCTGGGTCGTGGCGGGGTTCCATACGGGGCGGCCGATCGTGGCGGGGTTCTTTGAGACGGCGGTGCAGTTGGGTTTGGAGATTGAGAGGATCCATGAACGGGATTTGAATTCTGTGACTGAGGATGGGCGGGAGGTTAGACGGGAGTGGGTGTCTGAGAGGGAGGGCGAGGGACCGGAGAATCGGAAACGGTGGTGTGTGGTTGCGTTGTTGAAGAGGAGGGGGGAGTAGACTTCTCTATCTTCGATCTGCATGAGCATGAGCGACTATGGCATATGATAGAAGAAAGACACAAGCCGTGCTGTGTCATGACTGATGAATGTATGACCAATACATATACATATACATATAGACAAACTGACCCTTTTAACTATCAATCTAAATGCATCTATCTGTAGATCCATATCCATCTATCAATCAAATCAAACCCTCTGAAAACAAACCGTACACACCCCCTGCCCTTCCTTCCCCCCAAACCTAAACCGCGGATATTCCACCCTCCCCCAGACCTGCAATTTATCCTCAGCTTCACCACCCTCCGAGCGAGTAAACCACTGCACCAGCTCCTCCTCGGTCCAATTACAACTCGTCACCACCAAAAACCCACCCTTGCGCACCAACCGCCTCGCAATATCCGGGTATCGCTCACAGACGCGTTTCTGGATCTTCTTCGTCCCAGACCCGGTCGTCTTCGAGACCAAGGGTTCTGTGCTTTCGACCGTCTCATCAGACAACGACACCGCATCAAACGTGCCCTTATCCAACACGATATCGAACCCGCCTTTGGCATAGGGGAACCAATCGAGCCGTCTCTCGCCGTCGCCAGAGCCAGACAACGCATCCGTCGAGGAGAGGATATCCCATTCTTCGAAGCGGATGTTGGTATCTTTGTCCGCGTCGCCTTTCACTACCCCATTCTCATTCCCATCTTCCCCTTCCCCTTCAGCTCCAGCTCCAGCTCCAGCTTCTTCTTCATCATCCGAAAAATCACCATCGGAATCCGAATCCGACAAATACGCCGAATGAATCCTCAACCTCTGCAACTCCCTCGCCAACTCCACACTCCTCGGCGAATAATCCACCCCGACCATCTCGCCCTCGAACTTCCCCTTTTTGCGCAACAGGGCTAACATGCTTCCGTTGCCCGTGCCTAGGTCCAGGATACACGGCTGCTGCTCATCCTGCCCGTCTCCATCGCCCTGTCTACCACCACCACCACCACCACGAGAACCTCTCTTCCGAGTGTGACAAGGGGCAAGCGGAAATCCCTCATCTGTCAAGAACTGCAGCACTTTATCGGGCGCGTTATGTTCTGAGAACCAGGATGTGCCGGGGTCGGAGTCGTCGTCTATTTCATCTTCTGAGTCTTCGTCGTCCTCCTCATCGTCGGAGTCAGAGGTTGGGTTTGTCTGCGGTAGACGAGACGATTTCGCAGCGGCAGTAGTAGAAGAGGGAGTTTGTTTCGTAGAGAGATGCGCGAGGGTTCGTGCGTAGAAGGTTTCCCAGCTTTTGGTTTCGGTAAGGTCCTTGCGAGTTAGTGAGTGTTTTCCATTTCAGATTCTATGGGTTTTATGATTAGGTAGATAATGTAGGTAGGTAGGTAGGTATCAGGTTGACTATGAATATCACCATGGAGGGGCTCTATCCATATGGCCATAGCGGGGTAAGGAAAATTTTCAAGCAAAGTGTTTATTGAACGATAGCGCAAGCACTTACTAGTCCTTCGTGCCGAGCTCACTAGGAGACAAATGCGTTGGATGACTTTCTTCAGCCATGATTGATTTCTTGCTAGACAATGTCTAGAGGTGTTGGGGGGAAGTCAGGCGAAGATGGATGAGTGGAGGGGAAAATGACGTTTGGGCGGCGGGTGCGGGTGTTTGGTTGTTTGGTTATGCCGCGGAGATGCATACTACCTACAATACTCACTATGAGGGTTACCTACATCTACACTTATATCTACACTTTCACCTACAGTTTCTTACATCTTGAGTAGTTAAGTTTGCATAATCTTTGCATTTATTGACTAATCACCATCAACCAACCCACCTCCATGGGTATTCTTATCGAACCTGCGAGTCATGTAAAGAGTGAATGAAATAAAACACGTTGGAAGCGAATGGAATGGGCTGGTCGAGCCAAAGAGTGTCCGTTCCTCCAGATGAAGGAATGCAAAGCATGATCCCAGAAATAATATTACAAGTTACCAGGCGCGAAGCCTCGTTGGCCTCCTATCTCTTTTAAAACACCCCGGACGCCGTATTCCGAAGGCATGCAAAAACCCCCGACAAGTGAAAATGCAGTCAAGTGCAACGTAGATGGGAAGAATAGAAGTAACGACAGCAAAGCCTGCTTTGGTCATCGAATCATCACAATAAAGACGAGGTGAGAAAAAACAATCAAGCGAAAACGATGAGGAGATATTCAAGGAAAGACAGCGAGAGTGAGGGAGAGGAACCCTCGATAGGTTCTCTGATTCCTCTCAAGTGTAGAGGATAATGAAAGACGATAGCGAAAGTAGGCCTCAAAGGCAGCAACCCAACAATGGGAAGAAGGATGAGCAAAAAAAGGGTAGAAAAGTCATGCAATCATTTCTTGGGTACAACCCCCAAGGTCGCCCCAAAGCAAAACACCCATCCCAACGAATCAAGACAGATGAGTTACAGAAATTCGTCAATATTTCTCATGATCAGACGCTCGTTCCCGGGCGGAGGGGACCGAGGATCCGCTATCCTTGTCCGGAACTTCAGACCATTAGGCCCGTCATCCTCGAGAACATCGGAAATGGAGGGCGCCGCGGGGGCGGCCATAAACCCGGTGGTTCTCGGTGAGAACAGCTCCGACGGCTCTTCGGGCACTTTGCGCACGAAGAGGTCGGTCTTGGACAATGAATAGGGTCCGCCTTCGGGGGGCCAGGGGTTGGTGCCAAAGTTGGGTCGTATCGACCGGAACGACGAGTCGAGCGTGTGGAATGTGGACTGCCGCAGAGGCAGTGGCCGCGGCGATAGACTTCGCTTGTGCGAAAGTGGCTTGGAGAAACCAGGACTGTCGGTGGAAGTAGGGGTGGTTTGGTTGGTGGAGGGGACGGAGAGGGAGCTCGTAGATGCTTGCGACAGGCCATTTGACGAGGACTGCCCGGCGTCCGAGTCCCCGCTGAAGCAGCCCGGCGTGAAAACCTCCGGGTGGCCCAATCTCGCCGATCGTGGGGGCTGCGGTTCGGAGCTGCGGCGTGGCCCGCGGACGAACCATTCTTCACGGGCCGGCCTGGAGGGACTGCCTCGAAGGAGCCGTGAGCGGAAATCCGTCAACTGATAGATCAGGCTCATATTCGGCCCAACCCACTGACTTCTCCCTTTCACGATCTCATACATGGAGTTAAAGTCCAGGTGGCGGTTCTTGTAGAGGCCGTAGGCGATCACCAAGGAGGCCGACCGACTAGCGCCCAGCTGGCAATGCACTAGGACCTTCTTGCCTTCGGTGATGCGGGCATCGATAAACTCGCAGAGAGGGTAGAGGTCGTCGAGAATCTCTGAGTTGTGATCCCAGTCCACATGGACATATTCCGGACCGGAGTCGGTGCGGGGCGTGGCGGGCGAGTCGGCTGCGCTCTGAGGATACTCGAAAGCGGACTTGAACGACACTTCAGAAGCAGCGGTTCGTGGCTCCCCGGTAGACATGCGCTTCGAGCCGGTTGAGGCCTTGCGCAAAGTGCTCACGACGGTGCCATTGTCGGTGTTCGTATTAGTAAAGGGGTTGGCCACTTCTTTGGCCACGTTCACGACCACGTCAAATTGCGAAGCTTCTTGAGCCGTCGGCTCGAGATACAGAAAGACACCGGAGTCGTAAATTTGGATGGGTCCGTTCGGATAACCGCGGTCGTTGCGCCGAGTGGATTCCCGCGAATCTAAATGATCATCTTCTTCCTGTAATTCGTGCAATACTCCCCCCGACATGGATTCCTCATCCGGAACAGATTGAAGGGGCGAGAGATTATCCTCCGAGGTTCTCGACGGTCTTCGGCTGCCATGATGCGTCATGGGTCGAGGCAGCTGCATGCCACCTTTCGGGCCAAACGACGGGGAGAAAACCGACGTTAACGAAGGCGAGGATTCCGTGTGTCGTAGCGCATGCGGGGTGGGAGGAACGAGTTCGGGAATGTTATTGGAGAACGATCGGTCGAAGCCAGGCGTCCGGATGGTCAAGTTCGCGGGTTTTCGCCGACTGCTCTTGGGCGGAGCATGCATCGGAGACGGGGGAGCCGACAGGTGCTGGGAGGACGTTTCGACCATCGAAGCCGTCGCAATTGGAGGGCGGGCCGAACTGGATGGCGGAGGCATTCGCAACGACAGGTTCTTGAGGTTGCGGGCGCGTCTTCCGGGCGAATCCGGGCGCGCCGGGGTCGAATTGTCCGACGGCAGTTTCGGAAGGGTGTTCTGAGGCGCCGAGAGCGTCTGGCTCTCGACGTTGCGCACGGGAGGCATGAATTTAGGATAGGACAGCGGCATCGACGACGGCGATTCCGGAGAAGAGCTGGGAGAGGTATCGAGACCCGAGGGCGAGTCGAATGTGGAGATGGTGGTGGTCGGCGAGGAATCGGTGGACGCCGATGTCATGGACGAGATACTCTCGCGATGCTGGAAGGGAAGCGGGCGTCTCGAGGTATTGATGGTAACATGGGTGGGCAATCGGAGTGGTTTGAGGGCCGCGTTTTGCTCCTCCTTGGCGGAATAATCGGACAAGCCTCCACCAAATACCGACATGAAGGTCGGGAACGAGTCCGGGAGTGACGGTGGACTAGTTTGAACGGGCATGATGGATCCAGACTTGGAGATGGACCTGCGTTTGAAAGGGGGCACCCTTTCAGGTTCGCAGCAGTCGCGAAACGCCGGCGCAAAGATTGACGAGCAACTATCGCATCCAGACGGGAGAGAAGGTAGAGTCGCACTTGCTACCAGAGCAAATGACCTTTTCGACAGAGCACAATCAGCTTCCATGTTCTTGAGATTGTTTGGCGCTGGAAACAAAAACGAAGGACACCCAAAACGGGGAATAAGCAAGCAAGCACAGCTGCAAGGAGGATGAGACCAGGCTGACGATCTGAACTTTAAACGGCCCACAGCAGAGCTACCGGAGGCAGAGAGCAGGAGGTAGGAAGGGCACGGGGAGGCTTCTGTCTCTCAATTCCCGACAAAACACAGAATGAAGGATGCGCGCAGGGACGGTGGGCCTTCACGGTTCAGAAAAACCGGAACATACCAGAGAATGCTGCAAGAGGAGCGTTACCTCTTTTAGAACTGTCAGTGATATAAAGGATTGTGGAGGATTTTCAATGCGAAAGAAAAGTAAAAAAAGACGAAGGTCCACGGTCAAAAGACAATGGACGCAGAGTAGAATAGAAAGCAAGCAGTAAAAATAAAAGATCAAAGGAGGGTGTAAAGGTAGGCAGTTGGTAAGGATTACTGGCGCAGCATCCAGGAAGGAAAGCGAAACAAAAGGGAAGAAATAAAAGGTATAAAAAAAAAGAAAATAAAATAAAACAAAATAAAATAAAAATAAAACGAATCAAACAAATTGTTGGATGGGCAAGGAAGAAGGATGTAGTCCGTCTCCGTAGACAGGAGGGGAGTTTGCCGCCCGGTGTTCGTGTGGGCAGCCGTTCCTCCGACGACAAGCAGCAGTGGGAGGGTCAACGGTGCAGGAGGGATGGGAAGAGAGAGGGAGAAAATGAACGACTGCCCACAGCCCAAAGGAAAGAAAAGGGCAGTTTGACGTGAAGAACCCTAACTAGAGGGAAGAGGGGAGAGGGGAAGGAGGATGGGAGAAAGGAGGGGTGGGTGGAGGGGAGGGGGAAACACGGTCAAAGAGGAAGGGAAGAGAGAAGCGAGAGAGAGCGAGAGAGCGTGAGAGAGAGGGAAGCTGCGAGGAGCGAACCTCCAAATAGAAGAAGCCGTAGAACTAAGAATAACCAGCAGTAGTTCGTTTGGGAGGGCGGGATTGATTGGACCCGTCCGCCCGCGTTTCTGACGGCCTTCCAATCACCAGGCCAAAAGGAGTGGAGATGAGAGAGTGAGAGAGAGAGCGAAGTCTTGCCGCAGAACATCCGTCGCCTGCAGCTCTAAATTTAGCCGCCCGGCTTGACTGGAGGCTGGACGCTGCATCATCGGCGCCAAACTCTCGCAAATCACAGCCCGCCCTCCTCCCAACGCCGGCATGTCCCCTCCCGTCTTCTCCCCCCGTCACAGAATGTTGATTGTTGACCATGACTGGAGGTGGATGGGGTTGACATTTGGCATTGGAGCTGATGAGCGAGGGTATGTGGGTAATGGATATGCTTCTGATACAACCCAGGGGGAAGTGGAGGAATCATAGTATGTGCATCAGAAGCCACAGATCACAATCCATGGACCCCGTCCTTGCACCCGTCATCCTCATGGCTTATTGGCTCTTTCTGCTTTCCTCTTCGTTTCTTTTTCCCCTTCTCTCCTTTCTTCGGTCCTGATCTTCATGTTTCCCTTTCTGGAATGCCTCTTTGCAAGAGACGATCCCAGACACAGGAATATCAATGGCTGAAGACTCGGGTGGAGAGACAAGAGCAAAAGAAAAAGTAAAAAAGTAAAAATAAAAAAGAGTTCCACAGTTGGAGCCAGTGAGGGGGCGAGAAAGAATGGTAGAGGTAGGCCAACGAAGGAAGGGAAATGAGTATGGAGCCCTACTACGGGTACCAAACCCGACTCAAGCATTGAAATGACATAAAGATGATAAACAAAACAGAAACAACCCCATAAACAAATCAATTCAAATCAAGAAAAACAAGTGTAGCACGGACAAAAGAAAAAAAAAGAAAAGAAAAAAAGACATAAAAAATCTGGTCCATACCTGTCTTGAAGCCTTCTTTGCTTCCTTCCCAAATTCCTTCCAATCCAGTAGGACCGCGCTGGCGATGGCCCCCAAGAAAAGAATCTATGCCCAAGAGGTACTAGATCCAGTAGGATTTCCACTCGAGCCAGACGATGGAAACCGGAACGTCCGCAGTGCAATCCTTCCTCAACGAAGGGATCACGGTGCAGTTCAGGTAGGAAGGTGAGAAGTGGAAAGTCTCCAGGAAATTCCCAGAAGGGATAGGGGAACCCAGGGTCGATTGGGATATCCCACGAGGCTGTCGATAGTGGTAGTGATTGATTGGGATGGACACGCTGTGGCACATCCACGCAATAGAACTGCAGCGGCAATGCCAAATTGGGACGATTGGGACTCTGCGACCCGCTTCAGGGTGCACGGTGCTTGGGTGTTTGCCGGTGTTTGCTTGTTGGGGACCTCTGGCTGATGAGGTAAACAAAGAATCGGCAAACAAAGAAATGGAGAGCGAAGCAAGGGCTGGAGAGACGGAAAATGACAAAAAGCAAAGGACACGGGCCTCCCAGAAGCGCCAAAAAAAATGAGAAAGAGAAGAGAAAAAGCATCAAGAACAAGACAAGTGACGAAGAGGCGAGACCGCTCTTTTACTAGATCTTGAATGGCAAATTTTGTGGTTTAGTTTTCACATTTTTTTCCGCAGGGACCTCCCAGTCGGGTATAGAGGCTCTGAGGGACACAGCGCAAAGGTGAAACGAAAAGGCTGACGGACTGGGGCCAAGCCAACGCGATTCATCGGCATCCCAGACACAACCCCTGGGATGGACGGACGCCTGCTGATTGGGCAGCAGTGGGACAACCTGCGACGCGGTTTGGGATTAGTGATTGAGTCGTCGATAATCCCGGGCCACACATTGGACGGACAGGCAGGGAAAAGCAGGGAGACGCAGCTGAAACATCGCCGTGCGCGCGCTAACTCAGGCCAATGGATGGGGGGATTTAGTCCGGTCTGAAACACGCCAATTCAATGCTAAGCCACTAGTCTGTCACGTGTGTCTGCGTCCGTTACTCAGTCCGGAGTAGTTCGACTGTTCCATGATCCCATCAAGATGTGGATGGACAGTGACAGACTGACAGGAGGGGAAATGCAGCTTTCGCCATCATGATGCAGTGATGCACGATGGTCAGGAGACCGCCGGTCAACAATGCTGATTATGTTTTATGTCATCGATCTTCCTGCTTTTCTCTCCTCTCCTCCCTGTCCTCCTCCACTTCGTCCTTCCCCCATCCCCACTCCCTCTGTCGCCACCTGGGAGTACGCAAAAGAATACATCATCCCGATGTCTATCATTCTTGAAACTCGAGACGTCGCCCGGAACATCAGGTTGCACGGAGATCAATCCGGAGCATATCATTGTCCTCAACGGTGTTTCATGTCCGACCCTCTCCGAGTTTCCACGTGGCTGCAGCGACCAACTGAGACGCAAGCGAGTCATTGTCATGGACGCAATAATGACTTACGACGTACGGAGTAGGAACCCTATTTCCTGAGAACGGTCAACAAGAACTTGGACCTGCTGTTCGGTCATCAAACAATAGACTGTGGTGGGGATAGTTTGATTATCCAGTACCGTTGGCAAATTGGATATGGTAGAACGGCTGAGTACTACTCCAAGTCTCCAACCCGCCCGTATCCTTTTTGATCCAATTCTTTTCCTATTCCAGTCATCAAGGTAAATTAACTGCTCTTGGGTAGCATGTCCGACCGGATAACACTCCGGCCTTTAATCTATCTGACCGTGGCAGGTGATCCCGTGATGTAAAAAATAACAAGATGGAGATCCGTCGCGTTCTTCTCGCCAGATCCGCCAGATCCGTTCATCTACCACCGGCTGGATACGAAGTTGCGAACCCCATCGTTAGCTCGCCTGAGACCTTTTTTCAGATATATTACTCTCGGGGCACACGTTCCCTGCACAAAAAACAGAGGAAAAAGCAATGCGAGGACCAATCCTTTCGCTGACGGTCAAATTAACGTCTCGGATTTCATTTCGACCGTGGATCCTGTCGCTTATCTATGTTTCTTCTCGGCCGCCGAAAATTTTGAATAGGCCGTTTCACGTTCCCCTGCCAGCCGAGTATCTACCGGCCGGGGTATCTAGTTAGTCGCGACTCGCTATTCGTGGCCAACCAGCGCTTCACGATCAATGTGAATATCGTATACGCCGATCGGTCGCTAATGCCAGTGTTGCGACTACCACCCTAGCGGACGCCTTGTATACTAGATATAGCTACTCTGCCTATAGTACGATGTAAGCGAGGGAATCTGCGCAACATTTTCATTCCTCCGGAGGATATACTCCATGCGGAGTACTCCGTAGGGACCGCATGCTCCTTCGGCAAAAGCAAATAAGTGACTGGCATCTGCCTGGTCGTTGCCCGTGTTACGTGCTCGTCACGGATATAGAAATCTGCTCACAAGGTGGAGCTTGCGCGATCAATGACCATAATCAATATGACATTAATATTGACACTGCCTAGTCGGGGTTGGATTTCCAACTCCCATCGTTGGGAGGATTTTCGTCCGTGTCCGATAGAGACGAGCTATTTATATATGGTCTAGGTGCGCAGCAATTCCTCTTGAATCCTTCATCAATGCCACTTGTCTAATCGGCAGGGCTTGCTAGCGGATCTCGTTTAGGTTGGGTATATCACCACGGGTCCTCCGTCCTTTGACGTTGGTTGAGATCGTGTGGCCCCGTCTGGTACATGTCTGCTCTTGACTCATACTCTAAACACGAGGATGATATTCAGTAATGACCCAGGTATGGCACGGTGAGATCTTGAAAGTTTTCAAGCCTGTCTCTCCATTTTGTTGGGGATTCCATCTTGATCCTAAAATGCTGGCCTGAAACGGTTTCATATTTAGGGGCCACCATTCCGCTCGGCACACCAGGCACCAGGCTTGCCTCACCCCAGCCATGCATCGATCGTATCACTATGCAGTGTCCATACGAGCTTCGGCATGTGAATGACATGGCACTCATTCTGTGGTCATCACTCAATTGGTCGACCGTCGGAGTATTGGTCTCAATACTTGGTACATACACAGTTCGGCGTGGACTTTATGTCGACTGCACTGTGCGAAGTTTTCATGGGCAGTGACCGATTGATGACTATTTCTGCAACATTTCGAATTGTCAGAGAATCAGTTCAGGAAAGCGGAGAAAAATCAAGGCATTCGCATCCCACCGAAGCAATTCGGACTATTCGTGTCGCATCATGGTTAAACCCTCTTGGCAACCCCGTGCCAGGGCAGCGAGATCCCCTCTTGCCCTAGTGCGGCAGATCTGTACCGTCGGTCTCCAAGACCTGTTTCACTTATTTTTCACTATTTTCTTTCTGTCTTTCTTCATTTATCTTCTATTTCAGCCTCATGTTGGGTGGGCATGGGATCGTGATCTTTTAGCTGGCAGAAATGTCAATCTGGAGAACGACTGAGTGACTTGCAGATACAACTACAGAGTACAAGGGACTACCGGCTTCATCGAGATATAAAACCAGGTCAGCCCGGTTCTGAGCGGCAGAGGTAGGCAGGAGCATGTCGTAAGCCCTAATGGAAGGCCGAATGACAAGTCCACGGGACAGCGGTATGTGACCAGTGATGTGGCGATTTACAGTATGATCGACTTGATCCTACTTTTCGACCTTTTCTTGTTTTGGTGGAACAAGAAAAAGAAAGAAAAATGCATGACAGACCTGCCAGGCTGACGCGAACCAACGGATTGCTATAGGACGAACCATGGTTCTCGGGAATGAATATTTACTGTTGCTACAGGAACTTGAATCTGTGAGATAATTCGAATTTCGTTTGTGTGATCGGGGTTTTATCTGTTATTTTTTTCTGGGTCTCTTTTGTGGCCGTGCGTCGCTTTTCTGTTGGGATCAGTCAAGACATGAAACTGGACATGAAGCGATGCATGCAACGAGCATCACGATGCAGGTGGATTCGAAGGATTCCGTCTTTGGCAGCTACTACTGAGCACTCAGCATAGTTCATGGCCTACACGACTGTCTGTCATGCCATCCATCACCAAGTGATATCAGCGATCAACTCTCTTATTCTCCGGCTTCTGGAGCCGGACTGGAGCCACTGAGGCAGCGCTCCACCATCGCCTCTTCCAGCCACCGGAATATTACCAGCAACAAGTCCTTTTCATTTCCTTTTCTCTCGCTGCAAAGTTATAATTAGTAGGATTCGATATCGATGGAGAACTCCCCCTTAGTTAGGGTAGAAACTAGAGAAATATATGAGAATTGCGATTCCCCCTCCTTCTGGAGGTCCCACAACCAATAGATCGAAATTTCTCCTTATGCAGCATCGTTTGGATGCCTGACCAGTTTGCCCATGTCCCACGTAGCAGCTGGCAGCCCAGCGCCGGCCTCTTCTTCTTTCCCCGTAGACCTTCTTTATCGCTCGGTTCCACGACGACAGCGACGACAGACCGAATCTGCCGTGCAGCACCAGCAGCAGCAGTCAGAGACTATTCATGCACAACATCAACCGACTCGAGAATCCGGGGGAACAACCCACAGCGCGACGCTTTCCCGCCGACCAGGCACCGCTCATGGTCCCACGAGACGAGGAACACTGAATATGAATGGGAATATGATGAATTCCTCTGAATCCCAACAGCCTTTGTCGCCTGCCGATCCCCGTGACACGGGCAGGGTAGGCGCGCTAACAACTTCGGCCGGCGACGCCTCCGCGCCCGTCGTCTCTTTCCCATCCTCGCCCTCCGCCTCGACTTCGCAAGTGCCGCCGTCACCTCGTGTACCTCAGACTCGCTTTAATTTCGAATATCAGTATCCGCTGCGCCGACGGGCCCTGACCTCCCAGACCGGTCTCTCCTCGGTCGACGCTTCCCCGACCTCGATTCCCAATCCCGACCCTGTTTCAGCTGCTTCGGCCTCAGCTGCCACCACCCCAACCCCCCAGCGCACGCTGTTGTACGACCGCTCCCGGCGCTCGGTCCCGGGCTTCACTTTCTCCCAGCCTCACCGTCGCACTCCTGCCGCCTCCGCCTCGCAACCTCCCTCGCCCCGCCTGGCCCTCGAGGAGGACAGCGACTCCGCGACGCCCCTGGATGCGACCGGCTCGACCGTTCGAGTGCTGAGTCCCAATGCGACGAAGCGTCGGAAACAGTCCTTCAACGCCCATCAAACGTCGCCGAATGTGAAGAGAAGAATGCCCTCCTCCACCGTATCTTACCTGCAGTCGAGAGCGTCGACAGATGAGCGCGCCCATCGCGCCGCCAATGGAATCGAAAATGGAAATGGATTCGATAAATATGGCTCGGAGGACGGGGCCAGAACCCCCGTCGCGGACGACTCGAGACTCAAAAATGAGGACATTTTCTTGAATATCGCTAGATCGGACTCCACTCGTCGCGAATCTTTCGGACGGTCAGACCTGAGACGGGTGAGTGAGCTGATCTTTCTTTGTTTCCCATCCGTGCGAGAGGAGACGGCGGCGGTCGGACTCCAGCCGACGAGGGAGAGGTCTCTTCGTGAATTCAAAGGGATAGGGGGGGGAAACAAAACAGAACAAAAATGCTAACAGGAGCAGTCACGATTTAGGATGTCAGGGAGTGGTCTTCGCACCCCAGCCTCCCGTGCTAACGAGCAAACCCCGTCTCCCGATCAATTACGATCGAATAACTACACTACCCCCTTGCATTCCAACAATGGTTCCCCTTCCAACCCGTCCGGCCCTCGAGCCTACTCCTATTCGGTCTCTGAACACCCTCTCGAGGATCATTCCAAGTCCCACCACTCGGGCTACGTTGCCAGCTCGAGGACCGCCATCGGTCTACCGCGCAGCCGTCTAAGCAATGTTGGTATCGACAGCTCGTCTCAGTTCCCAGAGTCAAATGGGGAAAGGCGAGCGTCGTTCCAGGATCCTCGACTTTTCCGCAATTCAACGCTGTCGACAATCCGTAGCAGTAGGCAAACCTCCACCTCGGAAGCGACCGAGCGTGCGCGTATCGAGCCCGATCGAACGCGACAGGACGGCACCGAGTCGACTCTGTCGACGACGTCCCCTTCAACTGTGTGGGACGAATTGGAGGATCTGAAGTCGCGGATTCGCAAGTTAGAATTGACCGGCAAGCTACCGCCATCTTCGCAGGAGGCGATTTCCTCGGCCTCCGCGGACCGACCACGAACTGCAACAACTACCGTGACTACGGTCTCGTCCTCTCCAAATCATGGCCGTCAGACGAGTAACCCATCGGCCGAATCCGACACCGTTACCGTCAACCCAGTCCACCCAATTCTTCAATCGGCAATGGCGAAGTCGAAGACCCTACTGAGCAAGGAGGTGTACATGACGTTGGATGCCACCGTGACAGATGCAATTGCTCTTTCTAACAGCCTCCACTCCCATAAAGCGCCATCGAGCGGCGTGTCCGGCGTGAATGGTTACGGCATGTCCGATCGACAGTCCCGGCGGAAGGCTGATAGCGTCTGCCGAAGCCTGACCGAACTCT